CTTCCTTTCATCTATCAAACGTTTTCTTTCCCTTCTCTTCAGAATAGCACAGGGAATGTTGGAAATTTGGAAAACACATGACTATAATAGAGTTTGCAAAAAAGAAAAAAATAGAAAAAGACAACACTTCAACATAGGTGATACGTGATTAATAAAGTGCTAAAAAAACTCAAAAACAGAAGTTGTACTGAGCTGTTCTGTTCCCTGCACTTTCCTGAAGAGAAGGGAAAGAAAACGTTTGATAGATGACATGAAGTGTCTACTGGATTGTATTGATTTGCGTCTTTGCATGTGAAGGTATAGATTGCGAAGCTATTTTTTTCGCCCCCAAACTACCGCTTCAAAAAGTCAGGATTCAAACTTTCCGGAACGTTCGGATGCTGTTCTGCATTTGAGCATACGATGCACATTTGATGGGCACAAACGCGTGCGGTATTGAACAGAGTATAAAGTATGTATGAGGAACTCAGGGTAGTAGCAGCAGGAGTTAGGTGCACGCACAGTCACATCACATTGTCTTCATATAATTTTCCTTTTCTTCTTTTGGTCCTTTCTGTCTTATATTATTATCATTTCTTGCTTTCCCTTGCATATCATCCCTTCATCATTCTGTGAGAACCTGTCCTACTGATGGGCAGGTGAGAAGGCATTTCTGCCTGTTCATTTGGTGAAGTAAAAATAAACAACAGCAACAACATTCCAAAGAGCTCGAGGCTTCACAACAGGCGCAGGAGTGCACCTGTGAAGGTGCATGCACCGTCCCGGAACCAGTCGTCCCGGAACAGCTTTTAAAGCAGGTACATGTACATGTACATGTAGACTTTTCCTACAGTCCATTTCAAAACTATAGACGCGCAGGGTTTTTGAAATATTTCAAATTTGGCTGGAGCTTTTTGAGAATAGTTTTCGGAATATTGCTCAGGTCCGCTCCACAATTACTCTCATTATAGTTTCTAAACGATTGGATAACAGACGCCCAATTTGGGAAAAATTATGCACAAACTGATCACAGATTTTATGTGGTATAGATGCTGGCATAACGGTTTTTGCCTAGGTACGCGTCTATAGTTTTCAATTGGACTGTAGGTCTTCCTTTTGTTTCTTTTTGCTATAGCCGCTATGTGACACAGATAGATAGATAGATAGATAGATGGATGGATGGATGGATGGATGGATGGATGGATGGATGGATGGATGGATGGATGGATGGATGGATAGATAGATAGAGAGAGGGAGAGAGAGAGAGAAAGTTAGAACATTCGTTCATTCGCTTGGTGAACATTCATTCATAGGAAATGATATTCTCCACTGCACTGCTATTTCCACATTGAAATGAATACACGTACAAATACAAGCGTTGAATAAGACGGTTAGTGTTGTCTCACCTCTCGTTGCGGTCGTGAGTTGCTCACTGGTATTGGGCTGGCCTCGTACATCTGTTGTAGCCGGTATGACAGACGTGTGAGGTGCATGGGTAGGCGATGCTGTGAGTGAAGATACGTAGCAAACACGTATGAACACACGCACACACACACACACACACACACACACGTACACACACACGGGTGCGCACATCATTGGTGTCGGAAGGCTATTTATGGTGGTGCGGTGAGCCATTTGGGAGCCACTTCGGTGGCCTCTCCTGAATTTTACAAATTGTGTAGCACTGCGTCATTCGCCTGGTGAACATTCATTCATAGAAAATAACATTCTCTCCAGCACTGCTATTCCAGCTCTGAAATGAATACAGTCATGTACAAATGCGAGCGTTGAATGAGTGTTGTCTCACCTCTCGTTGCTGTCGTGCGCTTCTCACTGGTACCGGCTTGGCTTGGTGCATCTGTTGTTGCGGGTATGATGGGTGTGGGAGGTGCATGGGTAGGCGATGCTGTAGAACATACATAGCAAACATGTATGACCGCACACACACACACACACACACACACACACGTGTGCGCGCACACACACGCATACCCGTATGTACACACAAAATACACACACACACACTCACACACACACACACGCGCGCGCACACACACACACACACACACACACACACATCATTGGCACCAGAAGGTGTTTATGGGGGTGCGGTGAGCCATTTGGGGGAACCACTATGGACTGTGAATTCCTGAAGCCATTGTCAAATTGTCCCTTGCAAAGTTGATAATCTTGTTGTGTCTATACTCCACCTGCTCCCAGCCCCGTGCCATCTCCACCTGCTCCCAGCCCCGTGCCATCTCCACCTGCTCCCAGCCCCATGCCATCTCCACCTGCTCCCAGCCCCGTGCCATCTCCACCTGCTCCCAGCCCCGTGCCATCTCCACCTGCTCCCAGCCCCGTGCCATCTCCACCTGCTCCCAGCCCCGTGCTATCTCCACCTGCTCCCAGCCCCGTGCCATCTCCACCTGCTCCCAGCTCCGTGCCATCTCCACCTGCTCCCAGCCCCGTGCCATCTCCACCTGCTCCCAGCCCCGTGCCATCTCCACCTGCTCCCAGCCCCGTGCCATCTCCACCTGCTCCCAGCCCCGTGCCATCTCCACCTGCTCCCAGCCCCGTGCCATCTCCACCTGCTCCCAGCCCCGTGCCATCTCCACCTGCTCCCAGCCCCGTGCCATCTCCACCTGCTCCCAGCCCCGTGCCATCTCCACCTGCTCCCAGCCCCGTGCCATCTCCACCTGCTCCCTGCCCCGTGCCATCTCCACCTGCTCCCAGCCCCGTGCCATCTCCACCTGCTCCCAGCCCCGTGCCATCTCCACCTGCTCCCAGCCCCGTGCCATCTCCACCTGCTCCCAGCCCCGTGCCATCTCCACCTGCTCCCAGCCCCGTGCCATCTCCACCTGCTCCCAGCCCCGTGCCATCTCCACCTGCTCCCAGCCCCGTGCCATCTCCACCTGCTCCCAGCCCCGTGCCATCTCCACCTGCTCCCAGCCCCGTGCCATCTCCACCTGCTCCCAGCCCCGTGCCATCTCCACCTGCTCCCAGCCCCGTGCCATCTCCACCTGCTCCCAGCCCCGTGCCATCTCCACCTGCTCCCAGCCCCGTGCCATCTCCACCTGCTCCCAGCCCCGTGCCATCTCCACACTTAGACAGTGGATAACGATAACCACATTTAAAGGATTGTTTATTGACACGATGAAAAAACACAACTGGACATGGCAAACTCGAGAGGAAGACTGCTTTTCACACCACGGCAACACACGCATGTACACACGACGTACACAAAATACCGTACTACAACATAACTCCAGCTCCCCGCAGTAGAATAAAAAATGAATACCTTGCATGCATAGGCATGTGCAGTGGCATCCTAATTCGCATAGCTTTGGGTATGGGGAGGGGTATGGGGGGGGGGGGTACATGGCCAGGTTGCCATATATTGCAACTGATCTGCATACGCAACAATTGGACAAGCAATCGGTTTGTGTTGTCTTACATGCATTCGCAGTTGCAACTCCCATCCGTGGTTTGCTTGTAGCGGCTGCATCTGTGAATAGGTATAGCATGAACATGCACATCCACATGTTCAGACAGACAGACAGACAGACAGACAGACAGACAGACAGACAGACAGACGGACGGACGGACGGACGGACGGACGGACGGACGGACGGACGGACGGACAGACAGACAGACGGACAGACAGACAGACAGACGCACACACACGCACGCACACGCACGCACGCACGCACGCACACACACACACACACACACACACACACACAGAGGGATAGCTAGAAATGCGTAGCAATATGGAGAGCCCTGTTTTCGGCCAATGCAGACGCCATTCCTAGAGGGGAATATTCTGCCAAATTCTCCTCAAATGCCACCAGCTGAATACCACAACACACATTCTACCATAGCAAGCCTACATCATGTTCAACCCTCCTCCCCCCCCCCCCCCGGACAATAAAACCAACACCACATTTTAAACCTGGTAGATTGTTGAGGGACCACTAGCCGAGTACACGTTATGAGCTGCCACTGAGTGGTCTGATGATTGACATTATTATTGTTATTATTTTCATCTGTAATTTCGACGTGGACATTCAAAGCAACACTGACCTTTACAATATTTCTCATCCTCGTTGTCTACACAGTCGCTTGCATTGTCACACAGCCACTTGAGGGGAATGCAGTGCGAGTTTCCGCACCTGAATTCTACATTGTGATGACAGGGCCCTAGAAACCAGCAGGGGCACAGAGTAAATCAGAAAAAGGCCGGAGAGAGAGAGAGTGTGTGTGTGTGTGCCTGGTGTGTGCGTGTGTGTGTGTGTGTGTGCGTGCGCGTGTGTGCGTGTGCGTGAGAGAGACTAGGAGAGAGAGAGAGAGAGAGAATGAGAGGGAGAGTGTGTGTGAGAGAGTGTGTAAGAGAGTGTTTGTGAGTGTGTGTGTGTGTGTAAAAGAGAGAAAGAGCGCGAGAGAGAGAGAGAGAGTGAGAGAGTGAGAGAGAGAGAGTGTGTGTGCGTGTGTGTGTGTGTGTGTGTGTGTGTGTGAGTGAGGGAGAGAGTGCGTGAGAGAGAGAGTGAGTGAGAGAGAGAGAGAGAGCGAGTGGGAGAGTGAGAGAGAGAGAGAGAGTGCGTGAGAGAAAGACAAAGAGACTCAGAGCGAGTGAGAGAGAGTGAGAGTGAGAGACAGAAAGACTCGGCGGTAGAATTCTAACAAAACTTCACCTTTAGCCATCACCACATCAGTTCTGTTGCACCCGGGTACCCAGGTTGTGTGAGCCACTTGTTTGTGCAAACGGCATTCTTATACAATTACAACTTAACCCAAGCCCTCCCTTTACGCATTGTCGCTTTGGTTTTCTGGATGGCGAATACAGAGTGTAGTGACGAATGTGAGATGATCAATCTCACCACCGCGCAAATCATCGCGGCCCAAGACAAGTGTTGAACACTCATTTGGTTACAAACCCAGTATAGTCAACTTCGCTAATAACGACTGCGGATATAACGAAAATTCACGAATAGCGACAGAATTTCCATGCCCAGAGCAAAATCCCGTCTAACTGTAACAAGTATGATGAGACAGTTCGGGTATAAGGACACTTCGCGAATAAGGACACTTTTCTGATGCCCCGCTGAGTGTCCTGATAAGCGAAGTTGACTGTACGTGAGTGACTTGGTGTCTTACGTTTCTTTGTTGTAGCGTTCTTTCCTGCTGCCTCGGTGGATCGTGCTGCAGATAAGCACAGTGTACAAGATAGCCAACATGCACACATAGAGGTGAGCAATGAGCCGAACGTTGTTGTTGGCTGTTTGTGTTACTTGAATTTGCAAGATGAAACGAGCAGAGATGTTTAAAATAACAAGGGAGCGAATTATGGAGGAGAAGTGAAAAGAATGGGTTGTGAGACGAAGATGCCTTTCCCCCATCACCTAACCCAGTAGCCGCTTCACGGCCTGCACTCATCAATATTCCACTGCACTGGTCTACAACCCCCGGGGTTGTCACAGAGACGATGACAATGATCAATATAGATGTCGTGTCACTGACCAGAAGCCCAATCCACTCACGAGTTAAATACACGTTACCAGTGTTGGCATGGAAACACAGGGACCGGTAGTGTAGGACACCATGACGATGATGACATCATAACATCCAGGGGCCGCGTCACACCCGGTACGACCAGCACGGCCATGGTTGTACCACTTTTCATCCAGGATGGTCCGCCCGGAGCACCTGTAGAGCTCTAAAACGTGCCCTGTTGGCCGAAATATCCAATTTCCCCCCCCCCCCCCGAGGATACCCGACCCCGGGTGGTACCATTCACCACTGCCCTGTGACGGCACCGATATCACATTTTTCTTGCCACGTTTGCTTTGAAACAGATATTCCTTGCGATTTAGACATCAAATGGTTGACTGACCTGTACAGTTGATCTCGTCTTCATTGGTTAGGCAATCTCGCCTCTTGTTACATCTCCACATGAGGGGAACACAGTCTCCATTGCCACAGGGAAACTCGAGTTGCGAATGACATGGCCCTAATCAAGCAATGACACAGAGTACATTACAAGGAGAAATGGCCCAGTTTCAGCGAGAATCGACCTTTGGGGTGAAAATCATTTTTTTTCCACGGAAAACATTCCTCGACCGACCGCGCAGCAGGACTTGATATTCAGTTATATAAAAATAATGACAATTCACCAAGCTCATGTCCTCCTCAGAATGGTGTTGCAAATGGGAGAACACGACAAATATGGGTGAAGAGGATTTGTGCCAAAGTTCATCCGATGACATTGTTCGGTACGAAAATGGGATGAGAACAAGTCTCTTTTTGACTCGGGTGGAGAGCCAAGGAGTAATTTATAAGAAGAAAAGAGGACCAATTTGGTAAGAAAAGAGGACCAATTTGGTGACAAACCCAGTACAGTCAACTTTGCTAATAACAACTGCGGATATAACGACAATTCGCGAATAACGACAGAATTCCCATGCCCAGAGCAAAGTCCCATCCAACTGTGACACATAATTACAATGAGACTTCGGGTATAAGGACACTTCGCGAATAACGACACTTTTCTGATGCCCCGCCGAGTGTCGTTACAAGCGAAGTTGACTGTACGTGAGTGACTCGGTGTCTTACGTGTCTTTGTTGTAGCGTTCTTTGCTTCTTGCATACCCGTTTGTGGTGTGGGTAGTGTGACAGCTGCTTTGGTGTACTGTGCTGCAGATAAGAACAGTGTACATGATAGCCAACACGCATACATAGAGGCGAGCAATGAGCCGAACGTTGGTGTTGGCTGGCGTTCAAAACAGAACCAAAAAGCAGAGCAATAGATGCCGAGTTCCGACCGATGCAGTACTAACTTATCCCCCCCCCCTCTCTCTCTCCCTTCCCCCTTGGCTTGTTTGTGTTACCGTATAGGCGCGAATAGAAGCCCCGGGGCTCTATTTTTCCAGAAGACACGGCTAATGCAGTAAAACCTGGTTCAAGCGACCACTCTCCCCCCCCCCCCCCACGGTGCAAGCAAAAGCGGTCGTTAAAGCCAGGTGGTCTTTAGAACCAAGTCCCGCAGTGTCTGTGTAGAACTGGTCGCTGAACCCAGAGGTCGCTTACATTGTACACCAGGTTTTACTGCAGAGGTATATCTCCAGAACACCTCCAACATTTTCACCTTACACTGTCTTCAAGTCCAAGAAGACCAAACAAACTTAACATCAATTATCATGGTGTACGTTTTTCTTCTCTCTTTTCCAACAAAGCTGCAATGCTATGGAATTGCCTACCGCTTTCTCTTACCTCTATAACCAGCCTCCCCGAATTCAAGCATTCTCTCTATCAGCATTTTCGCCGATATATTCATTACACTGACGGTATCCCAACTCCTTTTAATTAAAAGTCTTTGGGCAATCCTTAAATATAATAAAATACAAATAAAATACAAATAGGTGAAGAGGATTTGTGCCAAAGTTCATCCCAAGACATTGTTCGGTACGAAAATAGGGTAAGAACAAGAGAAAGAGTGATATTGTAGCAAGTACTGGTATCACACCATCCGCTGCACAATGTACCAACAACACAATGTAGTGGAAGTGACAAAGTGACATTTTTTTCTTGGTTTGCATTTGCATTGCATTTCCATGCATTGTGCATATTATGTTCCCGTTAGAAGAGGCTTGAGAGACAAAGTGACATTTTTTTCCTTTTCTTCTTTTGGTCCTTTCTGTCTTATATTATTATCATTTCTTGTTTTCCCTTGCATATCATCCCTTCATCATTCTGTGAGAACCTGTCCTATGGGCAGGTGAGAAGGCATCTCTGCCTGTTCATTTGGTGAAGTAAAATAAACAACAACAACATTCAGTGGCAGCAAGATGCAACACCAAGAGGTGCGAGTGGCAGAACTAACACACGCACGAGCTTCGCGCCCCGGAACAAACATGTCCACACATGCACAGACACACGGACACGCACCAACACACACAGAAACACACACACACGTGTACAATGTGGCCTGCGTGTTGCGAGGGCACAGGAACACAGAAAGAATTGTAGTGTGTGGTGTGTATTGTAAGCACCACGAAGTGACAAATATCACGTAGGCGACCATGTGAGTGCAAGGAATAGATCCTTTGAGCATGCTGCCCGCCGTGACAGCTCATGCAAACCACCACAACGTGATTGCTGCTGACCAACACTGACCGTTCTGTATTCGTGTGGTTTTAGCACCGAAGCCAGGATGTGTGCGCGTATGTAAGCTTTATGAGACAAAGTTTACAATACTTCTCTTGGTGTCACTAAACTAGGTGTACGTATTGTCACTTTGTTACCGCTCTGTCTCCTATGACATCATGTTGTTTCTACTTCGTGCAGCTGGCCATGTCATATTTACTACAAAATAATTTACTTTGTGTTTTCATACCCGATTTTGCTGCGAGCTGTATGATCGCACCACTTTTGCGCTAAACCTTTCCTCCCATATTTACTGTATTCTCTCCTATTTTATACATCATTCTGAAGAGGACGTGAGTTTAAGGAAATGTTACCATTAACCAGTGCCAAGTCTTGCTTCTGTTGCACATGTAGGCTATCCACTGATGTAGTGTTTTCTAGGAAATTCACTCTCCTAGGACCGGTGGAAGCAGTTTTTGATTGGTCCCGGCTAGGCATATGCGGATAATGCCGGCAGAAAAATTGGCAGAATTCGGTACTTTTTCTGGTAAGTTTCATGCATGTTTGGCACGTGGATAAAGAAATGGAGCAGAATTCGAGGAATTGCCCGCCATAAGGTTTGTATGGTTCTGCCAATTTCACTGCTTTCCGAGCAGAATCTGCCACCTTTTCGAGCATTATCCGCACACCCCTAGTCCCGGCCATACCCTAGTCTTTCATACAGTTTGTCTATAATATGGCGGGCACACATACCGTATTATCTCTAATATAAGCACGGTCTCCAATAATAGCACGTCTCCAATGATAGAACACCTTGGGGCGGCATTCAAAAAATAAAGTACTCAGTCTCCATTATAAGCACACTGTGTAAATTCATTATCTGTACCGGCGAAAAACCCCTGAAATGTGTGTGTCTGACATATAAATTTGGCATGACAGCATGCCTCTGAAATGAGATTGAAATAATAATGGAACAGTCTCCAATAAAGGAACGTCTCCAATAATAGCACGGGGCGGAGGTACATTGAAAAAATAAAGGACCGTGCTTATATTAGAGATAATACGGTAACCTCCTCCAGGGGAAACATGTGTTGGTGGCCAGAGAGTTAGTCCCGGCCATGGCCTGACCAACTGGGCCTGTCTCTAGCTCTGCTTAACTAGTTAGTACACTGAAGAGACCCATGATGGCTTTGCCGCTTTTCAGCACATACATGTGATAACAAGCAGCTACAAACTCCAAGGGAGAAGTGATGGATTTTCTAGTTGAGCCTTCGCTGCTGTCATATTTGTGGAGCCTCTCCGGAAAGAGGTGAGTTGTTTGGCTACTTTTAGTACAGAAACGAACATGTACCGTAGGGTGCTAGCATTGTACTGCAAGCGGTGGGAGACACCAAAGAAAGAGAGGAGTGATTATTCCGCTAGTACGAGGCTTGCCTGTGAACCCGCAGACCTTCGTTTTAGCCACTTGGTTTTTGTAATTTTTTCTTAGATTATACGTATTGTATAAAAACAAGTGTGTGTGCGTGTGTGTGTGTGTGTGTGTGCGTGTGTGTGTGCGTGCGTGTGTGTGTGTGTGTGTGTGTGTGTGTGTGTGTGTGTGTATGTTTCTACGTTTCACATCCGCGATTTGCGCCACCCATCCGCAGAATTGACGCTAGTTTCAGGCAACATGTCCCAGGACTCTGGGAGTCTTTTAAAAAGTGCATCTCTACCTCACTTACTCGTACTAGTGTCAGACAGTGCCAGAGAGCTTCCAAGAAGAAGAAGGATTCGGCAGAGCAGCAGACAGCCAGCCATTTTTCTCTCTCTGGCCCTAACCACGAAGTCTGAAGTGACCAAACTGCGGAAACTCTTTTTGCCAAGCTGACGCAGCGAAGGCTTCGCGAAGCTTGCTGTCGGACGCCAAACTACGCTTGAAATGGATTGCACTTTGCAGCTCGAGAAAACGTTCTTCCGCAGTCGTGATCGATCGGGGAAACTGTTTATCAGCACAATTTACACTGTATCGAACTAACTTGCCGCCATCGCCTAGACACTGGCCTACATGTACTCTCTCCTGTCTAGTGATTGCAGTTCTTTGACATAATAATAATGTACCGGTACGCGGTAGACCTACATTGACATGTAGTTGTTTTCAGTTCACACAATGTCAATGTAGTCACTACACCATCCACATAATAATAATAAAGTCATTGTGGAAGCCGAAAACGTTCCCGGCGAGCTTGGGCAAAGCAAAGGTTCGAGGTGTGCACGAGGGTAACGTTGCACTCACGCTCTATGCCGCAGTGTGCGCCTGTTATGTCACGAAACGTCCATACGCAGCTTGATCGGGGCGCCAGATATGGCCTGATGGGCTCGATGAGCGACGCATATTATCACACACGTACACCGCGTTCAAGCTAGGTCCAGATATAGATGCAGTACCTGGCCACGCCCATCATGCATATACATGTACATGTATGGCTCATGAACATTGGGCCTACACCGTACCAGGCCCAAGGCGCGCCACCCGCTGCCGCATTCCCAAACCTGCACCATTATCCTATGTATTATGTAGATCTACATGTACATGATGGTGTGTGATCATGAAGCAAACATTTCTTGGACTTGTCGCAACATTAAAAAAAAGTAAAGTAACGTTAGCCGGATTCGCGGCCTCATCAGCTTACCTGACGTGTTTACAATAATATTTGTAGGAACACATCAAACAAAATGTAATAATATTCGCATCGCCGGGCCACCACTTCGCCAATACCAGTACACATACATGTATAATTATATTCTCAGTGTCGCAACATTTACCCGCTTTTATCTACATGTATATCCGGATGCCGGGGAAACTGCTTGTTGGTTATGTTGTTTGTTGTTGTTTGTTTGTCGTGATTTCATTTTATTATTTTAATAATAATTATTATAGTCGTTCAACCAAACAGGCAATGGTGCCTTCTCACAAGGAGACGACTTTGAAGAGGAGAGGGCAGAAAGAGAATGGGGAGGGGAGAAAAAACAGGCACGGAAGGGAGATAGAATGGAGAGGATGATGTAGTATAGATTAAGTAGCAGGAGTAAGATCCAGATCTTTGACACAGTACAAAAAGCGGCTTAGGCAACTGGGAGAATAAGGAGGTCTCGCGAGCGCAATGCATCACGCAACCGCTTCTTCTCTCCAATGGATCGAAGTTCGGCGGAGAGACAGTTGCAATAAGATTCCCACAAACTGGATTGACGATCGGCTATAAGGCCATTAAGGGCCTATTAGGAAGGGTATTTGCAGGAGATTGGAGAAACGACCACGAGTTATGCGGGCGAAAGGCTAAAGGGACAAGCCCAACTATTTTTGCGGATTTTCTGTCATAAAAAATAAACGTCACAGGCTGCTCTTCGTAGGTACTAGGTGTCCGCGTCCCAGCGGTCCGGGCAAGCGACCGCACCTCAGTGGGACACTTGGCCGTGGCTTTTGTACTGCAATCTGTGGGAGAGCCTTTCCAGGGGTAGTACACACCTGGCCTGGGTACCAGGTATGGACGAATCCCTGGTAGACCCAGGTGCTCGAAGTCCGTACATGGTATCCTAAGTTCGTACGCCCATAATTTCATGTTCTGTTATTGTATTCGACTCAAATATTTTATCGAGGGGACAGTGTGGTATGTTCTCCTCGCGTAGCAATTTTCAGGGATCTACGATAAGCAGAAGTCCCATACCACGCGAGTGGGTTTTCGAGTGCCCATACGAAATACAAATTGGGTTACATTTCATGCAAAAATCAACTTTGCCAAGACCGATTTCGAACGGACACAGCGTCAAACAGACCTTCACTCAATCATCAAGAGCCAGCTTAGAGCTGACAATGGCCAGAGGAGAAGAATTTACAGAGAACCACCAATTCTTGCAGAAAGGTTGACACTCCTGGCATCTCCACCACTGTTTTCCCGCGGTTTTCACAGCGCAGCTGCTTCTTCTCTGAGCCGACTAAAACAGCTTGCAGTTCGGCAACAAACTACGCTTTTGCAAGAAATACTGGTGGAGGCACATGCCAAACATATCCCTTCGGTGCTTTCGTCGTAACCGAGGGATTGCAAGTTAGCAATTAGCAGAAATATGTGTGTATTTCGAGTCACCTCTGATCAGTACGGACTTAGAGTACCCTCCGCGACACAAAAATTTGATATGAAAAATCAGCGAACTCCAGAGAAACAGATCGGATCGAAAGATGGCCTGGTTCAATCGAGCCTGGCCTCAGAACAAACTTGGACAAGATACCTTCCATCCACGAGCAGGATTCTGGCAAGTGATCATTGCTAGTGTGAGTTTCAGCTCGACAAACACACACTGTAAAAGTGTACGGACTTCGAGTACCTGGGTCTACATGGTGTTGATCCTTTTTTGTTCCTTTCCTTTTTATTTGTTTTTGCTGAGAAAGAAACGTTGCTGTTTCTGTTCCCGCCAGCGCCTTTGCTCTAGTAAAACATTGCTGGCTGATAAATGGTCATTGCTCGTGATGCCAAAGGTGAAGGGAATCTGAATTTCTTGCCATTTGCAACTCCCTGTCTCTGAAAATGTAGCTTGTACAGTAGCTCCGAGTATGTTAGTTTTTCGACGTGCCAGACCTATTGGTATGAGCTGCAGAGATGAGGAGCAACGAAGGCGTTGGATTAATGCGTTGGATTGATGCCAATAATGGTGTTTATGGCCGGACAACGCCAGCGGTTTTCACTTGTCAGGAGGACAGTCAAGTTGGAGCAGGCAGATGACGGATTATTAATTTTGGCGCATTTTTTTGCAGAGTGGGTGGCTTGCCGAAGAGAATCATCTCAGTACCTCATGGTTACTAGTATCTGACAAATGCCTCTTATTGCTAGTCTGCATTAGAGCATAGCAGAATTGGTCATGTCACAAGTACTAGTAGTGTCAAGACTTGATGTGCTACGATTGTACTCAGATCATGTGGCAACTTCACGGTAATTCGTCCTGCCACTTTACGCTCTCCCGGAATTCCCTGCAGAAGTCACGTGCCTGTGCAGGGGACAACGTGTTTGCATTGCTTACTGATGCAAGCGGATGGAGTGCAGAGCAGATAAGAAGACATAATCTGGCTATTCAAATAGCTTCGGCTGCTATTAATTGGCTGGACTCCTGGAAACGTGGGCAAGAATCTAAACCAGTCCACGGAAACGATGTGACGCCACACAGGAAGCTAAATGGCAAACCAATCAAGTTCTTTGGTAATGAAACCTTTCACCAACGTTGTCCGGTTTCATGCCTAGTGTCACTCACACAAGACCAATGGATGCCACATGTACCTAAAAGATACGCTGTTGATCAACCACAACTCCAATACCACTGAGCAGCGTCTTCTATACAGATCCAATTAGATATTGAAGTATATGAGTCGAAGTTGCTGGTATAGTCTCTCCTAATGACCGCGTATTTGGCATAATTTTCTCTATACTGCACTCTAGAGCTACTTACCTTTTCCGACATTGAACTCAGGCAGTGACCACTCGCCCACAGAATGAGCCAATTGACACAGACACCAAGTACCATGCGCATTCGTCGCAAGAGAGACACGCAAGTTTGCAAGTGCAGTGGATGTACACCCACTGATTTTCTCTTATGCCAACGATATCAGACATGACCTGAGTGAAACATATCAAGACTAGCACAGCATTACTGCCCAATTCCGTAATTATAATTATTGCGATGCCTTGTGAAAGGATTCTCAATGCACACCTGGTCTACGCCACACGGAATACATCGGATGATAATGACCAAGACAGCTGCCTATGTCTTTCTCTTTCCCTCTCTCTCTCTCTCTCTCTCTCTCTCTCTCTCTCTCTCTCTCTCTCTCTCTCTCTCTCTCTCTCTCTCTCTCTCTCTCTCTCTCTCTCTCTCTCTCTCTCTCTCTCTCTCTCTCTCTCTCTCTCTCTCTCTCTCTCTCTCTCTCTCTCTCTCTCTCTCTCTATCTTCATCTATATCTATCTATCTATCCAATCTGGGGACAGAACTGTTTCGTCCTTTGTGGACTCATTAGCACAGCACAGAGAAATGAGGCCGAACCTGATTGCAATGAAAAATAAATTCCAAAGCCATATTTAAACCAGGGCCGAATATACTGTGCCAAAAATATCTCTCTATCTATCTCTATCTCTTTATCTCCTTGAGGGCACACTGGGTCCCCTGTTTTCGCAATTCTCCACCTATCAACTCCCTTCTGTGTTTGTGTGTGTGTGTGCGTGCACGGGTGCAGGGTATATGCGCACATATCTTTCCTTCTCTTCCTGTCTTTACCTGGTTTGTGAATCGGCTTTTTAATCATATTTTTTTCGGCTCACTGTTTTATGAGTTCACCTCATTATTGCACACAGGCAAGCAGTCAGGCAGCATTACAACAAATCAGCTTTGCTTCACTCCTGTACAGTAGTGTCTACTACACTCTGCTTTCGCCGCATTCGACAACTCTCAGCACTCTAGATCTGTGTGCATTATGCTGCTACCTACTTGTATTATACTACTTCAGTATTAGAAATCCAACGAACGAAATCTCTCGTATCTGTGTGTCTCCACATGTTTCTCTGTCTGTCTGTCTCTCTATTCTATTAATATATCTATCTGTCTGCCTCTCTCTCTCTCTCTGTGTCTATGTGTCTCTGTCTGTGTCTTGGTTTTTCTGTATGCCTGTCTTTGTCATTCTCTAGCTGTCTGCCTATCTCGTTCTGTCCGTGTGCCTGTCCCTATCTGTCTGTCTGTCCATCTGTCTGTCTGTCTGTCTTCCTTTCTGTTTCTCTGTCTCCATCTGTCTGTCTCTGTTTTTCTGTCTGCTTCTCTTCTTCAGTCTTTCTCTGTGTGTCTCTCTTTGTCCCTCACTCGGTCACTGTTCTCTGTCTCTTTCTTTCTCAGTTTTCTCTCTCTGTTTCTGTGTGTGTGTGTGTGTGTGTGTGTGTGCGTGTGCGCGTGTCTCTCTCTCTCTTCTCTTCTTCTCTCTCTCCCCCCCCCCCTCTCTCTCTCTCTCTCTCTCTCTCTCTCTCTCTCTCTCTCTCTCTCTCTCTCTCTCTCTCTCTCTCTCTCTCTGTGTTTCTCTGAATCTTCGTCACGGCCTTTCTGTCTGCCTATCTGTGTTTGTCTGTGTAACTCTCCAGCTGTCTCCCTGTCTTGGTCTGTCTCTGCTTGTCTCTCTCTGCTTGTCTCTCTATGTTTGTCTGTCTTCTTGGCCCTGTACTTATGTCGCTGTTTCTCCGTTTGCTTCTCTTCTGTCTCTCTCTCAGTCTCTGTGTCTTCTTCCTTCTCGATCTGCCTCTCCCTTTCTTAGTTTTTTTCTCACTGTCTCTCCCTAAGGACCCTCTGTCTCTGGCTCCCTGAGTCTTTGTGTCTGTCTCTCCTTTTGTCATTCATTATGTGCGTCCCTCTGTTTCTGTCTCGGTCTTTCTGTGTCTGATTGTCTGTATCTGTCTGTTTTCTCCTCAGTCTGTGCTTTGTCTCTTTCTCTCTGAGTCTGTGTCTCTGTCTGTCGCTCTTTATGCGCAGCATCCCTCCGTTTCTGTCTTTCTGTGTCTGTCTGTCTGTCTCTATCTCTCTACCAGCCGCTGTTCTACACATAATGAAATTGTGTGGCACCGCGCACGTGGCTATGCGTGGGACATTCACACGCACACACACACACACATCCGTACGCTCGATCATACAAGTACATGTAGTAGTGAAGAATTCACCTCAGACACATTATTAAAACGTATCTCTCTTTCTCTCTCTCTCTCTCTCTCTGTCTCTCTCTCTCTCTCTCTCTCTATGCCTGCCACTGTGCTGCATATACAGTTAGTGAAATTGAATGGCACAGAACACGTACATGACTGTATATTTACGCACACATGGGGCATTCACGGATGCACCCACACACACCATGTATACGCCCGTCGCAAGAGAAGCACCAAATCTGCAAATGCACACCCACACACACACACTTGTACGCTCGATCATACAAGTACACACACACACACACTCATACGCTCGATCATACAAGTACAATGTAGATTATGTAGTAGTGAAGAATTCACATCAGAGACATTAAAACGTCTCTCTCCCTCTCGCTCTCTCTCTCTATGCCTGCCACTGTGCTGCATAATATTATACAGATAGCGAAATTGGTGTGGCATATAACATATACATGACTGTATATTTACCCACGGGCCAAGCGTGGGACATTCACGGATGCACACACACACACACACACCACACCACACACATGGCCTGCAGCAAATAACATTTCATAGCTACAAGACCTTCAAAGAAAGTCATGGTGTCAAGAAGATAGACACGTACAAGGATAATTGTAAAGTATAAATTATATTATACATGTACATGTAGCAGGGATATTCTCAGAGAGTCAAACTACCGGATGAAATGGCAAACGAAAGTCTCAACTTCAGAGAGTAGAGTAGAGAGTAGAGTGGGTGGGTGTGCAGACCAGCGAAGGTCATAACAAATTGATAATAACGTGTAACCAATGCCGGCAATGGATAATGTGTGAGCGACCAAAGAGGCGTACATAGCATTACCTGTACCACCATAAACACACCTTGACCTTGCCCATTGCGTAGCAATGATACCGCATTGTTATTTCTCCAGTCCACGACAGAATGACTGATGGCGTTTCAGGTCGCCGCTTTGACGGAACATGCGGCCGCAGGCGCAACCGTAGCCAGCAGCAGAGGGTGCCTTGTGTGGTCGATGGGCAATGGCACGCCACTCCGGATGGTTCTGGGCTGCATCGTACCATCCACATGTTGGTACCGGTGGCTCAACCGGCTCAAAGTCATGCATAACAACGTCCCTCCACCTCTTGCGTGGATCACGCGCGGGGCGCGGGGCAGGCAGTTCACCGAAGAGAACACACTTCGGCAACCGGTGATCTTCCCTCCGTGCCACGTGTCCAAGCCAGCGCAAACGTCATTCCCGTATGATGTGACCAATGTCCTCAGGCACTCCAAGGGCCTTTGCAAGGGCTGAGGACGTTGCGTGGGTCTCCCATTGCTGCCGTCGCGACACTCCAACGATAGATCTGACACATTGATGGTGGAAAAGGTTGAGGTGTCGTAGGTCCGGAGCCTTCGTTGTCCAGGTTGAGGCGCCGTACAGGAGGGTAGAGAGCACCACGGCAACATACACGCGACGACGACACTGCAAACTCAGTGACCGGTTCTCGGATACGGCTTGCTTCAATTGCAAGGAACTAAATACGGCAAGCAAATCGAGGGACATTAGGTGCAAACCTCGTTGTTCTAGTTGTCTAGACTGCACGGGGTCTTGAAAATACTGAGCCTCCACGTTGTATCTGTGTGGCATGTGGCATCCGTTGATCTCGTTTGAGTAGTAGTAGGCATGCACTGCATTATGTTTTGATGAAAGGTTCGATAGCTGATGAATGGGTTTATCATTTGGCTTCCTGTGTGGGTATTGCTTCTGTGGATTGGTTTGGAGCAATTTTCAGATAGTCCAGGCATCAGGCAAATTTATAATGGCGGTCCAAGCTAGTTGAATATCCGGATCACTTTTTCTCATCTGGTCTACACTCCATCCGCTTGCATCCGTAAGCAATGCAAACGCATTGTCCCTTGCACAGGCACGTGACTCCTGCAGGCAATTTTGGGAGAGCGTAAAGTGGCAGGACGGATATTCCCGTGAAGTTACAACATGATCTGAGTATAATCGTAGGACATCAAGTCTTGACACTACTTGTGACATGATCAATTCTGCTATGCTCAATAATGCAGACTAGCAATAAGAGGCATTTGTCAGATACTAGTAACCATGAGGTACTGAGACGATTCTCTTTAGCAAACCACCCACTCCGCTATAAATGCTCAAATAATCTGTCATCTGCCTGCTCCAACTTGACTGTCCTCTTGACAAGTGAAAATCGCTGGCGTTGTCTGGGCCATAAAACCATTATTGGCATTAGTCCAACGCCTCCCTTGCTCCTCATCTCTGCATCTCGTAACGATAGGTCTGGCACATCGAAATCTAAAACTAAAATACTTGGAGCTCTTATTTGTTCAAGCTATATTTTCAGAGCCAGGAAGTTGCAAATGGCAAGAAACCCAGCTTCTCTTCACCATTGGTATCACGAGCTATGATCATTATCAGTGAGCAACGTTACTAGAGGAAAGTCGCTGGAGTGAACAGAAAGCTTTCCAAGCAGCAACGTTTCTTTCTCAGCAAGAACAAATAAAAATGAAAGAAGCAACACCAAGGATTTGTCTATCCCGGTATAGGTACCCGGGTGTGTGTAGCCTCTGGCATGGCAAGGTTCTGCCACAGATTTCCAGTACAACGGCCACGGACAAGTGTCCCACTGAGATGCGGTCGCTCGCCCGGACCGCTCCGACGCGGACACCTGCGAAGAGCAGCCTGTGACGTTTATTTTTTTATGACAGAAAACTGCAAAAATAGTTGGGCTTGTCCCTTTAAGGCCGATTCATACTTCATTTTTTGCGACGCGAAAGCGCGATGCGAAAGTGCGAAATGTCTTGCGTTGGCGACGGCTGATTTATACTTTTCAGGTCATTTTGCGAGACGCCGCGAGTCGCACTTCACGTGGTCAACTTTTTTGCAACTAAAAAATGTTGTTCTCTTGGCAACGGGAAGTTGTGCCGGGAAGCTGCAAAAATCCACTGACATGATGTGGTTCTCGTGTTTCTTTTCATTTTGAGAGAGACGAGCGCAAGAGCAAGAGCAAGATGGATATGGACACAGCGTTGGATGTCGCAGCAGCCTGTTTGCTGCTAGCTGCTGCGTTTCAGCGTCGGAGGACAGCACGGACCAGACGTTGGTGTGTTCGTCCGTATTACCAGCACAGGTTAGAGCGAGGGTCGTACCAGTCAGACATTGTGCAAATGAGAAGTGTAGACGAGAGCCTGCACTTCAAGTATGTGCGTATGTCCCCGGCTGTTTTCGACCGCTTACTCGTCCTGATAGAGCCGTTCTTGCCGGTGAGGCGTCAGCTGAATTCCGCAACAAGACCAGAAATCACCAATGCGGAACGATTAGCCCTGACGCTGCGATATCTGGCCTCAGGAGAGTCCATGCAGAACATTGCTATCCAGTTCCGTGTGGGCCACTCCACTGCCCACCACATCATTATCGATGTATGCCAAGCCATCTGGGCTGGTCTTGTGGACAAATACATGCAGTGCCCTTCAAAACCAGCTGAATGGGCTGCTGTAGCTACTGATTTCTACGCGAGGTGGAACTTCCCACACTGCATTGGTGCGATCGATGGGAAGCACATAAATATGCAAGCGCCTCACAACTCTGGCAGTAGCTTCTACAACTACAAGAACTTCCACTCCATCGTTCTTCTGGCCGCTGTGGATGCGCAATACCGCTTCATCATGGTTGACATCGGCGCCAGTGGTCGCGAAAGTGACGGCGGTGTGTTCTCTATGAGTGCCTTTGGCCAGTCTCTAGAGTCGGCATCAGCAGGTAATAACAAGACTAGCGCCAGTTTGTTTTTCATTAGACAAAATGCAATCCTAAAAAGAACAGTGCATGCTTCAGGCCTTTACTAGTATTAAAACACTTGTGAACTATCATTAATAAGAACAATAGTAATCGCAAGTTCACAGCGGTTTTCCAAGAGCGTTTTCTTGTGACAATCATCTGTGGGATAAATATTACAATAACATCCCAATATTACATGATGGAACAAGCGATTTTATGAAGAGAGCGTGCAACATTTACATTTAGATAGAGAAAAATGCAAACTATAACTGAAGTGTTCAGGGTGGAAAGAGAGAGATGAAGTGAAACCATTGATTAAAGTAGTGTATGTGTCGACACAATCCACATGATCGGTGAAGGGATATGTACGAAAGGCTTTTTTATGTTTTTTTCTTTCTCTTTTTTTACTAGGTCTTCCTGACGCAACCGATTCCGTCCCCGGACTAGGTCGGCTCCCTTACTTTATGGTTGGAGATGAAGCTTTTCCACTTCGCTCCTACATGATGCGACCTTACCCTGGGAAGCAACTTTCAATTGACAAGCGGATCTTCAATTACCGGCTGTCAAGGTATGAGACTCCAAATGACCTCGGTTTCCATTCTTCATTCTGCTCCAATACCGTATTATCTCCATTAAAAGTCCCAGGTTTATATATTTTCCAACCAGTCCGGGCCCTGGGTTTATAATTTTTCATCCATCTGGTACATGTAGATTGGTTGATATTTTTGTTTTTGTTATACCAGTAGCACAAGTGCTCAATTGCTCAAGGTCAAAAGGTTACAATTTGAAAATGTAGTCTGAATGTAGTCTGGAAAAATCTGTCTTTTACATTTTATGTGATTTAGTACTGTATGTTCTATGTAGGTAGTCTAGAGAGGGTCCAATGCAAATGAAATTGGTCAAAGTATGGTAGCAATTAAATGCATACTGTTCAACGACTGACCTCTGTATCGATCCCCTACCGTTATAGCTGCAGTACACACGATTTGTAGTGTTGCAGCATGCAACATTGGAGAACACCATTGCTTGTGCTGATATAAATACTTTTTTTCTTTCCTCACTTGTCCTCTGTAGGGCTAGACGCATTGTGGAAAATGCTTTTGGCATTCTTGTGGCTCGGTGGCGATTGTTTCGGCAGCCAATAAATGCGAAGCCTGAAAATGTTGTTCATTTCACGAAGGCCTGTGTAGTTTTGCACAATTTCCTCCAGACGGAGAGCAGCGCAACCTACTGTCCAAGTGGCTTCATTGACACAGACGTCAACGGTCGAGTGAGCGAGGGCTCTTGGCGGATTGACTTCAAGAACGGCGGACTCACTGACATTACCAAGGCAGCAAGCAACAACTTCACAAGGCATGTCAAGACATTGCGCGAGCAGCTGGCACGGTTTTTCTTGTCACCTGCTGGAGCTGTGTCCTGGCAAGTGGATGCTGTCACAGAAATTCATTGATGAGTGTTCTGGTCGGGCTTCCATTATTATTTTTTGTATTCTTCGTCCTGTTCTGTGTGTGTGTGTGTGTGTGTGTGTGTGTGTGTGTGTAGGTGTGTGTGTAGGTGTGTGTGTGTGTGTGTGTGTGTGTAGGTGTGTGTGTAGGTGTAGGTGTGTGTGTGTGTGTGCGCGTAGGTGTGTGTGTGTGCGTAGGTGTGTGTGTGTGTGTGCGTGCGTACCGTATTTCCCCGATTATAGGTCGCACTTGATTATAAGCCGCACCCCCATTTCCAGGTTTGAGCAATATTGTTTTGATATATTGACTCGATTGCAAGTCACCCTTTTCACCTTTTTCACCCTTTATTTTTATTTTTAGTGTAAAAAGGTGCGACCTATAGTCGGGGAAATACGGTACATGCGTGTGTGCCGGTGTGTGTGCGTGTATGTGTGTGTGTAGGTGTGTGTGCCGGTGTGTGTGTGTGTGCGTGTGTGTATGGGTGTGTGTGTGTGTGTGTGTGCGTGGGTGTGAGCGTGTTTATAGTTATAATTTGTTGCTGGTTTTCTACTCCTCTTCTTATTCTTTGTCCGGGCTTCCATGAATATTTTTGGTATTCTTCGTCCTGTTGTGTGTGTGGGCGTGAGCGTGTTTATAGTTATTATTCTTTGCTGGTTTTCTACTCCTTTTCTTATTCTTTGTCCGGGCTTCCATTATTATTTTTTGGTATTCTTCGTCCTGTTGTGTGGGTGTGAGCGTGTTTATAGTTATTATTTTTTGCTGGTGTTCTACTCCTTTTCCTCTTCATTGTCCGGGCTTCCATGATTATTTTTGGTATCCTCCGTCCGGTTTTGCTGTTGTGTGGGTGCATGTGCATGAATTTGAGCAAGTGCGAATGTGGACTCTGCTTCGATCCCGTAATTACGTTTGCTCTGGTCTAGCTTTATCTGCAAGTCCAGATGTGTGAGCGTGTTTATAGTTATTCTTTTTTGGATATTCTTTGTCTGGTTTTGCTGTTGCAAGTAACTTGAGCTTGCTCACGCAATTACGGTAAATGAGGCATGCATATAAATGTTTGCATGCAAACTCATCTCTGCATCGTGTGTGCGTGCGCATGAATTTGAGCAAGCGTGAATGTGGACTCTGCTTCAACCCCGTAATGATGGGCGCTCTGGTCTAGCTTTCCCCGTCCTACGTTGGTTGTTTCATATTCCCTTATTTCCAGCACTCAAAAATAACTTGTAATAATGTTATCCATGGCTGACGATTCATCTGCATCGCCCCAATTTCCGGGAGAAATCTGACCATAAACAATCAATATACAGTGTTGCTCAATGAGATCTAGCCGCGTCATGACGTCAGTAAAGTACACAGCCATAGACCGGCGACACTGGGAAGAGGAATGCTGCAAGGCGCAAACTTGAGTGACGCGACTGGATTTCATTGACCAGCACTGTATTTTACATGGCCTGATGACCGGTATTCTGATCTGGCGATCATACAACTGCACAGAATCAATCTGACGATAAACAATCAATATTATGTTGGAATACATGACCTGATGACCGGTATTGTGATCTGGCAATCAAACAACTGCACAGAATCACTCCTCGAAGTCAGCCAAAAGCTGCTGAACTTTAGCCTTGAGCTGCGCCTTGTTTTTTCTGGACAAATGTCCCATGCTAAGGGCAAGTGCATTGCACCAGGTGGCGTCTTCGTTGTCGCTGGCTGGTGCATTTACCCTCTGCTTGGCCAGTGACAACACGGTGTTAGCCGTTGATACCAAACTACTAGTCAGGTCCATGTCGTCAGCACGCCGTTTCTTGGCCTTTGGTGCCGTTCCAATTTTCTCAGCAGCTGGTGGTGCTGATCGATTGGCGGGTGCTGGGCTGTCCAGTGCTTCCTCCTCTGAGCAATCCTCACCAAGAGGAGACAGGGCCAGGGGAAGAGAGGAAGCCGAGAGAGGGAGAGAGGAAGGCGAGAGAGGAAGAGAGGAAGAGAGAGAAGAGGTTGAGGGGGAATGAGGTACTAGTACAGCGGCAGGGGGGACACATGTTGCTTCGCCAGTGTTTGATGTCGTCGCCCTCTTCCTTATTGTTGAGTCTACAAAATTCATGCAACTCCATAAGTGCCATGCAGGAGCAGGAACACAGACGGTTCCGGAGCCACTCCGGGGTAACTTGGAGATGTGCTCCCTCTTCAGACGCACGTAAGTATCGCGTAGATACTTAAATTTCTTTTGACATTCGGCGGGTGATCTCAGCTGGAGATCCTTGGCAGGTTGCGACTCTGCCACCTTCAGCCATGCACGCTCCTTCATGAATCTGGAAATAGCATGCACATGAAACAAAGAGGATTACAGGTATAAAGTAGATGAAGTGGTCGATGCGGAGACAACAATTTCAAGTAAGTAATGAACAATTGCAATCGAACTTTATAAATAGGGCACATTTCCTGCCATGCCAAGAACGAGGCTGGTACTCGATATTATGTATCCCTGAGTACAGTGTGTGCGACCATGTTATGATCAAGCCTGTCCCAGTCACTGGCGGCATTTCATATTCCGAACAAAAGTGTTGAAACCCCAATCAAGCCATCCAAGTTCCACCCAATTCTGCATGCTATTATATAAGGCAGATCGATGTAATTACTGCGGTGTAGTGTGCAAATTCCAGCACATTCAACACTGGACAACTACATTGTAGACTAGAATAAATTTCTGTACATGTAAAATGGAAAAGAAATGTGAAAGAACAAATCTACCTGTATGCAAGCAAGGCAAGTAACTCACTTGTCCTTGTTATGCTTTGAGGTTTTATCCCACAGACATCCGTACCGTCGCACCTCTTCAACAAAGTACTCCTCGTGGCTCGGCTTTCCTTCCACTACACTCACTTCAGGTGACTCGGGCTCGGGCTGAGAGTGAAAGCTGGAGTCTTGGAGCATCTCAGAAAACGATTGTGAATCTTCGAACGTAGCCATTGTCACAATACAAGGTGTGGAAATGAAAATCAGTAATACCAAGAGTACATAAACTGTTTAGGTACTCTTGGTAACACCGTACAGGAAGAGTAGACAGCAAGGAAATGAAAGCCAAATACAAAAAGTCTTCCTTGTCAACAACATGTTCTCGAGCTCCGGGAAATAATTCAAAAAGCAACTCGTACGAAAAACATTTGCAGACAAAATACAATACACACAAAATAAAATTGTGAACTCCTACGCGCCCGTGCCGCCATTGTTTTTACCATGGTGAAGCGCTGTCGTCTCGCATCGCTGTCGCGAAAAGTTGAACTTGGCCAACTTTGGCGTTTTGGTGTTTGCGTTGGTTTGCGAAGCAAGTGCGACGTCGCAAACTCAACGCATCGCATCGCATCGCGCTTTCGCGTCGCAAAAAATGAAGTATGAATCGGCCTTTAGTCCTACCCGTTATGCGGCGGTTAGGCGAGCATGCAGCATTCATTAGAATAAAGAAATTGTCAAAAAAGGGGACTTGTAGCAGACTGGATACAGCGATGGACGAATACGAATAGTTTTAGCCCATAATTATAATTATGTGAACAAGAGGAAGGATGCGTGTCTGTGCAAGCAGAAGGAGCGGTAGGGGTAGCAGCTATGTGTACGAACTTGGTGCCTACATGACATGTACAGGTATTATGGCATGTAGACGGGTGAAGTATAAGTACTAGTATACTTATGAGGGAAGGAACTAGTAACTGCGCGAGCGAACAGATGAGTCCATAAAAAATTGCATCTCGGCGTCATTCTTTAAATTCTCCGCCGGCCCTAGCTCGTGCCTCGTACTTGACCTCCATTTCCTCCATTTCCAGCATTCCGAGAGACATTATAATTTAAACTATCCGAATAAAGAGAAATGAATGCATTCGGAATGCTTCTTCAACAGGATGATGTACAGGTTCCTGCACGAGTGCGAGGGCAGCACTGACTGTACTGCGGAATCCAACCCGCGGCGCGATAGGGGCAAGAGTATGACTGTACCACGATGTCGGCCTATTTCGGGGGGATATCCTATTTGTGTACATGTATGTACAATGAGCATTGTGTGCTCAGTATACATGTAGTTGGGAAAAGAGAAAGTGTGCAAAGTGATTTTGTAATTAATATTTTGTAATTTTTATTCCCCGAAGGCTTTAGTATCGAGAGGGTTCCAAACTTTCCATAATACCAAAGCATATAATATAATTATAAATACCAAAGCCGTATAAGGAGTGATGAGCAATACTTCGAAGTACGTTATGTAGGTGAGCAAAGAAAGTGATAAAGTCTTGTGAGTGAAGTCACTGAGTCTAGAGTAGAGGTCTCAGTGTCTGCTCCAGCGCCGGGTAATCCACCCGGTTGGGCGGCGCTTGGACCCGGTTGAAAGTATAGTACCGGGTCACCTGTGACCCGGTTGGTACTTTACACTTTCGAACTTTGATAAAGTTTGAAAGGGCTGGCTACATCGCTTGTATGTGTCAGATACTTCTTCTTCTTTCGTAATTATCTAATTCCTGTCCTCTCTTTTCTAAATGCGGCTTATCCATTCGCCTTTATATCATTGGGCCTAGTTCCCGTTTATTGTCCGAATTAAAGCATGTGACTCGGCTGGTGAGACAGCGCCAGGTACATGTGTACCCGGCTCCGACCCGGTTGAAATGGTTGCACCAGGTACACGTGTACCCAGCTGTCCTACAATCCTAGAGCAGACACTGGGTCTGTGCTGGAACAGACATGTACCGGCATGCAAGCGTTCAGGACTGGGATAATTAATGATGAAAAGTGTGCCAGAGATAAACTTCTAAAGATAACGCAATACGTGCGAGGTGACACTACTACATCTTCAGCGGAATTCGGAAAGATAGACGCTGTACAAAAGATACAGTGAAAGAACCAGCATGTAAATCAATGATTGCGCATGAAAGGCCGAACTACAGTGTACTACTACATGTACAGTGGTCCCTCTATAATCCGGCACCATTTGTGCCACGAAAATCTGCTGGATTAGTGAGGGTGCTGGATTAACAAATCTGATTTACTGCTGCAATGTACATGAAGAGGACATTTTGGCTACTGAAAATTGTGCTGGTTTATCGAGGGTGCTGGATTATAAAGTGCCGGATTAGAGAGGGACGACTGTAGTAGTATGTAGTCGAACAGGAAGTCCACGGGTACGTGTAAATAAGACCTAATGTCAAGAGCACTTTTTCGTATAAACGTTTGTCGGAAGCGTCTGCTCCGAAAGTCGGAGCCCGAAAGTCGGAGCTCGCGCTACTTCCTGCCGACTGACTTGACACTTGACTGACTCTCGACTGCGTCTGGAGCACACGAGAAGCCCGTCGAACCTTCCACTCGGCAAACCTGCAAGAAAGCACCACTCCCTGCTCACAGTGTTTCGGGGAATTCGTCCCTCCTCATCAGTTGAGCTTGAGTAAGCTTTGTAGTAATGAAATTGCTGCTCCAAGAGCACATTGCATATTTTAAAAATGTAGTGCTCTCCGTGTGCAGTGACGCTAGCGCTCCGCTTCCAGCGCGACAAATACCTCGCGAGCCAGCTAATCTTCATTCCAGGATTACCGGGCCAAAGGCTACGCCTATCAGGGGGGGGGGGGGGGGGGGCTCCTATTAGTATTTGTGTACACGTACCGGGTATGTACAATGAACATTGGAGTTGGGAGAAAGATGAGGTGTGCAAAGTGAGTTCGGAAGAGATAGATGCTAGCCTAGTCTGTAGTATAGTCGCAACATCTTTTGCGTACTCAGTACTCTTGATGCACCAAAGGCAAAGTGACCATAAATTAGGCATAATGTAGACTCTACCATGGTGAATCTATTACTACACGCCAGCTTTCTCCCAGCTTTCTCCCCATACCTCACACCAGATTTAGCGCTAAATTTGTTTATGCTTGTGGCCCTATGTGTTTATAAGCATACTGTCGGGTAGACCCGAGTATCAGTTGTCTGATGATTGCCTAGCGGCATGAAACTCAGAGTTACAACCAACTTGAACGTCCTCCGCTGAGTCTGCTATATTACTACACGATGTAATAGATAAACTTTGTTTTAGTTCACCAACCTCGTCTACAGAGATATGAGTACCTTCTGGCTTCTCACCACGGTGTAATGGTGGTGACAGTGACTATTGTCAGCTGATGAGCTGAGAGAGGGACGCTATGGGCGTGTTTTATGACTATCAAGAAGACATCCAGGCAGGAGCGATCACAGAATACGCGACTAACGTTAGGAGAAGTCTAAAAAAACTCCCCTAGAATAGTCAGAACCGGGTCTAAGACCCATACGGTTCAGAGATGGTCTCAACAGACCGGTGCTCTACCAACCGTGAATGGTTGTAGAAAGGTCACTGTTTCCGAACACGGTCTCCACCTTGTTACATGCTGTCAACCAGGGAGTAGTAGAAATACAGTATTTTACTACTCCCTGCTGTCAACAAACAACAGACTCTACCATGACATCAAGAGTTTATCTACTCTTGATGACATGTATGTACCAGCACTGGCAGCAGTCATCATTTGCTGGGGGGGGGGGGGGGGTGATCCGCGGATCAAGGAGTAGTAAAAAATACAAGTGTACCGGTATTTTTACTACTCCCTGCCGCGAACCATGCATGATGATGGACTGGACCTGCATATGTAGATGATAGTAGTGATCATGTACCTGCAAACGCGCAGTGTTAGCCGCTAGATGCTAGCGCCATGCACTCACCACAGTGAACCCCGTGAACCAAAGTGAACCAGCCATATCGGGCGCCCTGCTAAAGCAGCTGCGTCCGCCAGCAGGATCAGTAGCGGGAGCACACCCTCGACACACCCCTGCCATGCCTTGCCCTAGCCCTGGCGCCTGTGATGTTTCCTGTGGCGACGCCCCAGCCAAGGGTCTAGTCTAACAAGAACTGAAGTCGTGAAGAAGAAAACTACAAGTAGGTTTGTTTGTCTACTGGTGAACTCAGATTGTTTTGTGTAGGAGCAGAACGATTCTTTTGCCCGAAGAAGAAGGCTTCCGGTAGCCACAGGCGAATTGAGCAATGCTAACCTGTTGAGAAGTGAACGTAGGTCAGTGTTGTGCTTGCGTAGCGCTTAGTGTTTCACAGTCACAGGTGAGGTCGGATAGGGCCGTTCATTGGTCGGATAGGGCCGTTCATTGGTCTGTATCATCCCACTGCTGCCCGCGACATTGGAAATGAAAGCAGGCCAGGTGGTCGTCCTTCTGCTCCTCTGGCCAGCGGTGCTGGGGCTGGTCGATGGTGCGCAGGCTCAAGACGTCAATGATGGTATGGATATGGGAGCCTTCTGCTCCTGCTGTGTGTGTGTGTGTGTGTGTGTGTGTGTGTGTGTGTGTGTGTGTGTGTGTGTGTGTGTGTGTGTCTTTCCCGGTCTTCTGCGCGCAACACACACTGCGGCGTTGACCTCCTCTTCCCCCCTCCTCCTTCTACTTACCGGTACTCTCATTCGTATTCTTCTTATCTTCTCCCACTGCCTACATTCCTTTCCCTTGTTCCCAGCCGCTCAAGAGATTAAACGACTTGTTGTGGGGTTTACTATTCAGTTTGCAAGTGATTTTCCCGAAACGCGCGCTCTCGCCACTGTAGTCCTATTCCTCGCCTCCTATTCCTCCTCGCCTCCCTCTGTATTGAGCATTCAGTCCTACTGTCATCGGGCATGCTTGCCCTTCTGAATCACGAATCGCAGTAAGCACAACGACGTCAATAACATCAAGCACACACATGTATGTACATTCAGGGTTTCAGACGGAGGTTACTACAAATATAGTACACAATCACTCGCTCATATGGTAAACACGGGTCCTGTAAAAATGCCCTGTGGCGATGGTCTGCTCCAGTGCTGGCCATGCCAGGTTCTGGGCCAGCCTGAAAGAAAGCCCATGGTCGGGGTAGGTAGGCCCAATTCATCAGCACTCTACTCCGGCTCCCCGTTGTATTGTCATGTTTTCCCCTTGGTTCTCCCTTCTCATTACGTTCTCTGCTGGGCCGTGTACTTCAATATAAAAAGCGGGTACTTTGTACTTTGAGCCTGTGGCTCTGCATCATCCTCCACTGTGAATAGGAAGACGGCTGTACCACGCGCTCTTTTCCTTCGCTTTCTTGTTATTGGGCAACCTGCCAGTTAGAATCTGCGAAGTAAAATAAACAGCAGCAACGACTCTGTAACGTGGAAATTGTGGGCACAAGTTATGCGATCGAGTCCACCAACTAAACCAGATTTTGTACAGTCAGACGTGCACAATCTAGCACAATTTCCATGTTACAAATTTTTCCTTGGCTCACCATCTGAATTCTTAACAACAACTCTATATGGAGCATTACTTTCCAAAGCTGTCCGACTTGAATTTCGCTTCTGAGGTGCAACGAGAGAGCTTGGAAGCTCAGGGCCCTACGCTATGCGTTTTTGCCTTGATGACCTAGACAAAAAAAAGCATAGGGATGTTATAAATTCTTTAAAAAATTCCTTTCTTTTAAGACATAACCTGGGATTCGAACCCGCACTATCGCGCGCCCTGCATGCATCCCCGATACACTTCGCATACATACTAATTCTTCCAAGTTGTTTCACATTGTGATCTTGCATTTGAAAGCCCTATTTGAATATGCATTGTGGCCAGCCGTCTTTGATAGCATGGTACGGTAGGGGATAGGTACGGGACAGGTACAATCGAGGGTAATACGACACCGTCTCCCGTACCGTACCGTACCATCAAACACAGCTGGCCACATACAGCTGCCCGCAATATTCAAATAGGGCTTTCAAACGCAAGATAATAACGTGAAGCAACTTGGAAGAATGGGTATGAATGCGAAGTGTATGGGGGAATGCATGTAGGGCAATAGTGCGGGTTCGAATCCCAGGATATGCCTGAAAAAAAAAATAGGAGAATCGAAAAATTTATAACATCCTATGCTTTTTGGCCCTCAGATACGGATAGCGCCAGGCGTGACACAAACAAACAAACAAACACACAAATACCAAATTAAAGCTGTGTGGACCCTGGCTAGCGCCAGACGTTACTGAAGTAACGTCTTCTGCATAGCTACGGGAATAAAGCACGATGCTATCGACCTTTTCACCATACTAACACGATAGGGTCACGTTTAGACACTATTAAAAGAATAAAATAAAATTATCGGAGCCCATGGGTGTGGCGAATGGGATTTAGACCTTGGCCACATCGAGAAGTCGCATCTGATACCTGATCATGGGGTGGTGGCGTCCCACTGAAGCGGAAAGGTGGTTCTTGACCCGCCCTGTACGCGAACCCGTGCACTTTTTTATAATTTGTTTTATCGGAACCCACAGCTGTCAAGAGGAAAGCTTCACTTCTTACTAGTGATAGACAATAAGCCTCCTGCCAACTGTCTGTGGCGACAAGTCCTCCTGCCAACTGTCTGTGACTACAAGTGCTCCTGCCAACTGACTGTGACTAAGTTAACAGTCCTTATTCCAACTGTTTGTGACTACAAGTGCTCCTGCCAAGTGTCTGGTGACTACAAGTCCTCCTGCCAACTGTCTGTGACTTCAAGTCCTTCTGCCAACTGTCTAGTATGTGAGACTACAACGGAATGATAACTTTACATTTGTGGGATGCTGAAGCTATCTGCTATGTGTGTAGGTCTATTCGCATCCTCCAGAATCAGTAGGGCGTGAAGGTGCTACGTGAGGATGGCTATCTGTGGAAGTGTTCACGGTCCGAACTTGCAGACAGTCAAGTCGAAGCGGGCTGGGGTTCCGATGGGTTCTGGTGAATGTACGGGGTTTTGTTTGCCTTTATATCATTGGGTCTAGTTCCCGTTTACTGTGTGCTTTGAAATAAACCAATCAACCGACATCGTAGGCAAGCTTCCATTATGATACACTGCTCTTGATTGCTTGCAGCTCTTGGCTACAGTTCCTACACGTTCTCTACTGGGTATTGTGGACACTGGGGTAGTATTATGCACCCGTCCCTTCCCCTGCCCCTGTCCCTGCCTATCCCCTCCCTTCCCCCTGCCCCTGTCCCTGCCTATACCCCTCCCTTCCCCCTGCCCCTGTCCCTGCCTATCCCCTCCCTTCCCCCTGCCCCTGTCCCTGCCTATCCCCTCCCTTCCCCCTGCCCTGTCCCTGCCTATACCCCTCCCTTCCCCTGCCCCTGTCCCTGCCTATCCCCCTCCCTTCCCCCTGCCCCTGTCCCTGCCAATCCCCTCCCTTCCCCTGCCCCTGTCCCTGCCTATCCCCTCCCTTCCCCCTGCCCCTGTCCCTGCCTATCCCCCCTTCCCCTGCCCCTGTCCCTGCCTATACCCTCCCTTCCCCTGCCCCTGTCCCTGCCTATCCCCTCCCTTCCCCCTGCCCTGTCCCTGCCTATCCCCTCCCTTCCCCCTGCCCCTGTCCCTGCCTATCCCCTCCCTTCCCCTGCCCCTGTCCCTGCCTATACCCCCCGCTCCCTTCCCCCTGCCCCTGCCTATACCCCTCCTCGACCCAAACCGGCACCATACACGGTTCATTGTGCAGGTTTGAATGATGACACTTTGTTGTATGTCATTTTTCTGCAGTTCCTTCCATCACCGATCCAAATCCAACAGTGCCACCATCTTCATCACCAGGTAAGTTAGTTAAGAGTCAATGTCTGAGTGGACCTTGTTCGTCCGCATGCGTGCCTCTCTCCCATAAAAAAATCAAAAATTCTCTCGGGTTGCTATGAGCATGCGCGGTCACATCATGCATTTTCAGGTACTGGAGGGCCGCGGCTGTGCCCCAAAGAGATTTTTTCGATTCTTGAATTTCCAACTGCAATGCATACCTAAAATCCCCCAATGCACAGCTACTATGCCGTGATTTTTTACTTGCACGACGAGATATAAATGCACACGTGAAAACTCGCGTGCTGCCCAGTACACGAGAAAATGCTGGGCCATCTCAGAAGGCGAAATTTTGTATATTTATACTTCCTCCGCGTCATCGAAATTGTCGCAGTTTGACTAGTGACTTGTCACTTGTTACTGACAACTCCATAAGCTAAGCCATTCAAAACTTATTACACAGTATGATAGTCTGAAGACTAGAGTAACGTTCCAGGACAGTTGGACTGAGAGTTTTCATGCAGAGATGAAGTCCTCGTCGTCGCTGATGTCAATGGACGCAAAAATATCGTTCCGAAATATTTCAAGGAAGGTTGAAAGTTGGTCGCGCCTCATCTCAAACGCTTTGACTTTCTCCACAGGACAAGAGCTGCTATGCTTGTCGTCTGCTAGCTCTGGATGATTCCTACTACACCGCCAGCGAAGCCTAGTAAGAATATACGATCGTTGCGAGGTCGGTTGATTACCATCGGCGGAATCACCTCGATCTTGAAATGAACTTTTTTTAGCCATGGCATGCCCATTTTTTTTAGCTGTGCGGTCACAGCTCATGCAGGTAAGTGTACCATGGTGTACTATCACGTCCAGCGCGCCCTCTTTTTCAGCATCATTGGTACGGCACCTGCGCGTGCATCACTAGCACCACGTGTAGAGTCTACATAGCTCTTGCAGGTACAGTCATGTACTGAGTGTCTCAGCCAGAGCGACAAATTTTATCGCTGTTGCATGCATTTAGTTTGCTGGCCCCTCGATGTTTCTCCAAGCACTGCTACTTGTTCCACAAAGTCATTTTCACCCCAGCTAAGGTAAAACAGTGATGAGGCTTGATTGAATGGCCATAAGCACGAGAAATGTGCAGGCTGCAACGCCTGACTGATCTCAGCGAGTCGAAATTACCATCGCAGCGACATCAGCGAAGAAATTGCGTCTAGTTCAAAAATTTCAGCTTCCAATAACAGAAAATATAACTTTGCCGTCACCCTATACTAATGACTATCGCCTATGTCCGATTTCTTGCCTCTGGTACGAGTGCTGGTGAGTAAATACCCCGTTTTATATCGAAAGTCAAACTGCGACAATTTCGATGACGCGGAGGAAGTATTAAAATTTTACAGTACTCCTGCCCAACACTATGTGTGACCGTTGCGTGTGCGTGTGTGTGTGTGTGCGTGTGTGTGTGTGTGTGTGTGTGTGTGTGTGTGTGCGTGTGTGTGTGCGTGTGTGTGTGCGTGTGTGTGTGTGCGTGCGTGTGTGTGTGTGTGTGTGTGCGTGTGTGTGTGTGTGTGTGTGTGTGTGTGTGCGTGCGTGTGTGTGTGTGTGTGCGTGCGTGTGCGTGCGTGTGCGTGCGTGTGCGTGTGTGTGGTTGTGTTGAGTACCCAATCTCCAGCTTGGCACCAGTGTGGAAATCGGTCATACATGTACCCAGAAAACGTGAGAAAGAATTTGTCAATGGCCGTCGAGCACTGCAGGGTGTACGCCGAGGGTGGGCAGATCGCCACCCCACGCAATCTTGTGGAGCAGGGATGCATGAATAACTCAAGTCTCGACACACTCTGGCTGGGCGTGTACAGAGTTGGTGGCGCTTGGCTGGATTTGAAAACGAAAACAGAAATAACAGCCGCTTTTTGGGGAGAACATGAGCCGAGCGGAGGCGATTGTGCGACAATGCGGTACGACTCAAATGACGGCTACAAATGGGATTCTACCGAAGCCTGTGGCCAGAAAATCGGTTTTGTTTGCGAGAGACAAGGTAGGGTACCAACAGCATTGTGCGAATACGGTTGCTTCCTGTACTACGGGAGAGCTGTCATGTATGCAGTGATCACAACTTTCTTTATGATTCACCCAGAGTATGCGGAAATTCCGGCTCTCAAACATCAGCTGGGAATAGGTTGACGGTTGGCAGAACGGTGAAAACTTCAGGATGTGTAGAGTTGCTAACGCTGAGTTGATTGGTCTAGGCCGCAAGAGATTCCGGCCTAGACCATATGAGCTGGTTACGTTGGTGGGCAGTTAGTCATAACTCGTACCATTTTTGTCCTTCTCCATCTTCTCCATGTTTACATTGGCTCACCGTTCAAGTTCAACTAGATCTTTGTGTGACCTTGTTGGATAAGACTAGCACAATGCTGGTCAGAAAGATAGATTTTTGGCATCATAGCCAGCAATCGCATGTCACCACGTACATTCAAAATCAACATCATTTTGCGAATCGACTTTTTTTCAGGATCACCTTTCAACGAGGACGAAGCAAAGTCGGCCGAACGAAGCCTAGAGGAAGAAAATCACCCTCTCCACTTCACCATCACGACACTGACATAGATACGAGATGAAACAACTAAAAAATCCACAAGAAAACTGTACGGCCATCATCGCGCTGACTTTGGTCTGACTTTGGTCTGAGAATTTCTATCACGATCAAAAATGTACGAGGAGCACTCAAAAATTAGCCACAGACGTACCTTTATCGCTCTCTACTCCTTTTTCAAGGCACAAATGTTGTACCTCGCTTTTCTCTTCCTGCTCCCAGTCCCGTGCCATCTCCACACTTATACAAAGGGACGACGATAACTACATTTAGGAAGACTATTTATTGACACGACGACGAAACACAACTAGACATGACGAACTCAAGACGAAGACACCATTTCACACCACAGCAACACGCGCATGCACCAACATGACGTACACACGACGTACACAAAATAACGTACTACAACATAACTCCCTCCCAAGAGTAGAATCGTCCTCGATTCTAATAATAAACAGAGTAAAAAGAGGAAAAGATCACACAAATCACTCAATCATACCACATGTACACCCGTCACACCCAGAAATAAAATACCTCTGCCTGCACTGCAGATTACAAAAACTCTGTCCGCCCACCCAGAACACCAGCCACGATCGCTGTCACACGTGTAGGAACTGATAACCTCAAAAACTCTACTTCACACAACACACCACCTCACGATCACGCAAAAATTCTAAAAATGTGAGAGCACAAATCATATGAATAACAAAAAGAACAAAATCCACTGGCTCTGTGGGGGCCTCTAGTTATCCTCATAGAAGAGCAAATAAAGAAACAAACAGAACACACGCGCTGTGCGGGCGCCTCTTTACCCTCGAGGAGAGCAAATAATAAAGAACAAAATGTTGGGAGAACAGAAAATACAAAACTCACATTCTCATCACATTCACAACAACACACGTACCCTCTCACCAACGAAACTCCTCACGCCGTCTGCCATGTCGTCCACCATCTCCAGGAGCGCTGCTCAGCGTCGACATCCTCACTTCTGCAGCCTCTTCTTCTTCTCTTCACCTTCCATCCTTCTTTTTTCTTTTCTTTTTCAGGTTTTCTGGGCACAGTTTTACGTCGTGTCCGGGACCACCAGTGACGACGACTGCCAAGAGACGGGAGAGACGAATGATGAAGGACGAGGACGACGGACGAACTTCTTCAAGACGGACAAAACTGTGACGATAGGACGACTGGAGATGACATCGGAAACTGGGAGCGAAGGCCACGCAGGACGAATCCAGAAGTTGAGATTTACAAATTTCCATTACCGCTGCCACCAATGTTGTAACTCGCTTTCTCTTCCTGCTCCCAGTTCCGTGCCATCTCCACACTTGTACAAAGGGGACGACGATAACTACATTTAGAGGACTGTTTATTGACACGACGAAGAAACACAACTAGACATGACGAACTCAAGACGAAGACACCATTTCACACCACAGCAACACGCGCATGCACCAACATGACGTACACACGACGTACACAAAATAACGTACTACAACACAAACATAGCCAGCAATCGCGTGTCATCACGTACATTGAAAATCAACATAATGTTTCTAATCGACCTTTTTTTCAGGATCACTTTTCAACGAGGACGAAGCAAAGTCGGCCGAACGAAGCCTAGAGGAAGAACATCACCCTCTCCACTTCACCATCACGATACTGACATAGATACGAGATGAAACAACTAAAAAATCCACAAGAAAACTGTACGACCATCATCGCGCTGACTTTGGTCTGAGAATTTCTATCACGATCAAAAATGTACGAGGAGCACTCAAAAATAAGCAACAGACGTACCTCTATCGCTCTCTACTCCTTTTTCAAGGCACAAAAGTCGACTCTCCACTTTCAAACCAGGAACCAGACATACCAGTGGTCCTTTTCAGCTGCTCCACGAGCGGAGGGAATGTTCACCAAGGGGCGCAGAGCAGCATCCATTCCAGAAAAAGAGCTAAAATACGAGTGAGACTGCATGCCTGAGTACATGAGTACATGTATGAGTACATGCAGAAAATAGTCAATTTCAGCGTTTCTGCTCCAAACAGCAACTAGCTTCGACTAGAAACAAAGATTACACCAAAGGATCAAACAACAACCATTTTCTGCAGTTTTTTTGCAGATGGCTTCCTTGTGCTTGGCCCAGCACGCCAAAAATCACACCTCGGAGGAGTACAAAATTACAACTCTCAGATGTCCTCGATTGCTGGCCATGAGTCGACTCTCCACTTTCAAACCAGGAACCAGACATACCAGTGGTCCTTTTCAGCTGCTCCAAGAGCGCAGGAAAGGTTCACCAAGGGGCGCAGAGCAGCATCCATTCCAGAAAAAGAGCTAAAATAAGAGTGAGACTGCATGCCTGAGTACATGAGTACATGTATGAGTACATGCAGAAAATAGTCAATTTCAGCGTTTCTGCTCCAAACAGCAACTAGCTTCGACTAGAAACAAAGATTACACCAAAGGATCAAACAACAACCATTTTCTGCAGTTTTTTGCAGATGGCTTCCTTGTGCTTGGCCCAGCACGCCAAAAGTCTCCACAAGTCCAGTCTGTGTGCAAGCGTGCGAGTGCGTCCTTAGGTATGCTACAACCCCACTGCCAACACTTGAATGATAACTGCAGAAAATTGTTCTTTAAGTCGTACATTTTGCCTATATTTGACTATTGCGATATAGCTTGGTGCGGGTTGTCTCAGACTTTACTCCACAGACTGGAAGTACATCAACGCTTGCTTCTGAAAATTCTGTTTCGAAAAGACCAAACATTTGCCTCCCTTTGTCTTTATAAACTTGCTTCCACGCACCCTCTTCTTGCCCGACATCAGCAGCATCTTTGTATCCTTGTGCAAAAAATCTTCCTAGCCCAAGTCCCGAAACATATTGCCAAGTACAACTGGTTTGTTACCACTAGACCAACACGCAATGCCTTATCACTGCCCCGAGCTAGTTCCTCTCTGTTTTTGAAATCCCCTTTCTTCTCAGCATACTCCCTTTGGTCTAACCTGCCTACTAGCATTAAGACATGCCAGGATATCAGGAAATTCACAGTCCAGCTTTCCACACTGTCTCATCCGAAGTGATCCCATGTATTATTAATGTGCCTCCCTTTCTTTTTCTCTCCCTATCTCCTTTCCCTCTCTGACAGCATCTTTCTTTTTCTCCCTTTTAGCTTGCCGTGGTTGGCTATCACCTGACCTCTCATGTTTATTGGCAGTCTTCGGACGGGCCAGGAGATGTTGAATAAATAAATAAATAAATAAATAAAATCACACCTCGGAGGAGTACAAAAATTACAACTCTCAGATGTCCTCGATTGCTGGCCATGGCTTTGTCTTCCATTGCCTCATGACAACCTACAGTGGCGGATGAATTAGTTTAATTTACTGTGTGTGTGTGTGTGTGTGTTTGTGTGTGCGTATGTGCGTGCGCGTGTGTGTGTGTGTGCGTGTGTGCGTGTGTGCGTGTGCGCGTGTGTGCGCGTGTGTGTACATGTGTGCGTGTGTGTGTTTGAGAGAGAGTTTGTGTGTGTGTGTTGGGGGGGGGGGGGGGTATGGGTGCGTGCATCTGTCCATGCGGGCTTACGTGTCTGTGTGTAAATGTGTACTGCTCACCATCTTGTACTTGCAGGAGGCGTCCCTACACCCAAACCAACAATAACAGCTGCAGGACCACAGCCAAGTAAGAAAAAAATTCTTTGCAAAGTGTAGGGGTAATGCGAGTACATGATACACTGCCATGAAGAAAGACAGTTGAGTGGTTTCGTGCACTCGCACATGTTGTCCAGGCGTCAGGGGCCCAGCCTCCCTGCCCATCCGACCCGCCACACACAACAACGAAACTGAACTGGGAGTTCTACATAATTTCTTGACAAGACGGAGACGGACAGACAAGAAGACCGGACACGACGAGGTAAACTGAAAACTGAAGAAAAAGACTAACATTTATGGCAGCATACGAGCATGCGCCCAAACAAAACATAACGCATGACAATGACGTAACCGTTACTTGGATATGTACAAACTATACATGCAACCAAAACCAGTCAAATACGAGTCAAAGCAGAACGCAAAACAAACCAAAATAAACGAAAGGACCACAACAAAAATGAGCCATGAAAAGTCTTTCTACCGATACACAACAAGTGGCAAACTGGGAGAAATATGTACTGAGATACACTAAAAGCCCTGATATGGAAACCAGCTAAGTTGGAAAAGTAAAACATTATTGACTTTTGAGTGGCAACAGTGCTGCAGTACTGTCGGTCGCCGAAGAACTTGGGGGGGGGGGGGGGGGGGGGTCAGCCTCCTAGCCTCCTAGCCTCCTAGCCTCCTAGCCTCCTAGCGTAGACCGTTCTTATTTTCATGTATTACAGTCCATGCGTAGTTGAGTCACCGTGTATACATTGGTATGCTGTGCTTGATGAAATTCTAGCCTGGTCGTTCTTCGGCTCTCTGTTCTTTGGTGCTCCGTTCTTCGGCTCTCTGTTCTTCGGCTCTCTGTTCTTTGGTGCTCCGTTCTTCGGCTCTCTGTTCTTCGGCGCCCGGTAGTACTGTATGAGGAGTCATTCACATAACCTCTATTAACATCTTGTTTTCACCCATTGGGTTAGTTCTGGCTAGATTGACTCTTGTGTGTGTGTGTGTGAACAATTGTGCTGGTGACACTTATATCAGAATATGATAATTATACAGGGGCGTCGAAAGGTAATCTAGTGTGGTACGGTCAGCCATCTGAAGAACAGAATACGCGTGAGGGAAGTGTGGCGGAGTCGAAAATTTTGGAAATTTAGAGCCCAGATCAGTGCATTTTATTGATTCACGGGGTACCTGCGGCAAAAAGTGCTACGGTCAATACCGTAGTGACCGTAGCGTGTCCGATGCCCCTGTAATAAGTGTAGTGTGCGTTGCTATGTCAGAGTGAATATTATACACTCAGAGTGAATATTATACACTCAGAGTGAATATTATACACTCAGAGTGAATACTATACACTCATAGTGAATATTATACACTCAGAGTGAATATTATACACTCAGAGTGAATATTATACACTCAGAGTGAATATTATACACTCTGACATAGCAACGCACACTAGTAGAGTAAAACTTGGCGTAAGCGACCTCTGGGTTTAGCGACCACCTGCTCTTAACGACCGTTTTTCCATGCACCGACAGTTCTACACAGCAACTGTGGGACCTGGTTCTAAAGACCACCTGGCTTTAACGGCCGCTTTTGCTTGCACCGTGGGGTGGTTGCTTAAACCAGGTTTCACTGCATACTGTATTGCTGTCACTGAGGTAAAGGGGTAAATGAAATTTGATCCCGTGATGGATGCCCTGATACCATCAATCCTTGCACAGTGTCCTCACGCACTTACTGTGGTGTGCTCAGCGTATTTTGCCAGATTATTCACAAGTTCAACTAGAGTTTGGGGATTCCAGGGGGCATCAGTTGTTCGGCAGTGCAATAGCCTTTTGAGTCATCATTTCAAGACTCCTTTTGAATCTGTCTCACCTCTCCCGGAAGCTCAACGTCGCAAGGACCAGTTTTATGTAGTGAAGAGGTACACGTAAAACGTGTGCTTGTGTGTTTGTGTGTGTGTGTGTGTGTATGTGTGTGTGTGTGTATGTGTGTGTGTGTATGTGTATGTGTGTGTGTGTGTATGTGTGTGTGTATGTGTGTGTGTATGTGTGTGTGTGTGTGTGTGTGTGTGTGTGTGTGTATGTGTGTGTGTGTGCGTGTGTGCGTGCGTGCGTGTGTGTGCGTGCGCATGTGTGTGCGCATGTGTGTGCGCATGTGTGTGCGCATGTGTGTGTGCATGTGTGTGTGCATGTATGTGTGCATGTTGTGCATATTGTCCACGCGCGGGCGCTCGCACGCGCGTTTTGTGTTCTTCCATTCCCCAGTCTGGTCCCAGTGTACGAATGCATCATCTGCGTACGCTTACATAAGAGCCAGAAAGACGTTTGTCGACGCCGCACATTACTGCAGGGAACAATTTTCGGGCGCAACACTGGCCGCCCCGGGGAACGATTTCGAACAGAACTGCGTGACCCGTTTGAGACCCGACACTACAACTTGGCTTGGCTTCCATAACGTGGCAGGAGTGTTTATGGACTTTGAAACCGGGGCAGCCATGACGTATCGGAACTGGGCCACGGGCGAGCCCAACGGCGCCATGTGCGTAACCATGTATCATCACCGTGACGACGTGAGAGGCAAATGGGACGACACCGAGTGCACGGTGCGTCACCATTTCATTTGCCAGCGATCAAAAGGAGGTAAGAAAGAACGTTCAGGCTAGAGGAATGGTGGGTTGATCACAATCCCTGGGACTGTACTTGCAGTAGTGCATGTACATACCGTAGTGTCGCGTATTAGCCGGGCTTGTTCCTGAAGAAGCCGATGTCAGGGCTAGGCTTCTATTCACACTCGGGCATCCATTCAAACCAGGTATTTCTATGTATGTCAACACTAAAACCAGGCTTATGTGCTGACAGTGTATCTAAAAAATCAGGCTTGTATTCAAGACAGGCTTCTATACAAGATAGGCTTTAATACAAGACACTACGGTACCTTGGTTCAAACTGCACACATTCTGCATGTGTCTCGAATGCTTGTAATTTCTCTGCATGGCGATTGTGCATTATGCGGTCTGCCAAGTCACGGTACGGCAGAGTGGGTATCTTTGTTTTCATTTCAATCTCTTCGGACCACCAAGTCTCTTAAGAGAGCATGTCTGAGAATACCAAAGTTTGTGTGCAAGTGGATCTCTCCGATTTCGCTCAAAATTTGCAGGTAGGTTCCCTTTGGGGTGTGGATCGATTGTGCAAAGCCCTTGAAAAAGTTTCTGAAGGGAACCTTGAAATTTGCATACCCCTCAAAATGGCCTAAATATCACATTATTTATGGGTCTAGAAACGAGTCACGCCACAGCGTATCCGAACAAGCTATGAACAAAACTCCATCAAGCCAACATTGCCTCACCTTAGAAGAGTTCCTGGAGCAGTACCGCTTAGCCACGCCAGGATCCCAGAAGACGAGGTCCATCACCCCCTGACGCCACAAATGATCGTCTTGAAAATAGCCAATTTACAAGCGCTGGCAAAACACCCAGCTACGTCCTCAATTGGCCAGAACTATACACCGGCAGATAGTAGAACACCTCTTCTAGCGCTGAGGACATGTCCCCCATCTTCCTTTTGGGGTTTTCTTGAAATAAACCTTTTTGAATTTTTCCACTCGACCATGCTGAAATACGGCCAAAGTCATACCTGCGCAGGAAAGCTCGCCCCTCCGCGACGTCCCCTCAGCAATTTCTACTCCAACACTACTCCCAAGGCCACAGAACAAAGTGTATTGTTGACTCCGACAAGGAAAAGCAGCGGTGATCACTTGTCACTCCAAACGACAAGCTTCTCCTTGCGCCACAAATAATATTTTGTGCAACTGTTGATGCAAAAGTGACTGAAGACCTGAGCGCAGTTTTTGAATTAATATTTTACTACAAGAGGCACGGTGAAATCACGTGCCTTGTGACGCAAGAATGCCAAGTCGAGTGGATCACGGCTCACGAGATTTCAGAGTCACCTTCGTAAAGTGCGCTTGTTACTCGCCTTGAACGCCCGTCCGTCTGGAAGTGATCACACTTGTGTTGTTACTGCGCTCAAGGACACCCTGACCGTGTTGTAGGCCTACGAACCGGGACTTTCCCTGACCATGTAGGTCGAAGACCAGTGAAATGATGATGAAATCACATTCTTTATGACGTAAGGAATCTGTCATGCAGTTCACACGACAAGTGCATGCAGCCAGTGCTGCTCGCGTGCCAGTCAACACAAAGCGACCGAGCTAGCAGCTTTCGTCGAGCATCGACATGAAAACAAGGGACTTTTACTGTTGCACTATGTTCGGGATTGCAGGAGGTAAGTGTGAAAGATGAATAACTCTCCATGCTGTACGAGGGGCATATTTCAACGGCTTGCTACCATTGCAACACTCCTACTAGTCCTAGGACAGTTTGTGGGGGTTCTCAGCAGATCAAGCAGGAAATACAGCTCATCTTACCTCTGCCATCATGGTCTGTTCCGAGTAGCGTTCCAGACACGTTCGCGATCGATGGGCGCGTGCCGTGATCCAGGAAGCGCCATCCTACGTCACAGAGCACGCGATCTCACCGTGCATCTTGCAATAAAATTCAAAAACTGCACTCAGGACTTCAGTCACTTTTGCATCAACAGTCGCACAAAAAATTATTGGTGGTGCAAGGAGAAGCTTGTCGTTTGGAGTGACAAGTGATCACTGCTGCTTTTCCTTGTCAGAGTCAACAATACACTTTGTTCTGCGGCCTTGAGAGTAGTGTTGGAGTAGAAATTGCTGAGGAGACGTCGCGGAGGGGCGAGCTTTCCTGCGCAGGTATGACTTTGGCCGTATTTCAGCATGGTCGAGTGGAAAAATTCAAAAAAGTTTATTTCAAGAAAACCCCAAAAGGAAGATGGGGGACATGTCCTCAGCGCTAGAAGAGGTGTTCTACTATCTGCCGGTGTATAGTTCTGGCCAATTGAGGACGTAGCTGGGTGTTTTGCCAGCGCTTGTAAATTGGCTATTTTCAAGACGATCATTTGTGGCGTCAGGGGGTGATGGACCTCGTCTTCTGGGATCCTGGCGTGGCTAAGCGGTACTGCTCCAGGAACTCTTCTAAGGTGAGGCAATGTTGGCTTGATGGAGTTTTGTTCATAGCTTGTTCGGATACGCTGTGGCGTGACTCGTTTCTAGACCCATAAATAATGTGATATTTAGGCCATTTTTGAGGGGTATGCAAATTTCAAGGTTCCCTTCAGAAACTTTTTCAAGGGCTTTGCACAATCGATCCACACCCCAAAGGGAACCTACCTGCAAATTTTGAGCGAAATCGGAGAGATCCACTTGCACACATACTTTGGTATTCTCAGACATGCTCTCTTAAAACCACCAAGTCTCTTCGGACCACCAAGTCTCTTAAGACCACCAAGTCGGCATCCCACCAGAAGCCGAGCAGTAGCATGGTATTGTGTACATGATATGTCTACTACAGGCGTCCCTCTTTTTAATCCAGCATTTCATTAAGTTAACCAGCACCCTTCATAAACCAGCACTTCATTTAACTAGCACCCTTGTCAATCGTTCAGAATGCTGAGTGTGGACAATGGTACAAGGTTGTATGAGTGTGGAGTTGGCATGGGGCTGGTCGTGGTGATATTGAACCAGCTGCGGCAGTAGTAACCACATCTCCAATGCCCACCACTGTAAACTGTTGCTGTTGTGCGGCGTGGTTGCTTGCATGAACGAGTAACGATGAAGCCGAGACCCTTGGTCGGAGGAGCTACTCCCCCCCCCCCCCACGTCCATCCAATTTGTCGCCACCCTCGCTGTGCAGCATCTGGTGGTTCTGTGGTGTGGAGCAAAACACATGCACCCATGTTTGTATTAAATACTCAGCTGGTGAGACAAGGAAACAATCGATCGCATAACTTGTGCCCACAAGTTGCATGTTTGTATGCTTGTGTTTATGGATCTCGATTTTTGTGCTGGGAGTTTTATCTTGTTCTCTGAGACTATGATTGACTTAGCTTCAAGTGCGGGCGTGTGTATGTGTGCTGTGTTTGCACCCGTGTTGTGTGCTTGCACGTGTGGTGTGTGTCTTTGTACGCGCGTGTGTTGTGTGTTTGCACGTGTGCCGCATGTGTTGTGTATGTTGTTTGTGTGCTATACTCCTGTGTACAGGACAACCCAACACCACAGACTTAAAAGGCAAGTTTCCACAGTTGATTAATTTTATTTATTTCCATGCTTGTCAACCATAGTGGGTTTCCCAGTATACTACCGGAAAACTAGGGTACTCAGTTACTACCGGCATACCGGAGATTTTTTGACTTTGATCGAAAAACTACCGGAATTGGCACTGAACCACGAGTGTTCAAAAATAAGGTTGTTTTGTGGTGTGACAAGGGCACATGCGGCCCTGCATTTCACAGAATCACACATGTGGGGGGGGGGGATCTGACAATGAAGAAACTCAGGTTTTGATCCGCCAATGAGCAATGGGTTGGAAATGAATAAAAAGAAAGAAAAATTGCCAAAACATTGTGCAAAAGTACGCAAAATACTCAAAAATTGCACAAAAAAGAGAAAATGGCCGAAATTGGTGAAAACCGGCAAAATAAGGGAAATGAGAGCAAAATCAAGGGAAACTGAGTGTGTGACTAAGGGATTTGCTTTCGCTGGGGTGGCAAGTATGTATTTCATTTTGTTTACTATCAACACAGCTTGATACGCGGATGTTGAGCCAATAGAAAAATTCAATGAAGGAAGGAAAGGGACATATGGTTGGTTGGTTGGTTGGTTGGATTTATTTAAAGTCGTACAACAAACAGGCATATCTGCCTCCTTATATGAAGACGACTTCTGGCAGTAAAACATTTTTTTTAAGAGAGGAAAAAAGAAGAAGATAAGATCAAGAATGTATAGACTGAGCATACAGCTAGCCTCGGCATGTATCAGAACATCAGGATTACGTCATACTAGTACTCAAGACAGGGGAGGGGGGTTGCTGTCACGCTACAGTAAGATAATACGCGTGCAACACACCCTTGAACTGGAGGGGGGGGGGGGGACGTGATGTTTCTCGCATCAGATGGAAGACTGTTCCAAACGCGTGCAGCAGAAAGAGACACGGGACACATGTGGGGGCATATGGAGTTGCTCTCAAAAGTTGTATCCATATGTACCTATCCGTTATGTGTTAACCCAGTCCTATTACAAAGGGGAAAACGGGCAGAGAACAAACAAAACAAAAAAAGAAAAGAAGAAAGAAATCCTGAAGTTGGGACCGTCGTGCATGTTGAAAACCGTCAAGGTGGATTGCGGGGCACTAGTGTGATCCTAAAAAAAAGGAGTTTATGTACCAGTTTATACACCAGTTTATATACCAGTTTATATACCAGTTTATATTCTCGTCATCGAAGTACCTGTTATATGCAAAATACAAATCTGGAGTGTTGTGTGGGGAGAGATGGGAGTTTGTATACAAGCTCAGTATAATTACAGGATACGGATCCGCTCCACGGCGTCCTGGTAGTCGGTTCTTCCAATACTTGGCCAGGTGGGCCGCATCCATCAAGTGGTCAACAAGCGCTGGAAGCCCGGCGTCCTGGTAGTCGGTTCTTCCAATACTTGGCCAGGTGGGCCGCATCCATATAGTGGCCAACAAGCGCTGGAAGCCCGGCGGCCTCGTAGTCGGTTCTTCCAATACTTGGCCAGGTGGGCCGCATCCATCAAGTGGTCAACACGCGCTGGAATCCTCACCAGCCGATCTCCACTGTAAACGCGAAAGAAACCGCAAAAAGCACAGTGTCATAGAGCTCTATTGTTGGGGGTAGGCCCCAGCGGCAGATGCTAGCTAAATGTTGCCAAGATGCTTTTTGGGATGCTAGCTGACAACTCAGAAAGATGCTAGTTTGGATGCTAGACAACACGAATTATGCTACCTATTAATGGTAATGGTGAAACATTTGGGTGAAACATTTGGGTTGAAAACGGTGTTCCGTGCTATTTATGAATTCTCACAAAGCAGGTATGTAAAAAGAGTTTTTAAAGGTGCGATGCTGGCATCATGTTGCTATGGAAATATTTGCTATACAAAAGAGCAAATACCAAGAAGTACCAATGGCAATGTGGGTCTTGGTCACAACTAGGTAATGCAAACAAATTGAATGTAGTGCATGCAATTATCAATGTGGTAGTACCGTAATACTACACGTTGTAGTTTCATAGTGTAATCTAGACCAAATTCCACATCCAGAATGCCAAAATTGGCAAAAATGTATCGGATGCCGGTAAAAACTGCTGTTTATGCTAGCATCGTGTGGAGTCACAAAAAGGCCCTTTTATGCTACTTTGGGTGCTAGCATTTGCCGCTGGGGCCTAGTTGGGGGAGAGAGCTGTGAGCACTGCACACTTACCAAATATCACAATACACGATGACAAAGAGGCGGCGCTTCACACACCGCCTCATGTGCTGAAATAGAGGTATTGCCCCCGACATGCTGCTCTGGCAATGACATGTGAATGCCATTCCCTCAAACCAGCAGTCCGACCTGTCGACTCTTCCAATACTTGGCCAGGTGGGCCGCATCCATCAAGTGGTCAACAAGCGCTGGAATTCCCACCAGCCTTTCTCCACTGTAAACGCGAAAGAAACCGCAGAAAGCACAGTGTCATAGAGCTCTATTGTTGGGGGAGAGAGCTGTGAGCACTGCACACTTACCAAATGTCACAATATATGATAACAAAGAGGCGGCGCTTAACACACCGCCTCATGTGCTGAAATAGGGGTATCACCCCTGACATTCGACTCCCGCAGTGGCATGTGAATGCCATCTCCTCAAATCAGTGAATAACTCGAATATGAATACATGTAATCTTTATTCCAGGATTAACCAAAGGCTAATGATACAGAAGTGAAGGTGTGAACCGCAAAGCAAGACCTTTATCTTCTTCCTGTTGAATTCGCCTCCCAGCTGCATACCGGCATCCACCGCTAAAATCCAATCATAGCAAGTAACACAAAGGTCATCAGTTGACCTTTTGGACTTTTCAACTCCTGTCCAAAACCACCAAGAGGAACAATCAGGATGAAGAAGACGTCAGTTGTCGAAACGCTTGTGGAGGAGTTGTTACATTATCCTCAGTAAATAGATATGGCCGATACGTTTGGTGCAGACTTGGACGACCGGTCGTGGTCTCTCACCATGGGTCCTTTACTAATAGAAAGGCGGACGCCAGTAAGAACTGTTGTCGAGTTGGCAGATGAAAACGCGCAGCAAGAAACTTGGCACGTCGATGGTAGACTCCATCGGGAGGACGGGTCAGCTGTTGTTGATAGCATGGAGTGTCCGCCTGGTGCTATGGGGCTACTTAAGTCCCATCGTGCTTCTTGGCACCTTCATTCGCTTCCTTGTTATTGAGCACCTCTGCTTGTTTGGTCACCGCGAATTAAAATAAAATCAACAGCAATAACAACAACAACAACAACAACAACAACAACAACATACCTCGTTGGTATATCGGGTAGCGTCGTAGGGCAGTGTGATTGTCATTGTTGTTGCCGTCTTCTATTCTCTTATACCGTGCTACTTTGCAGCTTGGAAAGCTTGTGCCAACACCTCATACGAGTACCAATACCAAGGCAATATGAAAAAGAATTTCCTCGAGGCGGCAACATACTGCAGAGAGCATACTGGCGGTCAGCTTGCCATGCCGCAGAACCAAGCACAACAGAACTGTGTGTTCAACTCCAAGCCCCTCACCACCATCTGGCTGGGAATCAATAAAGTAGGTCACGACTGGCTGGAATTTGAAGCAAGAACACATTTAAAATACCATAATTGGGCAGCGCATCGGCACACCGGTGGACACTGTGGAGCAATGCCGTACGACTTTAAGCCTGACGTGGCCCACAGGTGGAACCTTAAACGCTGTGACAGCCTGTCAAGGATTGTTTGTCAGAGAAAAGGTGAGGCTGCATTCACAACTTCCTCTACTTGCACTTCAAGCATGACTGCAGTGCTCAAAGTCTTCAAAATGTACTGACAAAAATTAATGATTTGAACTCGGACGGAGAGCCAATTAAATTATGGTAAAAAAAAAGGAGAACTGTGTGTTAAAAAGGAGAAGGACAACATTTACGAGTTACGACTAACTGTCCACCAACATAACCAGATCATATACAGTCCGTGAGTTGTCAGTTTTGTGCCATCTTGTCACACTCGCTGACTGTACATGATCTGGTTACGTTGGTGAACAGTTAATCATAGCTCGTAACATGTTCTTCTTCTCCTCTTTTTTTTAAACCAAAAATTTAATGATTTCAGTAATGCATGTGAAAGGTGTTTCACGACAATCATGTCTTCTATATCAGAGAACATGGGATTTCAGCACTTGTAGTTTTGCTGTGCCAGCTACATAAACTGCCGCCATCAGTGGCAAGTCATTTCAGACTTTCAGATCTCGAGTCTCCAAGCCACTTATCAGGCATATTACGTAGCGCTGGAACACAGCTGAGGCTGGCAATGTTGACAGGATTCTTTGGGATAGAGCGGTGCAAACAGTCTCAAAGTGTAGCCGTGAAAAATATTCACCGGCATGTTTTCAAGCGGTGTGTTGTGCGACTATTGCCGATGCGGTTCGCAGTTTGGACTTGAAATTGATTTGAAAACAGAGTTCTACTACCTGTTTTTGCTTTTGATTTGAAATGGAGCAACGAACAGCGGCAGTGACTGCAGTGCTCATCCCTGTGTATATGTATGTGTGCATGGTTGGCTATAAAAACCCTGCAATCGCCACGCAAAGTGGTCATTGGCTACCCCAGCCATGTATTGCTTGGAATAAAATAAACGAGAGAGCTTGGAAGCTCGGGGTCCTACGCTATGCTTTTTTGCCTTGATGACCTAGACAAAAAAAAGCATAGGGATGACATTGTTATAAATTCTTTAAAAAAAATCTTTTTTTAAGACATAACCTGGGATTCTAACCTACACTATCGCGCGCCCTGCATGCATCCCCCCGATACACTTTGCATACATACTAATTCTTCCAAGTAACTAGTTGCTTCACGTTATGATCTTGCATTTGAAAGCCCTATTTGAATATGCATTGTGGCCAGCCGTCTTTGATGGTACGGTACGGTACGAGATAAGCACGATCGAGGATAATACGACACCGTCTACCGCCTTGATGACGCCAAAAAAAGCATAGGTATATTATAAAATTTTCAATTCTCCTATTTTGTTTCAGGCATATCCTAGGATTCGAACCCGCACTATCGCCCTACATGCATTCCCCCATACACTTCGCATTCATACCCATTCTTCCAAGTTGCTTCACGTTATGATCTTGCGTTTGAAAGCCCTATTTGAATATTGCCGCCAGCTGTACGTGGCCAGCTGTGTTTGATGGTACGGTACGGTACGGGACAGATACGGGATAGCGCCAGGCGTGACACAAACAAACAAACACACAAATACCAAACGAGAGAGCTTGGAAGCTCAGGGCCCTACGCTATGCTTTTATGCTTTTTGCCTAGCTCATCGTACATGTTATAAGAACTGATGGAATTGTCTTTTTCCGTTCATTGGCCACATCACTGTATTGCAAAAACGTTTCAATCGGTTTGAATATTATGAGTTAGGCAAAAGTATTTGCAGAATTTATTGCGGATTGTTGTTTCTCTGATAATCATCTACTTTTGTTTTGCTCCTTCTTTAATTTTTATCTCCTTATATTGTAAATCAACAAATTTTGGCCGATGAGAAATAGAAACCTCTCGATTAGAGAGGTTAAGATGCACGTTATTTCCGACGTGACGCGCAGTTTCACGTCAAATTTGAAATCGATCGGTATTTTTGCTCTCACATGCATCCATTGCTCAATCATGCATCATTTGCCTATATGACAAACGTTGGCCTGCGATTTACTTTGTCCGGTTGGTACCAAGCGGCGAAATCAGCGAAATTAAATCGCCAGCGAACATTAGTTGATTTTAATACAGGAATCGGATTTTCTGGCCTTTTTGTAGTAATACATCTACATTGACCTGTTGAGCCAATGACGACGCCGAATGCATGGTTGCCTGAGGAGCACATTACATAACTTTACAGTCTCCTAAAATACGTATCCTGTCCGACGGCAAAAGAGGCTGCAGATTTAGTTTTTCTGCGCGTCGACGGGATGTCTGCGACGCGAAAGTTCAGCTCGCGTTATTTGGCTCGCACGTCGAAAAAATCAACGCGAGTGACCTGCTGCTCACGTCGAAATTTGGACATTACATAACTTTACAGTCTCCTATATAAATACGTATCCTGTTCGACGGCAAAAGAGGCTGCAGATTTTGTTTTTCTGCGCGTCGACGGGATGTCTGTCCTGACGTTTACTGGGACCGGCGCTGACTCTGCCGATCACGGCGTTCTGGACTCGACGGGATGTCTGTCCTGACGTTTCCTGGGACCGGCTTAGACTCTGCCGATCACGGGCGTTCTGGACTCAACGGGATGTCTGTCCTGACGTTGCCTGGTACCGCCGGACTCTACCGACCACGGGCGTTCTGGAGTCGACGGGATCTCTCTTCCGACGTTTCCTGTGACCGGCACTGAATCGCTCGTTCACGCTTATTTTGGAGACGACGGGATCTCTCTTCCAAAGTATGTTTATGCTGACGCATCCTATCACCTTATCGGCGTCTATTCTAATTTAATTTCCTCCTCGTCTCCCTATTTCTTTCCAAATCCCACTCTACATCAGGGAGTCGTATGCATAATACGACGAATATTGGTACGGTACGGGACAGATACAGGAGCCCGCAAATATTGTGGACAGCTGTTATGTACAATCCTGTAGAGCCTTTGTAGTCACAGATACGGGACAGATACGGGACAGAGACGGGATAGCGCCAGGCGTGACACAAACAAACAAACAAACAAACAAACACACAAACAAACAAATACCAAATTAAAGCTGTGTGGACCCTGGCTAGCGCCAGACGTTACTGAAGTAACGTCTTCTGCATAGCTACGGGAATTAAAGCTGTGTGGACCCTGGCTAGCGCCAGACGTTACTGAAGTAACGTCTTCTGCATAGCTTCGGGAATAAATAAATGTTTGTTACGCATATCTGCAGTTGCGTAAGTTTGAATGTTTGTGACGCATATCTGCAGTTGCATATGTTTGCATGTTTGTTACACACGTATGTCCAGTTGCAGGACACCAAGCCTCAACAACAACAGTAACACCGACAACAGCTGCAAACGAGGGTCAGACAGCACTCACGAGGAGAGGTAAGACGAATACAAAAAAAATTGTCGATGATAAAAGAACTTATGAGGCGTAGAAGTATACGCTTCTCGTTGTTCTTTGCCTTGCAATGTGGCTGTCTGCAGCCGACCCTGCACTGTGGTTTTGCCGTTGCAAATGTGAGATGTGAGAGAGAAGTGGTGACGCCAGATGTCAAACAATAATGGCAAATAACGACTTCTGGATGCACTCTGCCGATAGCGAAGTCCAGGATGCGTAGGGCAGAGATCTCGTGTAATAATATTATTACTTTTAGGGTATAGAGACTGGCTGCCAGGGCAACTTGTATGCGCGTATGCCTCTCTCTCTCTCCCTGTCCCCCTCTCTCTCTCTTTCTCTCTCTCCCTCTCCCTCTCCCTCTCTCTCTCTCTCTCTCTCTCTCTCTCTCTCTCTCTCTCTCTCTCTCTCTCTCTCTCTCTCTCTCTCTCTCTCTCTCTCTCTCTCTCTCTCTCTCTCTCTCTCTCTCTCTCTCTCTCTCTCTCTCTCTCTCTCTCTCTCTCTCTCTCTCTCTCTCTCTCTCTCTCTCCTCTCTCTCTCTCTCTGCCTCTCTCTCTCTCTCTTTCTCTATCTCTCCCTCTCCCTCTCCCTCTCTCTTACTCTCTCTCTCTCTCCCCTCCCTCCCCCTCTCTCTCTCTCTCTCTCTCTCTCTCTCTCTCTCTCTCTCTCTCTCTCTCTCTCTCTCTCTCTCTCTCTCTCTCTCTCTCTCTCTCTCTCTCTACTCTCTCTTTCTCTATCTCTCCCTCTCCCTCACTCTTTCTCTCTCTTACTCTCACTCTCTCTCTCTCTCTCCCTCCCCTCCCCCCTCTCTCTCTCTCTCTCTCTCTCTCTCTCTCTCTCTCTCTCTCTCTCTCTCTCTCTCTCTCTCTCTCCTCTCTATCTCTCTCTCTCTCTCTCTCTCTCACTCTCTCTCTCTCTCTCCTCTCTCTCTCTCTCTCTCTCTCACACACACACACACACACACACACACACACACACACACACACACACACACACACACACACACACACACACACACACACACACACACACACACACACACACACACACACACACACACACACACACACACACACACACACACACACACACACACACACACACACACACACACACACACACACACACACACATGCTCTCTTTCTTCTCTTTCTCTCGGTCCTGTCTCATCATAATTATACGGTAGTCGATTGTCTCTGCCTCTGCCCTCGCTGTACGCATACGTAAATGTGTGTATGTATGTATGTGTGTGTGTGTGTGTGTGTGTGTGTGTGCGCGTGCACGCGCATGTGTTTTGTTGTTCAATTCTCCAGTCGGGCACCGCTGTGCCAATGTGTCCTATGAATATTACATGTACAGTCGGCGGACTGAAATGACATTCGCTAAGGCCGCTAACTACTGTAGGACAGAACTCACAGGCGGACAGATTGCCACGCCGATGAATTCTGAGGAGCTCAACTGTTTGTTTGAAGCCAAAGAAGAGTATACTCCATATGCTGTCTGGCTGGGTTTTCACAAGGTGGGCCGAGAGTTCATCGATTTTGAAACAAAAACAATACTCAATTATAGCAACTGGGGGCACAATGAAGGGAGGCCCGACAGTCACGAGAAGTGTGTGTCTCTGAAGCAGGATGGCGACAAGCGCAAATGGCGGGATGTCGGCTGCTCTATCACAGAGCATGTGCTGTGCCAGAGAGGTAAGAACGTGATCCTTCTTTTTTGTTTTGCAATGTGGCTGTCCGCAGCCGACCCTGCACTGTGGTTTTGCTGTTGCAAATGTGAGGTGTGAGAGAGAACGTGATCCGCGGAGGGATTTTGCACAAAAGAAGTCTGTTACGTATGGAATTGCACTTCACTCCACCATTACCACCACAACTTACTTTCTGGCTGCTTGATTTTTGCAATCTAGGAGTCCTTGAAGCTCTCTTTCCACTGTGAAAAGAATGAGGCCATTATTAAAAACGTGTGTGTGTGTGTGTTGTGTGTTTTGTGTGTGTGCGTGTGTGTGTGTGTGTGCACGTGTGTGAGTGTGTGTGTGTTGTGCTCTTGTGTGCTCTATTTCTGTCAACAGCGGTGGCAAACAAGACAGACCTCGCAGGTACTGTTGCACAATAGCTAGTAACTAGGCCGTATGTCTCTCCAGCTTGCCTTGGTTCGATGTCGAGCTCACAAATTCTCTTGAAATACTTGAAACATTACTGACTCTCGGCACAGCCAATGTAGTTCTAATGTTTGAAATCCTTATTCTCATGAAGGCTTGTGGCCAATAAGAGATAATTGTTGAGATTTACATCGCATGAAGGGTTTGGAGCACTTGAGCAGTGGGCAAACTAGGTGTACAAGTGAGCGTGGTTCGTGCATGAGCAGATTGAGTTAAGCAGCATGGATGAGATCTTTTGCTTAAACAAAACTGGTGATTGAATATTGCTGTTGTCAGTGATGCCTGTTATAACGTACGCACGCAAGATTCATTCCATGCAACTCGCGCATACCACAGCAGGAAACACCATCTGGTTTGTTCTAGGATAATTTAGAAGTGAACATGTAAAATGGCAATCATGGAGAGATAAGCAGCAGAGACACGTCAGTGCTGTCGTGGCACTAATGGCGCTATGACACGACAGTATAGGCCTCGTCAGCTCGTACCAAAGTAAGACACACGTCAGCCATGCAGACGTAATGCAGAAGAAGACTGATTCATAATGAGGTAAGACATTGTCACTCTTCGTCATGCATGCATCAAAGGAGCGTAGAACGACACACGTAGAACACACGTAGAACGACACACGTAGCAGAACGTAGATCGTAGATCGTACGACTAATATTAATAATAGATCAATCTATAACAATGCCGTCTTCTCTTCTCTTGTACGTTGCTACTTTGCAGCTTGGAAAGGTTGTGCCAACACCTCATACGAGTACCAATACCAAGGCAATATGAAAAAGAATTTCCTCGAGGCGGCAACATACTGCAGAGAGCATACTGGTGGTCAGCTTGCCATGCCGCAGAGCCAAGCGCAACAGGACTGTGTGTTCAACTCCAAGCCCCTCACCACAATCTGGCTCGGCTTTTTCAGAGTAGGTCATCAATGGCTAGAGTTCGACGGCAACTTCAAACTATCGTTTTCTAACTGGGCTGCACACAGGCCGGACGGTGGAAGCTGTGGAGCAATGTGGTATGACATCGACCAATCTCAACCGCAGGGTCAGCAGTGGGATGACGTGAACTGCGCCAAGCCGTTAATGTTTGTTTGCCAGAGGAAAGGTGAGCCCTTCACATAGAGAATTGGTCAGAGAATTCCGACCTCGTGAGGGCTAGCCGACCCTAACATCATAAGAAAAAAACTCTGACCACTTGAGCTCGGCGCTGCCATTTAATCATGAGGCTGGGATTCTCTGGCCAGGACTGAAAACCTCCTATAATGCCCGGCGGAGATGGCTTTGATCCATCAAGAAGACTACAGGGCTTCGAAGTGATGACGTCACACACACACACACACACACACACACCTGACAACGCATGCCAATGAAAATTCTGGGTACAATCAAACTTTAAACATCCCGTTGCTCTTCACTGTTTTTTCCCCGTTATATGCAGGTTTCTGATGGTGGGAATCGATGGTTTGCTTAATTAAATAAACAACTTTTCTAGGTGCGCTTTGCCGGTAGTTAGAGGTTCACTAGGCTAATGGAGCAATGGCTGGTCTTCCCAGTGTGTCAAAGGTGACACAAGGGGTCTGCGACGAGCTGACGAAAATATTTCGTAGTTCTGTGCTTCTGGCAAATTTTTCATGTTTTACATAATATTCAATATCGATGAAAGTAATGTGAGCGCACTCATACCACAAGAACAATGAAACAACATTTTAGGATTTGAACATCGTTTTCATCTATTGTGGCTTGGGCACAAGAGAGAGATTCGAAGCGGTGTCGCAACTCTGAGTTCGACGTATTACTATGATCATCAGGCAACTGATGGCGACTGATGGCTCCAAAACGGGCAGCCCGAACATAAGGGGGAGCAAGGTGAGAAGGACTGAGGGGAACCATAGCGTATTATGGCTTGGAGACGATCTACAAGCAGAATTCGTTCACCCTTTGCCTTTGCGGCGGAACTAGCAACAACAATGGATATCCTGCTGACGTCTACATGCATCCATGTTTGTACCGTTCTTGGGTTACAATGTATTTCCAGTTACAGGAAACTCCTCCACAACAGCAACCGTAGCGCCAGCAACGACTTCAAGTGGACCTGTAAAACCAGAGATCCGTAAGCAAGATACTTGGGGTCCATTTTAATGTTTGGGATCCACTAGTGCTGGGGATCCATTATCGTAGAATCCTGCGGATAAGCCCACCCATGTTTAAGCCCATCCTCGCGTATAAGCCAAAGTCTGTTTTGTACATTTCAACACAATCATCGGTTGTTTTTGTTTGCACAGTGATTTTCAGCAATGTACGCTACGTTTCATTTCTCACTTCCTTGGTACCTTTCAATAGCACAGTTTTGGTGTCGGCATATAAGCCCATGTTCCTGTATAAGCCCACCGAAAGTCCTTGTGAAACAGATATGCCCCGGGGGCTTATCCGCGGGATTCCACGGTACAGTATAAGTATTTATTATTATTATTATTATTATTACTACACCTTCCAGTGGCTAAAGATTAGGGGTGAAACGATTAGTTCGAATATTCGAGTATTCGTTCCAAAATCTCAAACGAGCGAGTATTCGAAATTTTGCACTCGATCGTTTTTTGTTTTTTTTGTTTTTTTTAGTACTGGCATTCTATTTTTCAAAAACTCCTGTTGTACTGCTCATCGACTGGTATGCACGCATTATTCGTGCCTTTGAGTCAGTATTTTATGACTTGGACGATGCGATCACCACGGCAAGTAACGTTATTTTGTTTTGAGATAATGAAAGTACCGGTGAAAATCGTTACTTTACACTCTGTACAAGACGTTGGCGACTTTTGTTCTATGTTCACAGATAATTTCTTCCGAATTAGTCGAGAACTCACAAATCTAGCGCTTTTGAATTTCGATAAAATACTCGAAATAATCGGATACTCGATCGAATATTATGAATGAGTGATCGGTTGGTCAAAATACAGTTGCGCTCGGTGAAATCCGGCCCGAAGTACAAAGCCGGCGCCGCGAAGCCAGCTCCCATTACATCACTGGCGATTTGTGTGTATGAACTCAACTGCATGTACGCACCTCGTGTAAAAGTTCGGAGTGCACGTGTTGCATGCTAAAAACAGTTCAAAATTTCTTTCATTTACTTCACTCAAGCACAGGTACAGCAGGATCTTCTCGATAGCGGAGTACCCAACATCCTGTTTCAACCTCCCTGCTCGCCGGACATGAATCCAAACGAGAATGTGTGGGCTCTTCTCAAGAAGAGAATAATTCCACATCGCTGCGAGAATGCTGACCAGCTGGTGCAGGCACTGCACCTGGCGTGGGACTCGTTGGGTCCTGACACGGTTTCCCCATACGTGGAGTCAATGTCACGTCGTGTTGAAGCCCTAATCGAAGCTGACGGTGGCCACACAAAATATTGAAGCCCTGCTGTTCTGTGTATGAAATAAACTGCTTCGAAATGATCTCCGTCTTCTTTACTTGTGCTGAACTGAAAATGAATGTTACACCTTAAGTTGTCTTTGTTTGGCGCGGTTTTTACACTTTGGTGTAAGCATGCGTGCGTATGAGTAGTGCAGCACATGCACAGTTCATACGGCACACGCGCACACTAGCACGTGTACAACTTTGAGGGCGTCAAGGGCCGCATCAGTACTGGGCGCCAGTTATGCACTTCGGGCCGGATTTCACCGAGCGCAACTGTAGATACTCGTTTCACCCCTACTAAAGATGAATCAGTGCCAATATAGATGAGGAGGGGACGTTTGCCAGCCATGGCGTAGAAAGAAAGTATAAGAAGTGTGGTGGTGCACCAATACCATGTACCATGGTAAATAGCAGAGGAAAGGGAGCAGTACAGCCGACGTGAGTTTGGGATCCATTAGTGCGGCTTGGGATCCATTAGTGGTTGGGATCTATTGACACCCATTGCTTGGCACCATTGGCACCCATTTTAATGCTCGGTAACCATTGGCACCCATTACCTGGCACCTCATGGTTATGCCATGATATGCTAGTTGCTCCGGCACTTTGTATGTTAGGGGTTGTGCGTGTGTGTGTGTGAGCAAAATAGCTGGCGAGTTTCCTTCTGAGTCTCCCTTCCCTCTCCCCGGGAGACCAACGTGACCAGTTTTGGCAGTGAACAAGTACAGGTACAAATGTATATGTGTGTGTGTGTGTGTGTATGTGTGTGTGCATTCTTGCATTGCTTTTCTGCTCACCAACCTGGCAGTCTGGTCTGAATGTGCCAACTCATCCTATGAGTACCTGTTCACATCGCAACATCGCGAGAAAACATTCGCCGATGCTGCAGATCTCTGCATGAAGTATGGAGGTGGTCGTATTGCCGCTCCAATGAATGCCATTGAACTCAACTGCATTCATAATGTGAAAAGAACCCCGTGGGAAATGTGGCTGGGTTTCCTTCGAATCAACGGACGTCTGCTCGACTTTGCAACGAAACGAGATGTAACGTATACGAACTGGCCGCCCAACACACAACCTCACGGACACGGTTGCGTGCGAATGTCTACGGCCGGCCATTGGGGCATTGTGTCGTGCAGCAACAGCGAGCATGTTATGTGTCAGAGAGCAGGTAAGAACAGGCATTTGGAGGGCAACAATCACACGGTTGTCACTCCCTCCGATAATTGTTTGTGTTTCCTTCAGCTTGAATCAGTGGACAAGTTATGGTTTCATGAAACTGTGTCGCGTTTGGACAGAACTGTTTGCAGGGCATCTTCCTGGAAAGCCGCTGGCGGGTGATTAGAACAAATTTGGCTTGTGTGTGTGTGTGTGTGTGTGTGTGTGTGTGTGTGTGTGTGTGTGTGTGTGTGTGTGTGTATGGGTGTGTATGTATGGGTGTGTGTATGGGTGTGTGTGTATGGGTGTGTGTGTGTGTGTGTGTGTGAGAGTGAGAGGGGGGGGGGGGGTGTGCTATTCTGCACATGTTGGAGCATATAAGACCAGTGTGATGCGTCTCCAGCGTGAGTTAAGTGCCACGGCGCAGCTTCACCATCTTTGCCAATCAGCGTTGAGAGCTTTTACGTGATGGGCTTTAGGGAGCTGTAGACTATGATTGTTAGGTTTAATGTGTGTTGGTGTGCACAGAACAACAAAGGGCAAGCAAGGCTAAGTTGTGGCTACTCTGAGTTTCATGCTTACGCAATTCTCCTGTTTGCCTGATGATTGTGTAATGCGTGAAACTCAGCGCAGTTGCAACAATTTAGCCTTGCTTGCCCTTGTTGTTCCGTGTGTTATGCTCTGCCTTTCTCGGTGTTGAGCACTGTCAGCACACTGAGTACATCCCCCCCCCCCCCCCGTGCGTGTTGGCCTATGCGTTATGTTTGGTTGTGCTGTGTGCTGTGTTGCTCTCTGCAGCTACCAACAGATCCGAGCTACCAGGCAAGTTTCCACACTTGTTACACGTCAGGATGCACGTAACATGTACACACTGCCTATCCTTGGCATCATGTGAACGCAGTGATTGTTGGGAGTAGTGTGAATCTTGTTCAAATTGCACACGCCCAAGGTTGTGAATATCAAGACGGCTTTTGAATAGAGATGTTTGCACTGCAGAAAGTGAAAGTGAAATCCTATCGTTCTTCTGGATTCATAGCTGTACCTCCCTCCCCCCCCCCCCCCCCCCGCCCCCATCACTCTAACCACACCAGCTTCCTGACAAATACTTCACCTGGTGATTTTTAGAATGTAGGCAAGGCTTTGGGTTATGGTAATGTGAATACTGTAGAACGAGCAACTTTCACTGCGTGCAATTTTTGTGTTTTTTTATGAGCTTCACTGGTTCACGACGAGACACTTTTGCGATTCCACCTCTTCAGGTATATCTTATAATTATAGTCACAACAATGGAAAGAACAGTTTGCAGTGATTTTGTATTCGTGATTGTGAGATTGCCGCAAAAAACGGAGACATTAAAAATTGAATCTCTAGCAAAAGTTTCTCACTTAACAGTACTGTGCTGTGCACAGAACCCGTGCTCACCGCCATCGTTGTCGTCGACGTCATTATTGTCATTGTCGCCCAAGTCATTAATGTTGTCGTTGCCTTCATTGTTGTTGTTGTGTTCATGATTGTTCATGATATTATGCATACCTGATGTGGACAATTTGCCGAAGCGTTGTAAAAACAGATAGATAAAAGAGTTCGATATTGTTGCTGAGTGAATGGGAAAGAGCGATCTGCTCTGAAAACCACTTCCTATGAATGAAGCTGCGGGAGGCTTCACCACTGCTACTAAGCTCTTGATTGTCGTCGTTGTTGATTTTCTGCAGCTTGGAGCAAATGTGGAAACAAGTCCTATCTGTTCCAGGCGCATCTGAGGAAGAATTTCGCCGAGGCCGCAATACACTGCAGAACGCACTACGAGGGTGCGAAGATCGCCATGCCACGCACCGAAGCGGAGCATGGCTGTCTGTACCGCTCGAAACCGCTCACCACAATCTGGCTGGGCATATACAGGGTGGGTGACACTTGGCTGGAGTTCGAGACGAAAAACAGACCAGGGACCTTCTTTTGGAAACAGCACGAGCCCAGGCAAGGCCATTGCGCCACAATGTGGTACGATGCCGATCATGCAAATGGGAAAGACTGGGATGCCACCGAGGCCTGTGGCGATCGGGTGAATTTTGTGTGCGAGAAAGAAGGTAGGGTCTCCAATGACGATGTGCACGTGGCTGCTCCCTGCAGCCAAGCCCTTGATGATACCGGGGTGCATCTTATTATCAGTGTTACTGTGGATTTCTGAATTTCTTGCTGAGAGGGGTGGCTTGCAACCTCGATATGGCTTGTTCCAGGCATGCTTTGGAGCCATCTCCTGTTGAAGTAGTGGCGGGGATCTGCCCTGCAACTGCTACAACAAAAAAAATAATTCGATCTGAGAAAGGGTGAGACCGCGAATTTCGGTTGAATATTGAGTATTTCAAGCCTTTTCATGACGAAGATGGAGTTCTTTTTGGAGATGGACGTCGCGGCAAAGGATGGTGTCCGGCTCCTGGCGTCTGGTGAAGCCAGGGATCATTTGTCCAGTCAGGTCGGCAGCCTAACCGTCGGTAAGCTTGTGTTTGGATCCCGTTCTGCTCGATGTGGTAGATCACAAACAATTTGATATCGCACAAATTGATCTCAGCATCGTGCGTACGGTATTATTCAGAAAATCCCAAAGTGTCTCTGTGTGGCCGTCCTATGCCACGAGAAACTCCAATCAGGCTCCTATGTCCTCTGCCTTCATGGTTGAATGTCCACGTTGTTGTAACTTACACTTAGTTACTGCATGCTTGTGGCACACGACAGTCACAAGCAACACGAGGAGTAATTATGGTTGGTAGTTATCATTACGAAGGTAAACAAGAGAATGGCCCGAGCATGCCCAGAGCAACCAGGTAAGGGCCAGCAGCCAAGATGAGAGAATACCGTAGACATGCGCGAATGGAGATAATGTCGTACGAAGAAGCAGCGAGAGAGAAGCATGCAGCGACGGCATGTAAATGCAGGCTATAACAATCCTTCCCCCTTAAGAAAAATAAAGAAAATAAATAAATAAAAAAAATAAAAAATAAAAATAACTAATAATAATAATGTGAGAAAAATAAAATAACTAATATTAATAATAATGTGAGCGCTGCAGTGGCAAACAACTCACAAATCCAATCGGTCTGGAGCACGTCTAGTTCTGACAGGGTAGCGGGAGGCAGAAGTGATAGCAGGCTCAGCAGATAATGCAGGGACCGCAACATGGTCAGCTACGGTGTCTGGACTTGTAGGGGAAAACACAGCAGGCATTTCAGCCGTAGTTTCGGCAGATGCATGAGACACCTCGGGTGTAGCATGAGCAGGTACAACCGGGCTAACAGGCACAGAAGCAGCAGACGGAGACAGAGAACATGACGCAGGTGGATTAGTAGGAGCGGGCAAACAAGTACTAGATTCAGAATCTTCAGTGGGGGGTGTGCTAGTTTCAGCAAGGCAGGTAGGCATACGGGCGCGAAGGTGATCAATATGAACTTGGCGCAACATACCACACACAGACACGAGATAGGTAATCGGGCCTAGCCGCTTCTCAACAGTACCTTCCAACCACTTGGGCTTACTGCCCGGCCTGGCGTTGTGGACCCATACAGCCTGGGTAGAGTCAAACTGCTTTCGGGCATCAGTCGAGAGCTGATGCTGTTGCTGCATGGCAGAGGCAAAGCTGGGTTGCAGCAGGGATAAGCATGTAGTGGGAGCCTTCTTGAACAAAAGGTTAGAAGGGGATTGTTTTGTACAAGTGTGTGGTGTATTTCTGTAAGAAAATAGAAAACGAGACAATTGTACAGACACAGAACGATTGGACGGCCGAGTTTTAAGGCATTTCTTGAGCTCTTGCACAATACGTTCGCACTGGCCGTTGCTGGCGGGGTGATAAGGGGTGTTCTGTGATGTTGAATAGCGTTCTCTTGACAGAACTGAGCAAATTCGTGTGATACAAATTGAGGACCATTATCCGTAACGATAACTCTAGGAATGCCAAATACACTGATGAATCGCAAAAGGCAATCAATGGTCTTGGATGCTGGTGCAGAGTGACCAAGCTCAAAAACATCAATCCATTTAGAATATGCATCAACAAGAACAAGATAGTACAGAGAATTATATTCAGCATAATCCAAATGGATTCTCTCAAAAGCAGAATTGGGATATGCCCAATGATGAGTCGGTTCAGAAGCAGGTAAGCGGGCATTGCGCTGACAAATATCGCAATCCGAAGCTAGCTTGACTATGTCCTCATCCAAACCAGGCCACCAAAAGATGCCACGTGCTACACTTTTCATACGGGAGACACCTGAGTGTGATACATGCAGTTCTTGCAGTAGCTGACGGCGAAATTGTACAGGGATGATAACACGAGCACCCCACATCAAACAGCCATGCTCAATTGATAAATCCTGTCTGATTCTCTGGAAAGGGACTAACCTGTCAGAGACGGAAGACGGCCATCCATGTTGGGCATATGACATAGCCAGGGAAATCTCACCATCGAGCTTGCTTGCCTTTGCAACATCTGCAGCTTGAATGGGTATTAACTCACATGGATCAAAAGAATGGCTAAATACTGCATGCACAACAGCACGTTCTTCAGAAGCAGACAGAGGCAATGGTAATCGAGAGAGACAATCGGCAATAACATTATCTTTGCCAGCCAAGTGTTCAATCGTGTAATCATATTCAGCCAAGATGACGGCCCAGCGCTGTAGACGGGACGCAGATGTCTTGCTGAGGGATTCATGCGGTCCGAAGATCTTGACCAATGGCTTATGATCCGTTCGAAGGATGAATCGTCGGCCATACAGATACTGGTGAAGGCGACGAACAGCAAAGACAATCGCAAGAGCTTCGCGCTCTATTTGACTGTAGTGATTCTCGGCTTGTGACAGTGCTCGTGACACATACACGATAGGACGGATAGATTGGTCAGGCATGATATGCACGAGGGCAGCCCCGATACCTGTAGGTGACGCGTCACACTCCAGCACCAGTGGGAGCGTAGGGTCGTAGTGAGCCATGACCGGAGTAGTGGCAAGGAACTGCTTGACTTTGCAGAACGCGGTTTCACAATCGTCAGACCACACAAATGGAGCATCTTTCTTCATGAGAGAATTGAGAGGGCTTAGCAGTGTGGAGCAGTTGGGGATGAACCTCCCGAAGAAGTTAACAAGGCCCAGGAAAGAACGTAGAGCAGAAACATCAGTTGGCCTAGGGGCATTCATGATTGCAAGAACCTTATCGTTCGTGGGTTGTATGCCTTGCTGACTAACAGTGAAGCCAAGGTAACTAACCTGCTGCTGAGAGACGGCGCATTTCTCGCGGCTCAAACGAAGGCCTGCTTGTTGAAAGCGCTGTAGAACGGTACGGAGACGGTCATCATGCTCTTGTTGTGACTTGCCGGAAATCAAGATATCGTCGAAGTAGATGACGACACCAGGAATACCACGTAAGATCTGTTCGATGGTCTTCTGGAAAATAGACGGAGCAGAACTGACACCGAAAGGCAATCGAGTAAACGCAAACAATCCCTTGTGCGTGGAGATAACACAATAAGACTGGCTTTGTTCATCCAAAGGTAACTGAGCATAAGCCTGACTAAGATCTAGCTTTGAGAAGACCGATCCCCCAGACAATTCAGACAACAGGTCGGTAGGATTCGGAATCGGGTGCTGGTTAGGTTCTATGTGCTTGTTAATTGTAACCTTGAAATCAGCACATAGACGGATAGAGTTGTTCTTCTTACGCACCGTGACAATAGGGGAAGCCCAGTCTTCATGGTCAACAGGTTTGATAACCCCTTCAGTCTGCAATCTCGTCAATTCAGCCTCGACCTTGGATTTCAATGCATAGGGCACAGGTCTTGCGCTGAAACTCCTTGGGGCAGGGGAACCTTGCAAATGAATAGTTGCTGTATGACCCTTGATAGTTCCCAAACCCTCTTGGAATACCGAGTGTGTGAGTGTTTGTGTGTGTGTGTGTGTGTGTGTGTGTGTGTGTGTGTGTGTGTGTGTGTGTGTGTGTGTGCGTGTGTGTGTGTGCGTGTGTGAGTGTGTGAGTGTGTGGGTGTGTGGGTGTGTGGATGTGTGGGTAGATCTGCAAAGCTTCGATTTCTCTCTCTTGTCTTCTCTCTTCCTGTCGGTGTCTCCCACTTCTGGACCGGCATGGCCCATGCTTCATCAGGGGCGTAGCAGCCGCTCCGGCCGGTCCGGCTTTGGCCGGACCACTTTTTTCGCCCGACCACGACCACCATAGCAAAGCAATGCCAAAAGTGCCCAGAATGCAGGATTTTGCACCCTAATTTCAAAAACATTCCGGGGGGAGAGCCCCCCCCCCCCGACCCCCTGGCCGGACCACCGCCAACGGCGGTGCTACGCGCCCGTTCATGCATACTTGTTCCTGTTGTTGTGATATGTAAGCACATGTACGTTTCTACTGTGTCCTGCAACTACTCCGGCTTTGGCCGTGACCACGATTTGTCTCCCCATTTTCTCCTTTATCCTTTCTTTTCTCCTTTTGCTAAAAAGCTTTCTTCTCACCGTGACCACGATTTGTTCTTCTTCTTTTTCTTCTTTTCTCCTTCATTTCTTTTTTTCTTTCCTTCTTTTCTCTTCTTCCTTTGCTGAGAGCCTTCTGTTCCCATATTTTCTTTTCATCTGTGTCTGCTGCCGAGTTTCCCATGCCTGGGTTACTTGGACTTCATTCACGGCCTTGTCATTGGACATGTTCAGTCCGTTCGGTTTGCGAATTCAAATAAACACAACCAATCTTTCCAATTTTCACCCTCCATCCATTCAGGTGCGTAGCACTGCAGTTGGGGGTGGTGCGGCTGGAGGGGGGTCCGGGGCGGCCCCGGGAAAATTTTGAAATTTAATAGGGTGTAAAATCCTGCATTCTGGGCACTTTTGGCATTTTGTTAAAAAAAAGTGGTCCGGCCAAAGCCGGACCGGCTGCTACATCCCTGACAATGTACTCTCCCCTCCCCGACCCCTGTGTCTACTCCTTCCCATTTCCCCGATCCCTTTTGTCTACTCTTCCCCACTTTCTGGTGCACTGAAGTGTCGCTGAAGCCGACACCTCAGGTCAGCGGACATACTCCAGTTTCACCACCAAAGCCATCTCTATGATGCAGTATTCTGTTTTTGAGGTTCGTGGTTTCTCATAAAAAACGCAAAAAACAAACAAAACAGTGACAGTGTGTGTGTGTGTGTGTGTGTGTGTGTGTGTGTGTGTGTGTGTGTGTGTGTGTGTGTGTGAACATTTTGCCGGGCGGGTGACTTGAAGCGTCACTCCCCATATTGCTCAGCTTGCACTCTATCATTGCACTAGTGATGGGCGTCCAAGGTCCAAGGTGTGTGTGTGTGTTTTTGACCTCTGTCTGTTTGTTTCCCTTCTTCCGCACACGAATGCACAGTACCACCAACAAATACAAGCAAGGAACAGACGACAGTTGTGACTGGCCCTCAACCAAGTAAGCCGGCAGATAAGCTTGTTGTGAAATGATGTGTTGTTTTCCTGTGTGATGGCATTCCCCAAACTGTCTCGTCTAGTCGCTTGCATGTGTGATATGAGCATGCGCGATTTTGTAGTCGAGAGTCCTTTTGTCAGTCTTCTTGTTCGTGCCTTTGAGTATTGTCTCCATTTCCGTCTTGTCAATATAAATAATGTAAAACAAACAAGTCTTGTCCTTTGTGTCCTGCGTCCCGGGGAACGGAATGGCTGAGATTCCGTTACAACGTGGTGCCGAAACCCGGGACGCAGAGGATGAGTAAGTTTGTCATGAGTCTGTTCGTCGTCGTCAACAAATAATAGTAAGCGGGGGGATGGAGGTGATCAGGAGAGATGAGGAGCTGGTGGAAGCGGAAGACGACGCGGAGAGGAGGCAGAGAAGGTGGTGGACCGGCAGAAGCTGGGGACTGGAGCCTGGGACGGCAGGTACCGCATGGAGCGTGTGGCCGTGGCTCGCCAGAGGCCAGTGGATGAGTTTGGCATCACCGACTGTGTGTCGTCCTTTGTTGTTCGTCTTGTTGTTGTCTTGCTCGCTTAATTGTCTGATCATGTTTCTCTCGCTGTTCAGTTCGTTGCTGTGTTGTTGAGTTTGGTTGTCGGTATGTTGCTCTTCTCGTCGTTCTGTTGTTCTGCATTAATTTGCGTTATAGATTTATTTTGCGCTGCTGCGCGCATATTGTTTTTGTTGGAGCTTTGGCTCTCGTGTTTCGGTTATCCTTGTGTGCCTGAGTTTAGAGCGTCGGCTCTAGGTTTTTGTTTGGCCCTGTTTCATGGCCCGGATATTATTTTAGAGCGTCGGCTCTAGGTTGATGGTTGGTTTCCGTTTTTCTGTTCTGCTGTGGTTCCTTTTGCTGTTGTGCATGTGGAACGTGGTGTTGGTTTATTATTTTGTGGAATGTCATCAAGGGGGCAGGTGTTGTGAAATGATGTGTTGTTTTCCTGTGTGATGGCATTCCCCAAACGTTCTCGTCTAGTCACTTGCATGTGTGATATGAGCATGCGCGATTTTGTAGTCGAGAATCCTTTTGTCAGTCTTCTTGTTCGTCCCTTTGAGTGTTGTCTCCATTTCCGTCTTGTCAATATAAATAATGTAAAACAAACAAGTCTTGTCCTTTGTGTCCTGCGTCCCGGGGAACGGAATGGCTGTGATTCCGTTACAAGCTGATTGTCGTTTCAAGCAGTACATGGGTTAGCATTAACAAGACCTGCCTAAGGGGTGACATTTCAAATTGATTTTTCTGGAAATCCCTCATGCTTACCAATCTCAGTTTTGCACGAGTAATGTTCTATTTTGTTCTCTATAAACCATTGGTATGCGTACCCCCCCCCCCCCCTCCCAGAATGTGCAACGCCTGATCCAGCTCTGCACAGGGTCTTGGTCAAGCGTAGCCGGATCTTTGCGTCATAATATCGTACACATCTGAGGGAAACCCGGGGAGTTGCGGGGACTCTCAGAACAAAAAAAACGGTTCCCTGCCTCGAGACCGGCCTTGCGCTGGTGTGGCGTGCACGCATGACATTAGAAGATCCAACTACACTTGACCAAGACCCTATGCAGAGCTGGATCAGGCGTTGCACACTCTGGGGGGGGGGGGGGGGGTTATTTGCTTACATGTATGGTCAAAGCTCTGCAGACTGTGAAGCACGCAACTCCTCGGCAGTAGCTCCAGGGGACTCGTGGAAAACAGCACGGGGAAGCTGGTTTTATTTCTGAAATCTGAATGTTTTGTGTGTGCATGTGTGTGCATGCATGTGTGCATGCATGTGTGCACGTGTGTTTTGTGTGTGTGTGTGTGTGTGTGTGTGTGTGTGTGTGTGTGTGTGTGTGTGTGTGTGTGTGTGTGTGCACGCATGTTTTGTTTTCCATTTCGACAGTTTGGTCAGGATGCAGGAATGCATCCTACGAATATGTGTACGTAAATGCTACAAAGACGTTCGTGGATGCTGCCGAATACTGCAGAAACAGATTTCCAGGCGGTCAGCTGGCCACTCCAGCTAACAAGACTGAAGAGAACTGTGCATCCCTGTCACAGTCCAGTGCGACCATCTGGCTAGGTATACATGAAGTCAGTGGACTGTTCTTTAACTTTGTGACTGGAACTCGAATTGACTACGCAAACTGGGAGGCCGGTGAGCCCAACAATGGAAAGTGCGTTGCTATGATGCCCTCTTCAGGTGCTACCGGGCAGAAGTGGAAGGCTACTTGGTGCATGCAGCTCCACACTTTTGTGTGCCAACGGCCAGGTAAGAATGAGCTTGCAAGCCATCAAAGTCGTAGTTGCAGGGCCGTAGCTGCTCCCCTTTGGGGGGGGGGGGGGGGGGGGGGGGGGAGGCACGGCCGCATATGTGTAGGATTGCCGGTGCGTGTCGTTCATAGTCATTATGTGCATGCTGAACCTAGGTCGGATTTTAGGAGGGGGGGGGGGTGCATGTGCCCCCCCCTGCTCCATGCAGGATAGGTACACCTGATAGTTGGACTACACACTCCTTGGAGGTTTGTTCGTTCAGGTCCAAAACTGTAGGGGCTCTGGCTCTACCGGAAGTACACTGTGCTGCAAAGCAATGTATTGCTTTCGTGTGTGATGACATTCCCTGAAATATCTCTTGCCTCGCGTCCACATTGGATGTTCTCGTCACATTGTGCGGAGAGCAAACTGCATTGCAGCTAAAAGAAGCAAACTGTCACAAAACGAAGAGGGGCCAATGCCGCGCTTCAACATGATTTACCACGCTTTCTACATATCCTCTCTGACTTCATATCGAGGAGGAATTTGTTTGCTGTAAGCCCGACGAACTTACTTATGCAAGCGATTTAGTCATTTTCATGCTTTCACGCGGAATATTTCTTTGAGTTCACAGCGAGGTTTTTTTCCAGGCAGCTAATACAGTAAAACAGCAAAGTTGCCGTGTGATCGCCAGGATTGCTTATAGGCGATTCAGACTACGGCCAAAATCACGTCTGAACTTGAATTTCCATGGTGATGCAGTCGTGTTTCAATTTTTTTACGTACACTCGCTGATGAAACCCGTCGGAGTCGTAGAAACGTGGTCACAGTTGGCCGTAGTCTGAATCGCATGTAACTTATTTTGAAAGGCACTGCAGGGCAATGTTGGCCAGTATCTGCACAAATAGCACTGACCGTGAAAGCAGATATAGATGCCGGTATCGACCTAGCACGTGGTTAACAATGCACTCATTGTGTTACAGTCAGACCTCGCGTATCCTTTCCTTTTTTTATCCGGATCCCTCGCCATCTGGAAGAAGATCGTTGGTTACCGATTTACAGCACATGTCATGCATACACACAGAAGGTGTGTTCGGTTGTCCGGTTCCTTCGCCTATCCGGATATTTTTGTGGAAAACGGATGTGTGCGGTTATCACCCAAAAATTTCATATGGCATTCAATTGACCGTAACTTTGGTGTCTCTCAATGGATTTGAGTGAATTTTTCACCAGACACTCCTGCCACTATGCTGGCCCTCTGGACATGATTGAAAGGTTCTTGCGCCTCACTGACAGGCTTTCCAGGCCGGAAAACTCAAAATTCCGGTATAGTGCAACGGTGTGCGAGCCACCCAGGAGCCAAACAAATGCATTTACAATTTTTTCACATTTTCTTGCCCATTCTGTCCGTGCGCAGGATCCAAACATAAAATAAGTCCACAAGCAGCCGTGGGTGGTGGGATAGGGCCCCTCAACGTGGCCCTGGAATCTGTCACAATGGCACGAGCGGGCGTTCTCTCACAGACTCCCACAGACCCAAGTCAATTTTTGAATTTTTTTAGGTTTAGCACGTGCTACGAGGTCGTACCTTTGATACAACATCCAGTGCTGGGACCTCCACAGCAAGCCATTTCCACAGGGCTGCACACCAAATCCAGGATACCCTAAAAAATCGGCAAAGACTACGTGACTACGTCTCACGTTCCACTACTGCCTAGTACTGAATCCTACCTGACTTCTTGACACGACTCAAACTTGCCAAAGTCACTAAATCAACGTCAACTACAATAATCCAGCCACATATCTGCAACGTCACGAGGGTGCTGGCAAAAGTCCTGCTGCACGGCTAAAAAAAACCTGATTTTTGGACTTGCACAGTTTCGCGTGTTTCCATGATACGACAAGTTGCGTACAGTCTGCTCAGACTCAAATACAGTGCTGCCAAAAAACGACAGCGTGCAACAAAAAAAATCTTTCCTTGCAAGGGCACATTTTCGGCCATAACTCTTGAACGGTTGGTCAGATCGAGACAAAATGTTCAGAGATTTTGCAGCTATTCATACTCTTTCAACTGATGTAGCACTCGGTATGAATTTACAAATTCGATATTTTGGGGAAATTTGGGTGATATGCCAGCGAGGTCTGACTGTACATGCGTGCAATTTGACCTCTTGACCTTCCAAGTTTCTTTCCCAGTGGGCACTGGAAAAAGCACTTGGAAGGTCAGAAGGTCAAACAGTGTGGTGTATAGTGTTACTGAGTAGCTACGTACAGTCAACTTTGTGTATAACGACACTCGGCGGGCCATCAGAAAAGTGTCCTTATTCGCGAAGCGTCCTTGTACCCGAAGTCTCATTGTAATTATGTATTACAGTTAGATGGAACTTTACTCTGGGCATGGAAATTCTGTCGTTATTCGCGAATTGTCGTTATATCCGCAGTCGTTATCAGCGAAGTTGACTGTAGATGTGATCATTCATGGATGGTTGACTCTAGTACATTGTCTCTTTGTGTTCTAATAATGTAAACAGCAAATTCCAGTGCACCGTCTTCGCTATCGTCACAATCACCAACACAACTGCCGAGTGCATCATCTGAATCATCCCTGTCGTCATCGTCATCATCAACATCATCACCGCCATCGTCAGCATCAACACCGATGTCGTCATCGTCATCATCAACATCATCACCGCCATCGTCAGCATCGCCACCGATGTCGTCATCGTCATCATCAACATCATCACCGCCATCGTCAGCATCACCACCGATGTCGTCATCGTCATCATCAACATCATCACCGCCATCGTCAGCATCACCACCGATGTCGTCATCGTCATCATCAACATCATCACCGCCATCGTCAGCATCACCGCCGATGTCGTCATCGTCATCATCAACATCATCACCGCCATCGTCAGCATCAACACCGATGTCGTCATCGTCATCATCAACATCATCGCAGCCATCGTCAACATCACCGCCGATGTCGTCATCGTCATCATCAACATCATCGCAGCCATCGTCAACATCACCGCCGATGTCGTCATTGTCGTCGCCGTCAGCACTAACACCACCAATGTCGTTGTCGTCAGCATCACCACCGATGACATCATCGTCATCGTCATCTCCACCGTTGCCTTCAAGTTCTGAACCTTCCTCAGCGGGTGGAATAGACATCACACCGACTAAGGATACAACCTCGCCTGTAACCAGTGAGTATGTGTAGTGATTGGTGCGTAAGCAGAGTGTGATAAATGGCGTCGTTGAAATAGCTAAATTATCAGCCGAATGCACTTTGAATTTGAGTTAGTGGGAGGTGTGCATGGAAGATGGCGGTCACCTATCTGCGGGAAAACCTGTCCTACATGTATATTTGGCAGGTAAAACCAGCTCCAGTATATTGTAAGTATACCTCGCACAGTTCATGACCTTGTATGCTTATGCGGAGCTGGTATCAGATTCAAGTGTGTGTACGCTTTTAGCATGCGTACCCGGGCAAAACCTGTTGACAGGAAAATGACGAGGGCATTTGATCAGTCACAAACGACAATATTTTTTACATCCATATAAGGTTTTGCCACCAGTCAGCCACCACTGAATCCTGCCAAATATGGACAATGATGCTAGCTTGTCTTCTTTCTATGTATTATGGGTGAAATGTGTATCTATCATATAACTGCTGAGCATCCTGGTGTGCCTGCTGGAGCCGTTTCCGTCGTTGGTCAGCTCATCGCCGGGCCAAATTTGTTGGCCATGGCAGCAGCACCGTGTGTATTTACTGCCGAGGAGGTCACGTGCATACAACATGCTGTGAACCAGGAAGGTTCGTGCCGGTTTTAGTTCAAGATTTGCTAGCACAGCCCAATTTGCAGTTGGAAAGTTTACGTTTGTGATCAGTGTAAACTTCATTCGGATTTTTTCTGCCCCCTATGTTTTGGGGTTTATTTTGGGGTTTCACACCCAGGGCAAAAACAAAGAAAGATGTGTGATCGTGAAGGTCTAACGTTTCCAGTATCTCTGTCACCAACACACTTACATACTCTGTGCAGCTTTCTTATCTTCACTTGCTGCCATCACATGTGCGCCTTCTCTCTTGTGCTTGATGTAGACTCAAAGAAGACAGCGACATCAGCCAAGACGAAGTTCATAGTCCTCGGTGTTGTGCTGGTTATCATTGCTGGTGCAATTCTGGTACTTTTGCTCGTGGCTAAATCGGAGTGGGCCAAGCGTTTGCGCGCCTCCTGGAAGAACATAAAACGCCTCGACGAAGTCAGCTTGGGTGATCTTTCTCAAGCCTCAGCAAGACCTTGACTTTGTGTGCCTGTGTTTATATGTGTGGTTGTGTGCGTGTGCGTGTGTGTGTGTGTGTGTGTGTGTGTGTGTGCGTGTGTGTGTGTGTGTGTGTGTGTGTGTGCACGTGTGTTCTCGCATCTCTTATTCCTGTGGTTTGTTATGCATTCCACCGCAGCACCCATTCTACTTATCCGTTTCCGTTTCGTGTCAATTTTCGCCCAAAGGCCACTGCCTAACGGGTACATTTCTTCCCCCCCCCCATTCTACCGGGAATGTGTTGACTGCAGCCAGTCATTATTCCTGCTCAGCCACGCTTGTCAAGCATTTTGTAGAATTACTACATGAACAGTCCTCTGCATGCCAGTACGTACGCACATGTATATAGTATTCCACGCCAATCACGTATCACCCTGTCAAGTGTGCCCATTCTGTTTATACCCCCCCCCCTTCGTTAGTAATTTAAACTAATTTTGACGAAGAAGTGCTGGAAAAATTGAGCTTTCCCATCCGCTTACCTACTGCAGTATCTCGACTACCATGCACCATGAGAAGGCAAATATTAACTCAGTCAAATCTCGCTCACAACGATCCAAATATCCCGGTCCAAGAGAAACCTCTCACCTGTCAGTAGAAACAATCCAATTTCAAATCTGCATGTTTCTGAACTAGCAAGGTGACAGAGAGAGAGACAGAGACAGAGAGAGAGCGAGAGAGAGGGAGAGAGAGCGAGAGAGAGAGCGAGAGAGAGAGAGAGAGAGAGAGAGAGAGAGAGAGAGAGAGAGAGAGAGAGAGAGAGAGAGAGAGAGAGAGGGGGGGGGAGAGATAGAGATAGAGAGAGATAGAGAGATAGAGAGGTAGAGAGATAGAGAGAAAGATAGAAAGATAGAGAGGGGGGGGGGGAGGGGGAGGAGAGTAATGATTACAGGCGAGTAAACCTCGTGGCTACACTATTAAAAGCCAGAAACGTACCGTTAATACTATCTTTCAGGTTTCTTCCTTCTCACCTTGTTTCCTCTCTTGCACGCACGGTACAGTCAACATCAACATCGTGAATTTATGGCCACAACTCGTGGATAGCGAATACAATCTCCCGACCTAGTGACCATTGCTGTGATAATATCACACCAACCATTTTTAACTGCATACACTTGTATTTTCAAACTCACGAATATCTAAACTCGCGCCATCTTTTCTCATGCTCAATTGAGGGTCGCTAATCTACTGGATATCCTCAAGGCGGCCGCATCGTATACGCGTACAGTCATGAGGTTTACATCAACTGATCGCAGCGGTGCACGATACACATGTAGACATGTAGGTGATTAGTATTGGTCGTGATTGCCTACCGTTGCAACTATACAGCCGAGTTCACTGCCGTCTTGCATGATTTGGCACTTGTCTTGACTAACTCACGACTGCCATCCAGAGCACACCTGAAGACCGAAGTCCATTGAAACCTTCCACTACCTCCACTAGGCAAACCTGCATGAAATTACCACTCAATGCTCAACACACAGTGTTTCGGGAAACTCCTCCTCATCAGTCATCATAAAATTCTATTTTTTTCATTTGTTAGCCACAAAAATCAGTAATACAAGCTGGATCGACATTTGTGTACACTTTATTCATGTAATGTAAAACTGTGGAGACAATGTGCAATAAAACGATGAAAATGTGAAGAAATTGTGTAGAGGAAAAGGACTCAAACAAGTTTTCGTACAACACTCATCAGGAATCTTCGTTGTACTAAAGGACACTGAAAACAAAATTGAACTAATACGAATTGCAACAATCAGGACTAGCCAACAGACGATCATTTGTGTTGGGTTAAACTATTCACCTGCGATAATTAATAATTATTGTGATCTTTTTGCACGTAGAAGAGCCTCTGTATCCTCATCGGGTGAGCTGCAATACGCGGGTGAAATGTTGTGTTGCACGAGCACTGAAATATCATCAGAGCTCTCCAGTAGCCCGAACATCACTACACTAACACCTGTTGGGAATTCCCTAGTAAAACAAGAATAGATATGGAGAGTTTGAAGTGAGGTACCCTATAGTGTGTGAGTGGCTGCAATGGAGTCTGCGAGTGCTTAAAACAAGAATCAATGAATAAAATAACGACACCAACGTTTACCAGTACTCACAGTAGGCAGTAGTGACGCACCCTTTCCAGCACAGCAAGCACTCCAGGCAGCAGCGTGAATCAATGTTGCCTACGACTAATGATGATCCGGCAGCTCCGTGCTTGTTTCGCACCTCCTCCCCCCCCCCCCCGCGCTTCCAACGCCGTTACACAAATCAAAACAAACAATGGAGTTGTCCAAGGCGACCCACTTTCCCCGATAATGTATAATTATCATGTATGCTGAAGGAGCTATGCGTAAAGTTGATTTGATTTCCTTGCCTTCAGTTCTACCCTGTCCACACTCTCAGTACGCAGACGACACCACCCTTCATGCCACTGAGAAAGAAACAATTACGGCCCTCCTGCCTATTATTAATAGGTTAGTGCATGGCAGGGAGGGCCTTACGGCTTGTTAGTGCCCGACAGGTTAGCCTGAGGGCCGTGGGCCCGAGGGCTACCCTGTGGGGCACAAACAAGCCATAAGACCCTCCCTGCCATGCACTAACTATTTTAGAACGAGGTTACATGCATTATCTCACTTCCATTATGCTTTTGTACCATTATATTATTGGGTAGTTTTATGGTTTGTGTGCAGAGAGACTTGGTGTGGTATGAAAGAATATTTTCTTCTGGTAAGTTAGGGTAACTCAGCACCACTGAGGACTGCTAAAAGTAGATATGTACATCACGCACCATGGGGGAAAGGGAGAGGGGGGGGGGGGGGGGTTGGCCACTCAGCTCCTGTAGCTTTTCATTGTACGATTTGGTCACGTCACCCATGTCCATGGCACACAGTTGGGTTTTATCAGCAAGTCCATCTGCCACTTTCTGGACTATGCGGTCAAAGGCTTACTGGTAGATGGTCTTCCGTGTCTCCTTAGTACTGGGTAGAGTTACGAAGTCTCTATAGCAGGTGAAGTGATACAGAAACTCTGCAGCTACACAGTCCCTGGAGCCATCATGAACTTCAAGTAGTAGTAGTAGTAGTTTTAGGATGGCAATGAACAGAATCAGCTGAAGCGACATGTTACGACGCTTTTATTGAAATGTAAAGTGGTGATGGACAACGATGACAAATCCGGAGAATTTTTTACGAGGTTTCTTTTACTTTAGAATAATGGAGAGCTATGGAGGAGACATACGCGAAGTGAATGTCAAACAGACGAAGAAGAGTTTTCTAGTTGTGCACGTGCCAGGGGCCCTGGCGATTAGTCATAGCCCAAATTTGCTAGCAATTCTTTGAGCAAAATATCGGATGCGCAAGTTGCCGGCAAGTTTCGAGCAAAATATCGAGTTTTGGTGGGCTTTTCGGAAAATCCAAGGCTTCTTAGGGACTTTCCCAACACAATCAGTCACCAAGGTTGAAAACGAGCATAAAAGTAGGACAAAACAGACTCGTGGCTACATTTTTGTTGAAAGTATAGCAGCAGCAGGAGCCCAATCAAAAATTCCGTAGTCATCAGCGACAGTGATTGTAGATTTTTCCTTGAAACTCATTTTATCTCGAGCAAAATGAAAGCAAAATATCGACAGAGAAAGGAAATGCCGAGCAGAATATCGAAAATCTTGCAGCAAAATTGTGCGGCAAAATATCGATGTGGGCAGAGCAAATTTGGGCCATGACTACTGGCGATAGCATCTCTAGCTTTACTGAAGTAGACACTGATGCATTGCTAAATTTGGACCAGGATGAAGGAGCGGCTATAAACAGAAAGAGCTCGTTCCAAAAGAACTGCCTTCGTCGAGTCCAGCTCAGGAGGCTCGAAAAGAACTAGAATTTCTCATGGACTCAGTACCAAGTCGATTGCTCAGCATCGCCTGTCTTACTTTCCTGATGAAGCACGTACAGTTAGTTGTGGACGGTTGTTATGCCAGGCCTACAGTCAAATGCTACAGAAAGGAAGAGTATTGTGACAAGCCATTCATGTACGTCTACACGGTACACACCATCTCAAGGAGAAGATGAGAGCACAAGCAACAAAGGATGTAGAGAGGCAAAACAACTTCTGACCACGTGTTTTCAGGATTTCCGCAAATGGGAGGGCTCTCCATCTGAGATCGGATCTCAGGAGCTGGCCTCGCGTCTGGTGTTTCAGATGAAGACATTATTCACAGAGTGGACGCAGTGACAGCTTGTCTGCAGGCAGGAATACTATTTGCCAAGATTAACTTCATGCCGACAATGAATGACTACCTGCAATAATGGTTTCATCTCTCACTACATGGATAATTAGGGGAAAGATTTGATACACGGACTATTCTGCCACAACCCTGCATCAAAGTTGGAATGGAGAGCAATCAATGGAGAAGCGATCATCTCTTATAGTGCTAAGAAGTGGTGGGGCTCGTGAGAGATAAGGTGGCAACTTCAGATGCAGATCGCCGATAATTATGCATAATTTCCTGGAAGTTTGACAATGTGCAGACTTTCTTCCATTTTTGTCCCAAACCAAGAGCATTATATCCCTTGCTGAAGCATTATAATCGGCATTATGAGGCAGTTTTGAGAGCATTATGGTTAGCATTATACGAACATTTTCGGAGCATTATCCGCTGGACCCTAGTGTTAGCGGCCGCGTGAGTTCCCTTTGGGAACGGACACGAAAATTTACATTTTTTTACTGTACATCAATAGTAATTACAATAAAAAAATTGACGGGTTTTTACAATAAAGGTAATACTAATATGAAAACTTTTAATACTAAAGTAATAGGGACAGTGTAGACCGTTAGTATGGGGTGCTTCAATGCACATCCCCAAACCGAGAGGTGCGATCTGGAAAGGACAGTGAGACGATCAACATGATGTACTTCAAAGCACGTCCCAAGCCCATGGCTGCTCTGAGTTGTGTTTGTTGACGTCTTTTTTTATAAGCTGTGCGTGGAGAGTGATTGGCCAGACGGGGAAAGACGTCCTCGGGGAGGCTGTTCCACAATTCAAGGTTGCAACAGTACGGGAAGGAACGTCGAAGATAATCGGGACTGGTGACGGGGGTTGTGTTTAAGAGCTGTTCCCGGTGCTGGCGCTGAGCATAATGCTGCTGGCGGGTTCGAACAGTATCGGTCCGTGGTTTTGGGGGAGGGCGCCCGCAGACTCTGGAGGACGGCCTCCAAGGTTTGGCACTGCTTTAGATTCTCGCACTTATTTTTCTTTTTTTATACTTCCTCTGGCAGAACAAGCAAAATTCCATGTTTGTAGGTTCGAGTGACTGACTGCCTTGAAGTTCTCTTCTCCATTACGAACAACTAGCAAACGCTATAGTTCTGGTTGCTGACAGCAAAAAGTTGCAATGTTGTTGTTTGGCTTTATTTAGAGTGGAGTTCCAAAACAGGCCTAAACCTAATGACAATGGTCCCACTGATAATAAGAGAAAAGAAAAAAATATAAAAATAAGCGGACAAACAGAACAGAGAAGAATAAATATATAAGTAAGTTAGATAACTAATATGCAAGAAAGGCAAGGCCCGCGAAGTTGCCTGGAGCTTGTTGCAACCAGGTAGTAATAGAGTCACAGTTGTAATATCTAGTTGCAACATTGAGATTCAGTACTCCACACTCGTGTGTGTGCAATCTGGAATCAGGACCAGAAGTAGCGCACACATAATTATAATTCCGGGAAATGGCCATAAAAATCAAAGTCACCATTTATGGAAAACCCAGGAGTGAAAACGGGAGATTTACAGGTACGGGGAGTTAGTTGCTGAAGTCACCACAAGCTACAAGGTCACGACTCACGAGAGATAAACGTTTCGAGTCGCCAGGTTTGGAAAATATAGCGCAACATTGGCGACGTTCCGAAACCGGCGCACTGCCAGGCTAGTATGCGCCGCTGGCGCAAGTAGGCCCGCAACGGTCCGCGCGAGGTGAGGGCGCGAAGGCCGCACACTGACCAGCTGCTCCGTATTTAGCTTGGCCTTGATCTAAGCATGTCATACTTGGGAGTCTGCGGCAAAAAGTGATTAGTTACATGTAGCCGCTGGTTGCGATTAATCGGCAATTAATCGGCTGTGTGCCATACATGCATCTCACGTGGCGTGACCTCGACACACCTCGACACACCCCTGCCTTGCCCCAGGCCCAGCGCCCTTTTTGGCTCCTACACCTGGGAGAAGAAAGCACTTGAAATACCGACAGCTGAAGTTGCGGTTGGTCAGTTATAACGAAAATCAGCTTTGTACAGTATTCGGTTGGCTCGGGTCGACTAGTCCGCACCCACGAGAACATAACCTACCGATTTGTCGTGTGTTTGAACCTCGTCCCACCCCTTTCGCCAAGCGTTGGGAGTCTGAGATCGAGCTTTAACCTTGGCTTGTTTTTGCTGCTTGTCAGTGTAACGCGGTGGCCACAGTAGAAATGAAGACGGTTACCTTTGTCTCGCTATGCTTGATTCTGGGGCTATTGGAAGGATTGGAAGTGTCTGGTACAGGTGAGTTAAGGCAGCTCAGGCCTACCGTATTATCTCCATTATAAGTCCCGTGCTTATATTATTTCAACCAGTCCCGACCCCGGGCTTATATTTTTTCAACCAGTCCCGACCCCGGGCTTATATTATTAGAGACTAGGCTTCTACTAGAGGCTGGGTGTATAAATTTTCAACCACCCAGTACATTATGCATTGCTTATTATTTTTTTCATTATTATCAGTAGCACAAAGGTTCCCAGCAGGTACCTGGACTGCAGTTCTGTGCTTCCTGGTACACTGAGTGAGTCTGAACTTGAGATCTCGGGGATCACAGACTTCAACCACAGCATAATGTTTATGTGATGTGTGACGTCAAACATGCATGGACATGATCCATACAGTTCTCCGTTATAAGCCCTGCGCTTATACTGGAGCCTGCTCTTGTAAATCTTCGAAACCCTCTTGGAGTGCGCTTAAAATAGAGACTGGGCTTTTACAAGAGACTGCGCTTGTAACAGAGATACTGTAAAACGGGTAACTATTGTGACGTAAAACTGTTTGCGAATTTTGCGAGAGGCCCCGAATCGCAAACTTTGAATAACGCAAACTCGCGCCATGTAAAGTGCAGTGCAAGGATTGACTCGACGGTGTTGTATTCAATCGCAAACATTAAACAGCGCAAACTAGTCTCAGTTCATAGTAGAGCCTACACGCTCTCTTCCATTGACACCGCAATAGTTCAACTCATTTCACAATAATCATTCCAACGTTTCGGCAAATTGCCTTCATCAGGTTCACAATGATGTGCAAGCTCCCAAACCAGCATTGACAAAGGCCAACAACTCCCCTGTCAGTAAGAGGGTGTGAGAAGCAGCGCGAAAAAGAGTTCAGCTAATAGCGCTAACATCGACTATCAGTGTAGGGAACTACTCTACTATGAACTGTTTATGAAACTGCAGGAAGCCTCCCCACTTTTACTTAAACCAGTCTCAATTTGTAAAACGCAAACATGTATTGTCGCTAGGCACCGGCGGATTATGCCGGCAGAAAAATTGGCTGAATTCGGTACTTTTTCTGGTAAGTTTCATGCATGTTTGGTATGTGGATAAAGAAATGGAGCAGAATTCGAGGAATTGCCCACCGTAAGGTTTGTATGGTTCTGCCAATTTCACTGCTTTTCGAGCAGAATCTGCCACCTTTTCGAGCATTTTCCGCCGTTGCCTAATTGTCGCAAACGTTACCCGTTTTACAGTAATACGGTACATTGCCAAAAATATCGGTCAAAAACCACTGTCAGTGTTGTGGCATTTTGTCGCACTCGCTGACTGTATAAGATCTGGTTACGTTGGTGGACTGTTAGTCATAACTTGTAACATTTTGTCCTTCTCCTTTTCACCACAATTTAACTGGCTCACCATCCGAGTTCAACTTTAAAAAAACATTTTCTGTCAGATTTTGCTCAAAGTTTCAAATTTCAGGGTTGAAGCGTCATTAGGGCAAGCTGTAAATCCCAAAGTGTTGCTAGTGTGTAATGGACCATTCCCTGTGTCGGGGGCCTGTGAAAGCCACTCATACACTGGCACAAGCGGTGTGAGAGCGCACTACTGTCCATTCATTGGAAACTGGCACCCTAACTTTTTGGTGTTTTGTATTGTATTGCTTGTATTGTACATGGCAAGTCAAACGGGCAATCATGCCCAATGTTATGATGACGATGGAGTGTCTCCCGCATATAGTTGTAGATAGTTTGTTTTCTGATGATCGCTTAGTGCGTGAAACTCGGAGTAAAACACTTCCTCTGTCCTCCTATTGTTTGAACCAGCTCTACCACTCGGTATTGAGCACTCTCTTGGACAGCCTGGAACCTCTCTGTTTTATAGTTGTAGATATCATGAAAACAACATTACATGTACATTCTGTATTGTGTGACCCGTGCAATTACTCCTTGACACATCTAAGGCCACAAAAGTCCAAGAACAGGGAAATAGAAATTCAGCCAGGTTTTGCAAAATTAGGACAGGTATGCCCTGGCAAAATGTAGGAGAAGCAGATCCGAAACCCAGATTTTTGAGATTTAAAGTGGGTTTCTGATCCTCAATTCGGCCCAGATCCGACTTTCAAAAGCCAGCGGGACTGTTTCCGATGAATGGACTGTACAAATGAGAGTCCACCGGCTCAGTAGAGTGCTCGATATTCATTCGAATAGAGCTATATTGTGACTGGGTAGTCTTTTCTCCGGGTCCGGAAATGCTGCAGTCGTTGCGATGTTCAACAGCGAACGGCACGTGTCATAAGGCGCGGTCCGTGACGGGGTGACTTTCGGACCTACCGGTAATTTCCTATTTTTCGGGACTTCAGAGTTCTTTTCAATTATTTCTCCTTGAATTCAGTAGAATCAAGTTCACAATACCAGTTTTTCATGAAGACCAAAAAAAATAGCCCTGAAAGTTGTGCCATTCAAAAAATAGTCCCAGGAAATGATAAAACAGTTCATAATATTAGTTGTGCTCCTGAACTATCCCTAAACACCACGAGTGACATTAGATCTTATCTTGCTAAAATTCAACTCAAGGGATGCACCACGAAGATGTGCACGAGCTATGTCCCTGCACGAGCTATGTCCCTGCACGAGCTATGTCCCTGCACGAGCTATGTCCCTCGGCAACAAAGAATGTCGACATGTACGGGATGATGGTGACGAGACTAGTAAGACCATTGGACAAACCGGTCTAACTACAATTCGAAAATGCAAGGCAACAGACCACCCAACTTGGGATGCTCAAGGGCATGTAAGAATACATGAAGAGGGGAAGCCAAGCTTATAGGTCCTTTTCTCTTTCCACATAGCACTTTTTTTTCTTAAACAAAGCGTGTGCAGCAGCATTCGGCCCTGTACAGATTTCCCATCAACCACTTCACCATAGCTGCGCTTTCCCAGTGCCGACCTGGACACCATGTTACCACAGTACACCACCAGCAAGGCCACACATCCGTTGCTACTGAATTCCTTCACACAGATGTTTCGAGCATAAGAATCTCGTCAGTGAAGGTAGATTTTTTATATATTTTTTATTTTATTTTTTACTATGTTCGCATAACCAGCTCGAAAAGATATCGTAGAATGTCTAAAATAGTGAAAATCGCCCTTTTGTCCTGAAATAGGTAAGCATCATGTGCTCCCCGGAGGTGCGAGAATTAAGCATTAGGAGTCAGTTTAGTTTTTCACGTTGTTCTGCACTTTTTTCTGTTTTCCAGTAGGGCTGTGTTAAAAGTAAAAAAAACTTGATTATTTTTTGCTTAGCCCACATCTTTGTGCCTTAGGCACACGTATTATGCTTGCCCCTTTCGGTACGAACTGGTGATTTTCACCATCTTAGCCACTCGACAGTAGGGAGGTTTAGTCCCACGTAATCCATGGGTACTTTACGCGTGTGTACCATGTGATACTCAGTGACCCACGTACAGACGTTTTCTGATTCCCGACATACCGCGTATGGAGGCTCACCCATGTTCCGCCAGAACGTGGGTGAAAATCAGAATGGAGTGCATTGTGCGAGCTGTGATGGTGCTCAGCTGAAGAAGTTTCCGAAGCACGAAATCAAAATATTGGATGAGCATCTTAGGCCCGGGTAGCTTCGTCTTTGACCAGGTTTGGGCCTTTTGCTTCATGCTTTCGTTTGTTCCGTGTGACTAAACACAACATTGCAACGTGGGTGCCCTTCATCCACTTTACGTGGATCACCCACGTACGCGTTTCCGTTACATGGGAGCTAAACCTCTCTAGTATCTACCTTCGCTGACGAGACTTTTATACTCGAAGCAGCAGCTGTACGAAGGAATTCGGCACCAACAGATGCATCGCTTTGCTGGTGGTGTGCTATAGCTATGTCGTGTCGAGGTCGTCTGGAGAGCACAGTTTTAGGGTGGTGGGTGATGAAAAAAATTCTTTTTGTTTTTAGTACTAGTACTAGTAATGTAACTGACCATGACGTTTATGAACGAATAATAGTCTAGCAAATACCACTCCATCGAACGAGCGATCATTCCACTATTCCACAAGAAAATTCATTATCATAGTCGAGCCGTTGAATTTGAGTGACGCATCGCAGAGATTACATTTCAATCGCTCGCCGCCATTTACCTTCTCAAAAGCTCTGCCATACGGAGGTCGACATGACGAATGCAAGCGGAGCGCAAAAAAGTGCAAGCTACAAACTAGAAACTAGAAACTACAAGTCACTAACTACTACTGCAAGGCTACAAACTGATCCCAGTACATTTAATTTTTTTATATTTTTTATTGGGAACACAGCCCTACAAAGAGACATGTGGAGACAAACACAAAACAAGACACAGGGGATGTAGGGACGACGTGCCGATGTACAGGGAGCACATCCCAGAGTAAAGAAGAAACGAATGCGAAGTGTATAGCCAGTCAGCCATCACCTAATTTTAAAAGTAGGAGACAACCAGCTCCGGTGGTTGTCACCTTTCACGGGCCACTGCTGTCATTTGCACTTTTAGATTTGCGCCATGATGCAGTCATTTACGCTGTGCACTGCCGTCATTCACACCTTTTAGATTTGCGCCGTGATGCAGCCATTTACTCTTTGCTTTGTGGGTATATTAAAAACCAGTACTGATCCAGATTTACTCAGTACTTGTGTCTGATGATCGCTTAGTGCATGAAACTCAGATTCAAATCACTTTTTCCGTCCTCTTATTGTTTTGTTCAAAGCAAAGTGTACATGTGGTAAACACACAACACAAGCGCTCAGACTCAAGTCAGAGTAGAGTCTGAGTAGAGTCTGAGTAGAGTCTGAGTAGAGTCTGAGTAGAGTCTGAGTAGAGTCTGAGTAGAGTCTGAGTAGAGTCTGAGTAGAGTCTGAGTAGAGTCTGAGTAGAGTCTGAGTAGAGTCCCTGTAGAGTCTGAGTAGAGTCTGAGTAGAGTCTGAGTAGAGTCTGAGTAGAGTCTGAGTAGAGTCTGAGTAGAGTCTGAGTAGAGTCTGAGTAGAGTCTGAGTAGAGTCTGAGTAGAGTCTGAGTAGAGTCAGAGTAGAGTCAGAGTAGAGTCAGAGTAGAGTCAGAGTAGAGTCAGAGTAGAGTCAGAGTAGAGTCAGAGTAGAGTCAGAGTAGAGTCAGAGTAGAGTCAGAGTAGAGTCAGAGTAGAGTCAGAGTAGAGTCTGCGTAGAGTCTGCGTAGAGTCTGCGTAGAGTCTGCGTAGAGTCTGCGTAGAGCCTGCGTAGAGTCTGAGTAGAGTCTGAGTAGAGTCTGAGTAGAGTCTGAGTAGAGTCTGAGTAGAGTCTGAGTAGAGTCTGAGTAGAGTCTGAGTAGAGTCTGAGTAGAGTCTACCATTGTCTGCCGCGCGTAGTCTAGTCGTTGTCTGCAACACAGTACAACATTATGCATTCAAGTCGAGAGATCTGGAGCCGCGCGTGGGGTATGCAACGCATGGACTTCGGCCGTCCGCGAATATTCGAATTTTCGAACCTTCAACCTAGAGTTTGTCCGATCGATTATTCGTTGAGGTCCTGGAGACCGAGAAAAGTCGAATAATCGATTATTCGCTAAATTGCTACTTTTTACTGAATACCACAGAACCTTTAAAAGATGCTGCACAGCGGGAACTTCAACAAAGCCTTCCTTAAAAAAAATTTCTGTTCCTGGAAAACTGAGTGAAAGACTTTTCTAATGGCGCGTTGGGTGTTGGATCATGTGGCTATTTGAGAGGTTTATGATAGCTTGGTCACAAGAACAAAAAGCACAAATTTGTGTTCTTTGGCCAAGTTTTGCATAATAACAATGGCGAAGAATGAAACAGTGGTGCCTGATACATTCGCAAAACTCGAACAGAGAGCCGGTAGGCAGGTCAAGGCCTCCTACGATTAAGTCAAGTCACACTACACCAACATGCATGTACATACATGTAATTTTTCCTTCACTTCTCTTTTCTCTAAAAGAAACTATATTCTCGATTCGGGGTAGGATTTACCCCCCCCCCCTCACTCGTTTGTTGTGGGCTGTATTCACTCCCATTAGGTGCAATGCAGTCCAGACAGTTAGAGGAGAAATATGAATAGATCCGACAATACGCATGCATGTTCCCTTTGCCTATAGGCTATCAATCATACTTCTTGTTTCGTTTTGTCTTTTTGGTCCACTTCACCAGGGGCATGCTTCTCTTATTTTGAATTCACATGCGACGATGGAAGCTGCATCACCAAATCCTGGAGATGCAACGGCGCAATTGATTGCAAGTCTGGTTCTGACGAGAGAGGTTGTCCAAGTAAGCTAATCACTACTTCATACTTAATCTAAGGTGACCATTAGCCCAGGCCCACTGGTACACATCCAGGCCTGAGGGCACACCTCCGCCTATGCACACACGCCGGCACATGAGCACACACACACCCTCGCATACGGCGCAGCTGCACGCTGGAACACCCTCTCTGCTGAATGCCGTCTCGCTGACTCCCCCGCTATCTTTGTCACACTAGCCAAGCAACACCTAGGGTTCCCTGTAAGAAGGCAATAGCCAGTTTGGATTGCCCTGGTAATATAAAAAAGAAGAAAGGAATTCGGGTGGACACACCCGTTCCCATAGCGCTGCACATCGGATCCGAACCAGTTCCATTATTTTACATTTCGGCACTTGGCCATCGTCATGTAAGCAGAACAATGAATACAGTGGAAGCCCCACACACGGCTGTTACGCAGTCTAACATCTAACAAGATGGCGGCGAAAAGTTTGAAATCGCTGCGGATTTACTGAAATCCTTTCGACTTAGTAAAACATGTATAGAATTATGTAATTTCGCCGGATTTAGTACTTTCTTTCGGTAAAGTCAGTCTAAACCCAAATATTTTTTAAACGACAAGGAAGTAAGAACAGAAGTCTTGCTGTCGAAAACATCAAGAAGAAGAATTATTTTTGGAGGAAGTAGAAGTGAACAGTTAGACCTTACCTCTCTGGCTTTGCGTGTAGTCAGTGTTATGGCGGACTGGCTGGTTGATCTGCCTGCGATGGAGCAGTCCGCTGCCTCGATCGAACTTTGGGCCGTTGATCTGCAACGTCTGGCAGGGTGCATACGAGGTGTTGTTCTGCAACAGTATGCAGGCGCTCAAGCTCGCCGGGAATGGTACCGTATCTCTTCTCGAGCAGGTTGAACTCGGCGTGAATTCCTTCCGCGCCCTGTTCCGACAGTAGACCAAGCCCGACGTGCACTCTCCGCATCAGCGGCACAGTGTGTTCCTCAAGGAGGTGCAGCTTTGGAGTGATGTGACCTAAGCCTCTCTCCACCACCTCACTCCGACATTTCTGTAAGAACGAGGCAATGGAGAGCTCCAATTGCTGCAGTTCCTCATCTCCACATTTGTCGCAATGGCTGAAGGAAGATCTGCACGCTGTGTACTGGCTGAACAGGGACTTGTACCGCTCACTGACTGCTCGAGCGTCATTCCGCAGAGCTGGGCACCGATCTCCAATGACAATTGCTGGGGCCTCAGTGATAGCTGTGATCACGGCGGGCTTGAGGGCACGGTGGATATGGTTCCCTACAAAAGCACCGCCGTGATAGGCCTGCCGATGGATAATGTTCTTCTGCAGTACTGGCTCTATGGACGCTTCGCACGGGCTGAGAACATCCTTGCTGCGGCGCAACTTGGCCAGTTCGTCTTCAGCAATCTTCAGCTGCGAGCTACACTGCTCTGTGTCGGCCTGTGCTTGCTCAACCTCCCGTTGTAGCACGCCTGCGAGTGCTTCTATCGCCATGCCCTGTTGCTGGCCAAACAAGACGATGAAGTGCAGATGATTCTCCAGAGCGGTGGCTTTCGCTGTTGCTTCCGAGAACGCTGTTTTGCAGCCAGACAACTTGTGATTTGCAGTTGACAAGGCTCTAAACCGTCCACTGTCTTGCTCTTCAGCGTTGCATTGTTCTGCAAGCTGCATGTCCAGAAGACGGACCTCGCGTGTGAATACATCAAAGATCCACGGGAATACACCGAGGTCCAGGTGCAGCACTGGAATGATGGCGCTCGCAACGGGCACTGGCAATAGGACTGGTCTGTTGGTGTTGTTATACAGCTTTGCCTTTGACAGCAGAGCACCTGCGCTTGTAAACTGTGCATAGTCCTCTGCCATCTTCTCTAAGGACCGTGCTCCATACTGTACATCACGGTTCTCTGGTGGGACCTGCATGTCTTTCTTTGTGCACAAGCAATGGAGGCAAGGCCTTACGTCACTGGAACCCGACAAGCCGTAGTTCATGGTTTGGTACTCGTAATCACCAAACAGATAAGGCACAATGGTCTTGCCTATTCATTTCTGGCCCTGTAGCTCAGCCTCTGCAATTTGGTTCCAATACATTGAGAGTGCAGTTACCAGGTTTGCCGGCAAGTCCTTCTCTGCAAACACGCAGATTGACACAGTGTTGGCGGGTGAGTTTGGATGCATGGTGTTGGCGATTTGCATCACGAATTTAAATGTTGTCTTACCATGGTCACCGCCCAGCTTGACCCATATCTCCGTTTCTGGGATGGCGCCATCATGCCATGTCAGCTTACTGCCGCTGTCAAGTATGTTGAGGTAGTGGGTTATGATGTCGGTTAGGTTTAGAAAGTAGACAGCTGCAGCAAGTGACAACTCGCCAGTCCGCTTGACAAAGGGGAGCTGCTTCACTGTGTATTTCGGCAAGGTGGTCGCTATGAATGAGCGAATGCTTCTCTCCGATTCAAGCTGAACTCCGAAGGAGCGGAGCCATCTGCGCAGCTTCCGGAGTTGCGCCCAAGGAAGGCTTAGATCGGCCTTGATGGCAAGGGCAGTGCCTGAAGGTGGTTTGATGCTGGTAGCACCAAGTCCAGCAACGCCATGCCGTGTTGCATCTGCTGTGGTGCAAACTGTCTCTGTGATGCGCTCCATTTCCAGTGACCGTCGTTTCAGCGTCCTGGCTGATGCCTCCTCCGGCTGCTTGCTGCCAACTGTTGTTCGCATGAACATTTGCGGTCTTCCTTGGCTGCTGGTTTTCACTTCCAGCCTCCCATCTTCTGCTTTGGCGGACACAAGGCGACAGGTCAGTCTGTCACTCACATCGCCCCGTAGCTTTGATGGTGACGCTGCTAAGATCTCCTCCACTGTTGCAGCTTTGGTTGCAGTACGAATGGGCATTCCTGAGGATGTGGATGGATTGAACGGACATGATGTGACATGACCTCGTAATTCATGGAGGCGAACGGTTGCTGGGCAACCCGACAATGCTGGTTCATGGAAGTCGCAATGTACACACCACTTGATAACCATATTGCACACTAGCTTGCATGGCTTCTGCAGTGTCGCCAGTGCCATTGGCTGTCTGCATACTGGACATGTATTGTGACTCTTCATCCACGTGTGCACGCATGTTGAGCAGAATATATTTTCACAGCATTTGGCTTGAACTGCTCCATTTACCACTTGCAAACATATCATGCATTCCTGCACAGCTCCACTGTCAATAAACCGCTCTTACTCTAATGCTGCTTCAGCCCGATACATAGGCGCTGCGTGCGCCGAAATCTCGTCCAAAGTAACTGCGGATGTTTGACTATCAGTGGTGTGTGCCACTGTGTTGGTGTCACCGCTGCTACTGCTGCTGGTGCGTTTTTGCTGAGAGCTAGGACTGCCTTCTGGCAGTTCTGCTGATGTTGATGCCATTGATGTCTCTCGTTTTGCCGCTTGGCCAAGCAGTTCACTGATGGCTTTCCGTTTCGGTGGACGGCCGCCCTTGGCTCGTACAGCATCACTCTTACATACGGCACAGTTAGATCTCGCATATGGTTGCCATGTAGCTGGGCCATTGCAGCCCCCACTACAATACTTATATGTGTCATCTCTCATTGAACGTGCAATAGCAAATTGACAAAGTGAGCACATGTACTGGGGATGCACGTCAGGGGAATCTTCGGAAACATCAATTTTAAAAACTTTGGCGATCTCTTCAACATAATTCTTCACCGGATATGGAGTTTTGTGACCAGCACTGGCAAGTTTTTGGCCACCAATGCGACACACGGATTCAAGAATACTCGAGTGGTGCTCCATGGCAGAGCAGAAAGCAACAAACAAGGCTAAAATGTCGCTGCGCGATCGAGACTTCCTTTGCACGATCTGGGACAAGAGCGCGATTTTTGAGTTATAGAAGGTCTCTAGGGCCACCAAAAACACAGCAAGCAGCTGCGAAAACTCGGCGCCGGGATGTAGGCAGCAATGAAAGTAGAGCAGTTTTGGGAATCGAAAGGACAAAGGACGTGGAGGCGACATGGCGACAGAAACCTGTCGCCTCTTGGGAAAGACGATCCAAAAGGCATCAATGCGTTCCTTGAAGCTTCCCCTGGACGAAAATCGCGGTTGTATGGTAAACCGTGTCGATGGGAGACGATGGGAGCCAAAATGGCCTGGACACCAACGTGAAAAATGCAATTCTCAGCTATTCTCTGGGGGCCGTCGCGTTCAAAATTCAAAAAGTTTCAAAAAAATGACGCCATTTTGAATGTCCGATTTTGTGATCTACGTAACAGCCGTGCACAGGAGCAGTATATATACACAGAGTGTAGCGCCAAAAAAGATGCGAGTTACGCCACCTCTATGCAGAGAGGGGGGGGGGGGGAGAGAAAAGGTGCAACTGTGCACAACACAGAGAAGAAGCAACAGAAGGTAGCGCGCCATTGTGCTCTGTGTAGTGAGTATGCATGGCAAATAATAATAAACGAGAGAGCTTGGAAGCTCAGGGCCCTACGCTTTGCTTTTTTGCCTTGATGACCTAGACAAAAAAAGCATAGGGATGTTATAAATTCTTATAAATTTCTACTTTTTGTTTTTAGACATAACCTGGGATTCCAACCCGCACTATCGCCCTGGATGCATCCCCGGACCCCCGATACACTTCGCATACAACTAATTCTTCCAAGTTGCTTCACGTTATGATCTTGTATTTGAAAGCCCTATTTGAATATGCATTGTGGCCATCCGTCTTTGATTGTACGGCACGGTACGGGACAGGTACGGGACAGGTATGGGACAGGTACGGTCGAGGGTAATACGACACCAGCTACCGCCTTTATGACGGCAAAAAAAGAATAGGGATGCTATAAATTTTTCAATTTTCCTATTTTTTTCAGGCATTACCTGGGATTCGAACCCGCACTATCGCCCTACATGCATTCCCCCATTCACTTCGCATTCATACTCATTCTTCCAAGTTGCTTCACGTTATGATCTTGCGTTTGAAAGCCCTATTTGAATAGTGCGGCCAGCTGTATGTGGCCAGCTGTGTTTGATGGTACGGTACGGTACGGGACAGATACAGGATAGCGCCAGGCGTGACACAAACACACAAACAAACAAACACCAAATTAAAGCTGTGTGGACCCTGGCTAGCGCCAGACGTTACTGAAATAACGTCTTCTGCATAGCTTCGGGAATAAAAATATAATTATGGTGTTAATTTTAGCACATTACAGGAGGGGAACACCGAGGGCCATGCGCCAATGCACTATGAGGTTAATCACAGAATGTGTTAGAAAAGCAGACAACCGCGAGATCTCACACTTCCCATGCCCATCACAATTTTAGCACATTACAGGAGGGGAACACCGCGGGCCATGCGCCAATGCACCATGAGGTTAATCACAGAATGTGTTAGAAAAGCAGACAACCGCGAGATCTCACACTTCCCATGCCTAACGGTTTTCACCACGGACGCGACGAGGCATCAGGAAGAGAATGGATTTGAGTGACCTGCCTCATATTATGTTCAGTGATATTGAAGTACAAAAAAGAGTAGTAGCAAGGACAAGCTGAGTCACAATAAATCCAATCCGGTGCTTCATAAAGCCCATCCGGTGCTTAATAAATCCCATCCGGTCAACAAGAACTCGACAAGCCATGGGGCCAACATTTTCGTACCACTCACCCTGGATCCAAGCTCAACTATGGGCAAAGTTGGTTCTCTGCAGTTGAAGTAATAGGGAAGAGCCTGATTGAGCCTGTCGCAAACTGCGCGAGGCGATTGAGATACAGGATACTAAGCCCTTTGTCAACATAAGCAATGGATGGGATTTATTATGACTCGCCCATCGCATAAGGCAGAACGACAGCCTGCAGCAGTGTGGTGATCATTTCCTGAGGATAGCTCCGAGAAAACGTTCGGAATACACTGAATGTTGTTCTGTGTCCGCAGATCACTGCAATCGCCATTTCCTTATCTTCGTTGTTATTAGCCTTTCTTCGTTGGGCTGTGTCATCACGCCTTTTGCCGTACATAATTCATTGCTCTTACTGCCGTTTGTTCTTGCATGCTTGTATATCACCTGAAGAGAAGGCATGGAAGTTTACTTGTGAAAAACAGTTCAGAATGTTGTTGAAGAACCTGAAGCTAATGCTTTATTCTCAGATCTACTGAGTCAGTGCCGTCCATGGTTCCACAACATCAGCTTATTGGGACGTAGTAAAGATGGAGACGAATTGTGCTGCAAGGCCATAGATACGGGCGCCTCTCTCTACCGGGCTGCCCTTGCTACGAAGTCGGTGTTCTGTTTCAGCTATTTAAGAATGTGTTCTGTTTGCCTACAATGTCACGTCTCTTTCTGCACAGCAAAGCCGGGGCTCGCACCCACTACTATACCAAGTAAGTAGAGAATAGCTGCGTCTGCTTCAAACGGGAAAGGTGTGCAGCTCCATTAAGCACCTCCCTGGCGAGCGGTGGACTTTGCTACAGTAACATGGCATGTACAGTGTATTTTTAAAAAAAATAGACGCCTGGTATTTTTTGAAATATTTCAAATTTGGCTGGAGGTTTTGAGTTCTTTTTTTTAAGAATATTGTTCAGGTCCTCTGGCACATGGCGGGGCTGCCACACTTGGAGGGAGAAAAATCTGACGGGGGTCCGGGGTGTCCCCCGTTTAAATATTTTAGGAAAATGGCTTGCTGTTGGGGCCCCAGAACACATTTTTAACTGTTCATACACATGAAAGCACGCGTGCATTTTACTGCTACGTGTACATGTACATGTACAATGACCTGCCAAACGCGACCTGGAAGCGCCGGATGGCCAGCTGGACTATAAAGTGCTCAAAATAAAACAATCGGTTGTCCCTCTTTGGGAACAAAATCGGTCGGTTTGTCCGACAGGCGATCAAAATCGGACGATTTCCGAAAAATCGGAGCAAGTGGCAGTCCTGGCATGGTCACCACACCGCAGATGTGCTCTGGTACATGGTCACCACACCGCAGATGTGCTCTGGTACATGGTCACCACACAACATATGTGCGCGTCTTGCATCTGGGAATATAAGGCCAAACCTGATAGCAATGAAAAGAAGAGCCCCAATTAGATCGGATTGGGAGAAACCTTTGATTCATGACCCACACTAGGGGAAGTGAGCTTCCAGAAAAGCGGAAAAATGCAAGCTGTGGTGAATTAATGATAGCTTGCATGCCGTCCTACCGGTAGGACCACGGGTCCTACCGGTAGGACCCAAGAAATCGCGCTGCAAAAGTGCTTTTGGTTGAGAAATTTCTTGAAACAATTGTTGAGATGAGGTCTTTGTCAGGCAAAGTAATGGCGCAAAATGCAAGACTATGTCCAGTGCATTGCATACGCGCAATTTTATCAATTATCAAAATGGCCGCACATACTCCTGTTGGAGCGCTAGCAACTCTGTCCAAAGTGAATTTTGATCATGGCACATCAATCGTGGTGAGGTACTAATGTTTTTATTAGTCTGCCAAGGCAGTGGGATGCATAATTCCATACACCGTTTCCATGGTTACCATTTGCTGTTACCATGGAATTTCGTACTATGCCTTGTGCGATCACGTCTAAAATTTGTGGACTCCTTCACTAGCCCCTGAGCAACAGTTCAGGGTCAAGTTTTAGGTCAATGTTAGAACAGAGGCCATGCAGCATGTCTGTGTATGATGGTCCTACCGGTAGGTCCTACCGGTAGGACCGATGTCTATGCAAGCTATCATTAAAATCAATTAATCTGACAAGAAAGGTCCCTGGGTCAAGTCCTGGTGTCGTGTCCCCCCTCCCTTTTCTGGCCATTTGATTTTCTGACTGACGGCGACTATGCACCTTCCTCACTATCCCAAATAGACAACAGAAGGACACTGTTAGGTAGCTGCTACTAGCTGGGAAGTATATTCTGTCATGAGATTATTTGAATTTGCACATTTTATTAAGTCGGACCAAGTAGTATTTAAAATCGTGTAGGACGCATCACGCAGCTTCATAAGTAAAAAATTAGTTGTGAGCAACACTGGCTCACACTCAAATCACTGCTTTTCACCAGAAAAAATATTTTATTTCAACGTTTCGGTCATGAAATAACCATCATCAGGAATGAAGTGGGCACATCGGTTAGGATGGGTTAATAAATGAGGAGCGCTGCGAACTGATAACAAATCACACCTGAATGCACTATTACGAGAGAGAGAAAAAAAGGACAAAACATCACAAAAAAACCTGGTATAGAAATAACGCAATACGCGACAACTCTAAATATGGCACAGGTACAGGCACCAAACAGAATGTACATGTACACTAGGTGCGTGCATACATGTAATTGCAGACGCTATCAACAATAGTAGTAACAGTGCATGGGGTGCAAAACCACCACTATCCAGGAAAAGCGAGTTTGATAGCCAGAAATATGTACAAGGTAGTAGTACTTCACCAGAGACTTCACAGGAGGTCCCACCCTGCGTTATTGTTCATGCTGGGGCTCGTGTCGCGAATTTGTATTGCTTCGCGTATTCTTCTCCTGGCCCGATCCGACTCAGTGGCAAGGACGCGAACCTCTGTGAATGCCGACTCACCAAGCGGCAGAACCTCGCCGCCATGGTGAAGTCGGTAGTGCTCGCCCAGCGCTTTTCCAGACGTCTTGTTGCGTGAGTTTTCATTGTGTTCGCGTTGCTACACTACGGCCAGTCTCTCCAACATACTTCTCCGAGCATTTGCAGGTCAGACGATAAACCACGTTGCGTAGTATTATACATGTAATAGTTGCTGTTACACTCACTGATCCTTATGCACGGATATACAGCATTCCCTCACTAGTGGGACCATTGTTATTAGGCTAGGGCCTGTTTTGGACTTCCCGCTCTAAATAAAGAATACAAACAAACAATGTAGCTGCAGGAAGCCTCACTGCTCTCACTTGGTTCTCATTTATATTCGTAAATATTTACCACATACAGCCGCGACTTGTAATAATGGATGTGGTTTTTTTTAAACATTTAATATAGCAACAGGAAGGACTAATTGCACTGTGAGCATTTCCTAAATGTCGACATTTGGGAAATGCTTACAGTGCAATTTGTCCTCCCTGTTGCTATGTTAAAACTGCTGTCTTCGAAACGCTTGTTTTTACAATAAATTTTGTTCTGATTTCTCCATTTCGTTGTTGCAGCACCGGCATGTGGTTCGGATTTCTTTTATTGTCCATACAACAAAAAACCTTGCCTCCCACGAGCATGGGCCTGTGATGGTATTCCGTATTGCATTGATCCATCAGGAAATGCTACGGACGAGTTTCCGTTGAACCCCAACTGCACAGGTACTTACGACCACGTTAACTTTTAAAATCAGTGAATGCCGTGAAAACATGAACATTTTTTTAATGTCCTCTGTGCTCATGTTAGGGGGAGAGATCCAAACAACGTAGGCAGTTTGCCCCCACTTTGCCCTAGCAATGCTACAGTATGATAGTATCACCCATAGCGCCATAATAAAGGAAAGCATACCGTCGTCCCTCTTTGATCTGGCACTTTGTAAACCAGCACCCTCTGTAAACCAGCACAGTTTTCATTAGCCAAAATGTCCTCGTCATGCACATTGCAGCGGCAGATCGGATTTGTTCATCCAGCACTCTCCGTAATCCAGCAGAGTTTCTTTAGCACAAAATGGTGCTGGATTATAAAGGGACCACTGTATTTCCTTTGACCTGCTAGTATCCACCTGTCCACAATGCGCTCTTCGCCCACATTCACAACACCATACTCCATAGTGAGGAAGTTCGTTCTTTGATAGATGTTCCATAGCCTCCAGACAGCTGTTTTGCTCATTGAGAGCTCCTCAGTGGAGGTAGATAACGAATGAAATAGATGTTCCATAGCCTCCAGACAGCTGTTTTGCTCATTGAGAGCTCCTCAGTGGAAGTAGATAACGAATGAAATAGATGCTCCATAGCCTCCAGACAGCTATTTTGCTCATTGAGAGCTCCTCAGTGGAGGTAGATAACGAATGAAATAGATGTTCCATAGCCTCCAGGCAGCTGTTTTGCTCATTGAGAGCTCCTCAGTGGAGGTAGATAACGAATGAAATAGAATGATGTTCCATAGCCTCCAGACAGCTGTTTTGCTCATTGAGAGCTCCTCAGTGGAAGTAGATAACGAATGAAATAGATGCTCCATAGCCTCCAGACAGCTATTTTGCTCATTGAGAGCTCCTCAGTGGAGGTAGATAACGAATGAAATAGATGTTCCATAGCCTCCAGGCAGCTGTTTTGCTCATTGAGAGCTCCTCAGTGGAGGTAGATAACGAATGAAATAGAATGATGTTCCATAGCCTCCAGACAGCTGTTTTGCTCATTGAGAGCTCCTCAGTGGAGGTAGATAACGAATGAAATAGATGTTCCATAGCCTCCAGACAGCTGTTTTGCTCATTGAGAGCTCCTCAGTGGAGGTAGATAACGAATGAATAGCAGAAATAGGAACCATCACTGGCTTGTTGTGCGCCTACAACAACAACGTTGTCGTCAATGGCGGAAGTGGCAGAGGAGGAACCTTGCACGGCGGACGGGCAGTGCAGTGAATGCCCCACGGGCCTCTGGGACTGTTGCGTCGTCTGGCCTTCCGCCTGTCTCAGCTCATCATCACGTCACTATGAGCCAGCAATATTTCAATCTATCATTAAGCATGTATGTGAGGTGTAGACCAGGCTAAAATTGGTGGCGGTCAATTCACCAGCTTTGCAAGCTATTGAATGGTGTAGTCCCAGCACAATTTGCTATGTATATGTTGCTCCTACCTGTCTAAAGTTGTTCCGTTGTGTCTGGGAGTAGGACTCGTTTTAGTATCTCAACATTGGCGCCCAACGTGGGGCTCGAACCCACGACCCTGAGGTTAAGAGTCTCATGCTCTACCGACTGAGTTAGCCGAGATACTAAAATAAGTCATACTCCCAGACACAGCGGAACAATTTGGGGCATTTATTATGGGAGACGAAGCGACGGAGACAAAGACGAACGATAATATTACGGACGAGAGAGCGATCCAGTGAGAGAGAATGCAATATAAAGGGCCTGGGTAGCCATGGCAAATATAGGTGCGCAAGTAGCTACATAATACCCGGGCCAACGGAACGAAAGATGAGTACGAGGGTAAGTATCTATGGTGCATGCCGGCCAGCTTGGGAAAGGTTGTAGATTATACCGGAGGAGGTACCTAACATATAACATAGCGTGTTTGATATCATCGCTTCAGCAATGGTCAGGAGCATGACTATAGGAGTATGTAGTAGTAGTAGTATTTATTCATATTTCTCTAGGGCAGTCCCCGCAGACCTATGGTCTCCTTACGGAGTACCCTAGCCAATCTAGGATTGCGATATGTGTGGCAACGTCAGTGTGAACTGTCTGCTTCCCGCGCTTGTCTAAATTCTTGCACCATCTGTATGCATGTCCCCGGAGCACTGTGCTTTTGCTATCACCTTTAGAACTTTTGTCACCTTCAACTTCTTTAGGTGTGTCACTTTACTTTCTAGAAAGGTTGCAATTGCGCCACTTTCACCCTATAAAAACACTACTCGTCCCAGTATCTAAACAGTTTTCGTGGAGACAGAAATGAAATCAACATAAAATTTAAAACTCGGATGTTGAGCCATGAATAAATGTAGAAAGAAAAAAGACACTATGGACACGAGTTAAGAGTAACTCTCCATCACTGTAACCAGATACTTTATCCAGTCAGAAAGTGCAATAACTAGGCACAAAACTGACAGATCGTACTGGTCTTGTCATCGTCCAGTAACAATCGACATTTGTTGTTCCGTTGGGACTGTAGCTTTTGCTCGTTTTCGTTGCGCTTGCCTTCCCCTCTTTGGTCTTTCCATAACCTTGAACCTTCCAAGTTGGAAGGCTGTCGGTTAGCGCTACGGAGATGTGTTGAAGCTAGGTGTCAGAATGTCTCAGTACTCTGTCAGTTTTGTGCCTAGTTATTGCACTTTCTGACTGGATAAAGTATCATGTTACTGTGATGGAGATTTACTCTTAACTCGTGTCCATAGTGTCTTTTTCCTTTCTACATTAACATAAAATAGATAGTATTAGTGAAGCGGACATTACGCGTATAAAAGAAGGACGGTATGGAAAATGCAAGTCTGGATGGTACATGTGTGCTGCCCAAACACAATACTCATGGTGCCACTTAGACAAAGGTCCGAATTTGACGAAATTCCACCCTGAAGTTGTTCACGAAAAATCCCGTCCGGGGCGCTGGAAACTAAATTGTTACTTTGAAAATGGGATCTTTGATAAGTTTTTTGAATAATCATAAATTCTAAATTGGACAGTAGGCTTATGGTGCAAACCGGTATGGACTGTTGCATGTTTCGGTGAGGAACAACGGCACTTTTTTCTTCTTCACTGTGTCCTATATTTCTTCAGATCCTGCTGCAACAGTCGCGCCTGTTACCCTGCCACCGGCATCGTCCATACGTACGTTGTAGTTCTGTTGGTGTATTTGGGTATGCTGTACGCATGGTTTATTATTGTAGAGTGCATGCTCTTCTCCTCTAGGCTCTGGAACAAGTATTCATTCTGAGGTTGCGCAACCAACAGTATCCAGTACAGGTGGAATCCTGATAATTCGAACCTCAACATGCCAGGAAAAAACTTCAAATTATCCGGACATTCTAATTATCCAAACATGAACCCACAGCACAATAGTGTTTGTCAAAATGCTCTCATGGTCACGCAGAGTTGCGCTATGGACCTTAGTCACGGATTTCACGGATACTGAACTGACCGGCACAGCCTGCTCATCATAGCTGAACTGACCAGTACAATGTACAGTGAACTTCGAATTACACTTTGCTAACTTCGAATTATCAGCATAAATCCCACACGTTTTCTATGTAAGTGGAATCTGTGGGACTTCTAATTAACCGGATATATCCAGTTCGAGGTTCGAATTATCAGAAATGTTTATGTGGGAATCGTATTGATAGAAATCGTCCCTGGAAAAACTTCTAATTAAGCGGTATGTTCGAATTAAGCCATATTTGAATTATCAGGATTCCACCTGTATCACATTGCCTGGGCAACCATATAACCTTAGCATCAAACAGATGTTCGCCTGAACGGGCGACTGGCGTGAAGCCCGGAACGGTAGAATTTGACCATAGAGATAGACCAACATGATTATGGTGCCATGAAGCCAGGAAAAGAGGAAATTGACGATGGAAACAGACGTATTTTTGAATGAGTCAAATTTGCTTCTCGCGGCATGAATTCTTCTGAAGCGTCCATTGGTAAATAGCGTGGTGACCAAGCAGCACTGGAGTAGAGTGTCTGACGGTCAGACCTAGAAATCCAGGGTCCAATAGCTGATGTGCTGAGTCTCTTTGAATTGGTCGGCAGGTCGGTTGGGATGTGGCGGAATTGCTTCATTGATAAACAGGCGAACGCCACTGCTTGACCTTTGGGGTAATTTTAAGTTTGAAAACCTAACGCGGGCAGGTGCATGGGAGAGAGCGAAACGAGTTTTGGTGCACACTGCTCAAGCACATCACACGTTACCGCCTGCTGAAGACCCAAAGGCAGACATTTAGTGATTACACTATTGCAATTCCTGTGAAAGACAGTTGTGGCGAAGGTGTTAACGAGATTACTCAACTGGAGAACAAAGTGCATTCGCCAGTTCAGGGATGAAATTACCGTCATATTTTTTGCATAGCAGTTTCTGCTGTACAAAATCACAATAATTATTGTGTAGCAGTCTTTTGATTTTGATTTGCATTATTTTTTTAAGGTTGGGTGTTTACCACATTGTCCTTCTTGAGAGTGATGCCTGAAAGCCCATTTGCAAAAAAACCCGACTGAAGCATACATGTGCACGCAGATTGAGAGTACTTGCACCACACACAGGCATACTGCACTGTATGCACGTCACCGTTACCGTACTTGACAGCGCAGGCTAGGCATGGATAGCAGCCTGTATGCATCGCAATTTTCTGCGAGTCACAGTGATTTTTGAGTAGCAGTAGATCGATTTTGCACTTTGCAACGTGCGATGCGATCCAGGATAAATTCATCCCTGCAGTTCACGAAAAGATGGTAGGTAATGGTCGTGATACCCAATGACTCAGAACTGTATTTAGCCTTTGCATGCAGTGTAACTTTAACTCCCTCAAAACGATGGACCGAGATCCGAGCCAACAAATACACGTGTCATCTACTATTGACCGTAGTGTCGCTAGAGCCTTACTGGCTTGTGCTATTATTCGATTCTTGTTGCTGCAGAGTGGCACAATTGTTCAAGCCCAAGCTTCGAGTATGCAATTCTTTACAGCGGAAAGACGAGCTTCAGCCAGGCTGAAACGCACTGCAGAGCTGTGGGAGGGCACATTGCAACACCACATACAACAACTGAGGATAGGTGTATAAGCAACCTCAGGAAAGCCGTGAACAGCAGCAAGGTGTGGCTTGGCATCCGCCACTTCAGCAACATCGGTTGGCGTAGCGTCGAGACGAACACCACACTCAAACACTATAGCGGCTTTCACCCTGGGCTCCCGGTACTTGTCCGCCAAATGTGCGCTATGCAGCACGGTTCAGGGTTATGGAATCAATTTCCTTGCGACAACGCATACGGAACTCATATCGTATGCCAGCGACAAGGTGAGACCAGCGGCCCCTTTGACTACAAACAGCTCAGTGTAGAGTATATGGAGGATATGGAAGACTATGGAATATGGTTTGCGGACAGATTGGAAGCTTCTACAGTTTCAAAGGACGAGCATGCACAGTCCTCACTGGTATAGTAAAAGGCTATTCTTGAACTGAGCGTTTTTGTTCCCTTCTAATCATGGGCAAAATACAAGGAATGTTTTACACAGTTATACACCAGTACTCGAAAACGGTCTCTTGGCTACAAATTCTTCCAAAAATAAGAAATATTTATTATTTTTGGAAGTATTTGTAGCGGAGAGACCGTTTCCGAGTAGTGGTGTATAACTGTGTGAAACATGAAGTGGCTACAGTGGAGTCTGCACACCCTTAGGAAGGAAAATACAAGGAATAACGGATAAAATGACAAACAGCAAAATGCAGGCCATCCAAATCATGGGTCGCAACCTCACGCTACAAAATTAATGTGAGATAGAAATGAGTACATGTGCAGTGGATCGAAAACAACACAATGTCGAACAAGGTGGTGGGTTATAAAGTTTTTTTCATGTTGCCAACCCCTTAATTTCCGATATCAGTCATTTTGCATAGGGTATAGAGTAGATACATGGATGTGACAAACGGAATTTCAGCCTTTGGTCTTTGGTTGGTGGATCTGATCTATCCTCCCCCACCGTTTAGGAGCCGCGTCTGGTCTGACACCTGGTCATGGGGTGGTGGCGTCCCATGGAAGCGGAAATGTGGTACTTGTCCTGCCCGTTACGCGAACCGTCCATTTTTATGTTTCCTTTTTTAGTGGCTGGGATATCGACAAGAGTCCATAAACAAGAGTATGCAACTGTGATCTCTTTTCTATGGGCCAGATGCTCGGCGCAGTCTGCGCACTGCAGAAAGTCAAACACCGCACTTTCCCTCTGGTCTTAAATGAACTTTTGTGAAGAACTGGAGTTCACGCGCCAAATTTTAGAGATTGCGTAGGTACTGGAACCAATCGTGCAAAAGCGGATGGGCTCGTACGAGAAATTGCGGGTTTGAATGCATGCTTTCAGAGCGTGATGGAGGCAAGTTACGTAATGAAGGCAGCGCGCCGCGCACTGGCCCATGACCGCAGTTGCATACTCTTGTTTATGCACCCTTGATATCAAGGGTAACTTGTACTTGAAGTAGTTCCTGGGCCCTTTCTATTTTTTATAAATGTCCTAATGGACATGAATATCACGTTGGACTTTCCTGAGACAATAACTAGAGAAAACCATCTCAACGATGGTGACAAGTCAAGGAGACATGCTATACATGGAAGAGGTATACAAGACAGACTGGAAACTGTGTCACAACTCTGATTTTCACGTATTACTACGATCATCAGGCAACTGATGGCTCGAAAATGGGCAGCCAGAACATAAGCGGGAGCAAGGTGAGAACTTCTGAGGGGTATCATAGCGCAAGAGTCAGGTGCAAGGGTGAAGTTGCATGGAAGAGGTATAGCGATTAAGTGTGAGAATTACAATTACAGTCAACTTCGCATAATGACTGCGGATATAACGACAATTTGCGAATAACGACAGAATTTCCATGCCCAGAGCAAAGTCCCATCCAACTGTCATACATATAATGAGACTTCAGGTATAACGGCACTTCGCGAATAAGGACACTTTTCTGATGCCCCGCCCAGTGTCGTTATAAGCGAAGTTGACTGTACACGCGAGAAAATGGGGGGGGGGGGGGGATGTGTGACAGGGGCAAAACCCCAACATGATGAGATTGAGTAAATCAGCTGACCAGTTCACGTGATCATGAGTTATTCGCTCAAGGTGCAAGTGTAGTATTAAAGCTGTAAGTATAGATACAAAACAATGTGTATTCAAGCCTGTGTGTGTGTGTGTGTGCGTGTACATGTGTGTGTGTGTATGTGTGTGTGTGTGTGTGTGTGTGTGTGTGTGTGTGTGTACGTGTGTGTGTGTATATGTGTGTGTATGTGTGTGTATATGTGTGTGTATGTGTGTGTGTACGTGTGTGTGTGTATGTGTGTGTGTGTGTGTGTGTGTGTGTGTGTGTGTGTGTGTGTACGTGTGTGTATTTGTGTACCCACTTGCTGAGGTGTGGTGAGCCCATAAGTGGGATCATTTGCAATTACAAGCCCCTATTATTCTCATATAGATTTTTAAGCGATCAGATAACAAACGCCCAATTTCGAAATTTGTGTGCACAAAGTGATCACAGATTTTATGTGGTATGGATGCTGGCCTAACGTATTTTTGAAGTCACTTGTCTGTCTTTTTGAAATGCACTGTACAATACATCGCTGCTTGATATGTTGTTGTCTTGCCCGGCAATGTGGTGAAGCTGTGCATATGTGGTCAGCTTTTGGGCCATCCTGACCGACATTCAGAGTGTCGTGTTGATTTCCTGGTTTTAAGTGGATTACCAAACTCTCCTAAACCTACAGTGCTAGCAACTGAAATCCAACCCCTGAGCGGTACGCTCACATTGCAAAGACCGAACATGGGATTGTAATTTGTAACACCACGAAATAGAGACCACTAGAGAATGTGTAGTACCGTCCAGGGGTCGGATTTCGGATACTAGCACTGTAGTACCACACCATTATCCTATGTTTTTTGTTTTATTTATTTTATTTATGTAAATAGGCGTCGAGGCGACAATAGTTTTAGAATTGCGATCAACAGAACGAGCTGAACCGACATTTCACAAAGGCTTTTATTGTATTCAAAAAACGAGTGGATACGAAGGCATTTATTTTATGTGTAAGCTGCACCCGGATTTTTTTCTCACAACATACAGACATCGACACTGCTTATCGCCGTTAAATTTGATCATCGTAGTAAAAGCCGCACCGAATTTGTTTGTTTAGGCGAATTACTGGTGTCTAAGGCGCGGCTTGTACTATTGAGAGTACGGTGGCTATGGTGCAGGCAGACGTTCAGTTCTTGCAGTAACGACAATACAGCTGTGTACGAATGGCTCACTTTTTTGTTTTTACCTATTTTCTTGTGCTCTGGAAGTCAATGATGCAGCACAGCCCGCCAATTTCACACTATCACCAACGACTGCAGTGGGTAAGTAGTAGCTAGGTGTGTGCGTGCACAATTCATGCTTGATGCCAGTGAAAATCGATGTTTTCATGTCTCAGCAATATGCAAATACAATCCTTGTAACCATTCTACAGTGAAAGGTGACTGCATCTTTAGGCGTTCCCGAAATCGGCCAGCAGGAAAGGACGCCGAAATCAATGGCTGTGAAGAAATCGTCGATAATTTGCTGAGTTTAAAAGTTTCGCACTGAATTCGCCGGAAATTTGATGTTTTAGTGCCTCTGCTGCGTGCATGCAAAAGTACATGTATACTGCGAACGGTGACGTTAAATACTGCTTTGAGCCGAATTCTGACTTTGGGGCTCATGATATGGCCGAATTTGGACATTCTCTTAGCCGATCGAAAAGCCGATTAGGTTAAAAAATCGGGCTGATTTGGGAACTGCCTACTGATCATTCCTGAATAGTGGCTTCCCACGTTGTATGTGAATTTCCTTATCTGTTTAGCTGAGAAAACCCAGAAAAAGAGTGGAATAGGTGAATCCCTGAATTTGCTTCCATTTTTGTTTGTTTGATGTCTATTGATTTGGTGCGAAATCTAATGTCCCCATGAAACTAGCTTTGAATCCTGCAGCTTCTGGTGGCACCTAGACAAGTCCAAAACATGGGATGTGGAATTGCAGCTTTTGGTCCAAACTCTGTACTGTCATTGCGAAACGTCATGCCCCTAAGGCTTGGCATCCAGCTTGATTTGCTCACATCGCAGATGGCTGGGGCCGCATATCGATTGGCTTGCTCTGCCTGGCAACTCTGCCACTTTGACCAGAAATTGTTTCCATAGCCGGTCAAGTTTCGCTTTGAGCCTCTTCTGAACTTCAAAGCAGCTAACATAAATAATTGATTTTTTCCCCAATACCTGTTGTTCTTCAATTTTGCCCATTGCTATCACTGCAGAATGGGAAGAGTGCACGGACTTAAATGGGAGGTTTAATAGAGGGATCCAACATATGAGTGCAAGTCGAACACATTACAAAGACTACACCCTGCTGCACACTGGAAACGTGACCTTCGCAAAGGCCAGGGCACTTTGCGAGAAAGCCGGAGGCCACCTTCCTCAGCCGGTGGATGGTTTTGACAATAGCTGCGTCTTTCTTCGGAGCAATTACGCACCTATATGGCTCGGGGTGAAGAGCATGGATGGAGAATGGAATGCTATCGATGCAAGAAATGCAACACAATCCAGTGAGTCCACACTACCATACACCAACTGGCGCTACGGATACCCCAAGAACATGACGGCAGAATCGTGCGCCGTGATGCATGGATACCGGTCGCTTCATGAGTGGACGAGTCGTGCCTGCGATGATGTGATTGTTCAGCACGTCGTCTGTCAGCGAAACGGTGAGACCAGGGTATCATAATTACAACTGTTGTATATATTTTAGGAAACTTACACCACCCGCCTACAACCAAGAGTGCACCGTCCACAGAGTGTGCCAGGCTTTTTCTGCATACGTGTCCGTCACGGCTGAAATTCCGGGATTACATCATAGCCCGTGCCGGTATGGCTATGAGGCAGGAAGTGGCATAGTGCATGCAAATGAGCTGCACCGGTAGTGCAGCAGGAGGCCTGCATAGTGCATACAACTGAGCTGCGGTTGTGCAGCAGGAGACCTGCATAGTGCATGCGACTTAGCTGCACTTGTGCAGCAGGAGACCTGCATAGTGCATGCAACTGAGCTGCGGTTGTGCAGCAGGAGACCTGCATAGTGCATGCAACTGAGCTGCGGTTGTGCAGCAGGAGACCTGCATAGTGCATGCAACTGAGCTGCGGTTGTGCAGCAGGAGACCTGCATAGTGCAACGCAACTGAGCTGCGGTTGTGCAGCAGGAGACCTGCATAGTGCATGCAACTGAGCTGCGGTTGTGCAGCAGGAGACCTGCATAGTGCATGCAACTGAGCTGCAGTTGTGCAGCAGGAGACCTGCATAGTGCATGCGACTGAGCTGCACTTGTGCAGCAGGAGACCTGCATAGTGCATGCAACTGAGCTGCGGTTGTGCAGCAGGAGACCTGCATAGTGCATGCAACTGAGCTGCGGTTGTGCAGCAGGAGACCTGCATAGTGCATGCAACTGAGCTGCGGTTGTGCAGCAGGAGACCTGCATAGTGCATGCGACTGAGCTGCGGTTGTGCAGCAGGAGACCTGCATAGTGCATGCAACTGAGCTGCGGTTGTGCAGCAGGAGACCTGCATAGTGCATACAACTGAGCTGCGGTTGTGCAGCAGGAGACCTGCATAGTGCATGCAACTGAGCTGCGGTTGTGCAGCAGGAGACCTGCATAGTGCATGCAACTGAGCTGCGGTTGTGCAGCAGGAGACCTGCATAGTGCATGCAACTGAGCTGCGGTTGTGCAGCAGGAGACCTGCATAGTGCATGCAACTGAGCTGCGGTTGTGCAGCAGGAGACCTGCATAGTGCATGCAACTGAGCTGCGGTTGTGCAGCAGGAGACCTGCATAGTGCATGCAACTGAGCTGCGGTTGTGCAGCAGGAGACCTGCATAGTGCATGCAACTGAGCTGCGGTTGTGTAGCAGGAGACCTGCATAGTGCATGCAACTGAGCTGCGGTTGTGCAGCAGGAGACCTGCATAGTGCATGCAACTGAGCTGCGGTTGTGCAGCAGGAGACCTGCATAGGGCATGCAACTGAGCTGCGGTTGTGCAGCAGGAGACCTGCATAGTGCATGCAACTGAGCTGCGATTGTGCAGCAGGAGACCTGCATAGTGCATGCAACTGAGCTGCGGTTGTGCAGCAGGAGACCTGCATAGTGCATGCAACTGAGCTGCGGTTGTGCAGCAGGAGACCTGCATAGTGCATGCAACTGAGCTGCGGTTGTGCAGCAGGAGACCTGCATAGTGCATGCAACTGAAGCTGCGGTTGTGCAGCAGGAGACCTGCATAGTGCATGCAACTGAGCTGCGGTTGTGCAGCAGGAGACCTGCATAGTGCATGCAACTGAGCTGCGGTTGTGCAGCAGGAGACCTGCATAGTGCATGCAACTGAGCTGCGGTTGTGCAGCAGGAGACCTGCATAGTGCATGCAACTGAGCTGCGGTTGTGCAGCAGGAGACCTGCATAGTGCATGCAACTGAGCTGCGGTTGTGCAGCAGGAGACCTGCATAGTGCATGCAACTGAGCTGCGGTTGTGCAGCAGGAGACCTGCATAGTGCATGCAACTGAGCTGCGGTTGTGCAGCAGGAGACCTGCATAGTGCATGCAACTGAGCTGCGGTTGTGCAGCAGGAGACCTGCATAGTGCATGCAACTGAGCTGCGGTTGTGCAGCAGGAGACTTGCATAGTGCATGCAACTGAGCTGCGGTTGTGCAGCAGGAGACCTGCATAGTGCATGCAACTGAGCTGCGGTTGTGCAGCAGGAGACCTGCATAGTGCATGCAACTGAGCTGCGGTTGTGCAGCAGGAGACCTGCATAGTGCATGCAACTGAGCTGCGGTTGTGCAGCAGGAGACCTGCATAGTGCATGCAACTGAGCTGCGGTTGTGCAGCAGGAGACCTGCATAGTGCATGCAACTGAGCTGCGGTTGTGCAGCAGGAGACCTGCATAGTGCATGCAACTGAGCTGCGGTTGTGCAGCAGGAGACCTGCATAGTGCATGCAACTGAGCTGCGGTTGTGCAGCAGGAGACCTGCATAGTGCATGCAACTGAGCTGCGGTTGTGCAGCAGGAGACCTGCATAGTGCATGCAACTGAGCTGCGGTTGTGCAGCAGGAGACCTGCATAGTGCATGCAACTGAGCTGCGGTTGTGCAGCAGGAGACCTGCATAGTGCATGCAACTGAGCTGCGGTTGTGCAGCAGGAGACCTGCATAGTGCATGCAACTGAGCTGCGGTTGTGCAGCAGGAGACCTGCATAGTGCATGCAACTGAGCTGCGGTTGTGCAGCAGGAGACCTGCATAGTGCATGCAACTGAGCTGCGGTTGTGCAGCAGGAGACCTGCATAGTGCATGCAACTGAGCTGCGGTTGTGCAGCAGGAGACCTGCATAGTGCATGCAACTGAGCAGCGGTTGTGCAGCAGGAGACCTGCATAGTGCATGCAATTGAGCTGCGGTTGTGCAGCAGGAGACCTGCATAGTGCATGCAACTGAGCTGCGGTTGTGCAGCAGGAGACCTGCATAGTGCATGCAACTGAGCTGCGGTTGTGCAGCAGGAGACCTGCATAGTGCATGCAACTGAGCTGCGGTTGTGCAGCAGGAGACCTGCATAGTGCATGCAACTGAGCTGCGGTTGTGCAGCAGGAGACCTGCATAGTGCATGCAACTGAGCTGCGGTTGTGCAGCAGGAGACCTGCATAGTGCATGCAACTGAGCTGCGGTTGTGCAGCAGGAGACCTGCATAGTGCATGCAACTGAGCGGCGGTTGTGCAGCAGGAGACCTGCAGGAATGCTGCTGGTGCACATCACCTGGCTAAAATGACGTTATCCCGGAATATTTCCGTGACGCCAGCCCTCCTAGCTGGACACACGGTGGTTCATGAGGTTGCTGTCTGGTTTTTCCTGCTTCGGTATTCCCTTGTGTTTTCTTCTATTACATCTTTTAGTAAATAATAATGTGATATGAGTGCACACCGTGTTGCGGCTATTGTCTCCTCGTCGATTTCACTACTATTATCGTTTAGTTTGCGTACCACAATATTTGGCGTCCATGTACAGTGCTGGCAACTGAAATGCGACCCCTGAGCGATGCGGTGCGCTCACATCGCAAAGAACCAACACGGGACAGTAAACCTGCGGAGTAGAGACTGCTAGAATGTGAATGCACCGCTCAGGGGTCGGATTTCAGTTGCCAGCACTGTATGACTGCGATATGTGCACTAGGAAGGGATGACGACCAGGTGGAAGGTGTGTTAGGCGCATGGGGCAGAAGGGAAATGAGCCTACTTTAGTTGTATAGTAAGGAATGTATTCTTGCATTGCAGGAGCAGAGGGGGGAATGGGGCAGAGGTTATGCGATAACGTCAAATCCGCCATATAATAGGAGCCAGTTGGGGTGGCCAAATGCCCAAAGCGGGTACAGAAACCCCTTATATGGCAGCGCATAACCTCTTAGGTGCACGGTATACACTTTGCGATATGGTATGTAACTCTTGCATGCAGGGGCAGAGGGTAAAAAATGGGGCAAAATGGTGTTGTACTGTAGTTCATCATGCAGGGGGGGGGGGGGGGATGGTACTGTATATGGCAATTCATGGATGTGGCATGCTGTTCTACAACAGATAGGGTTGTAGTTGTTGCCATGGATACAACACATGTGTAGGATGTGACATCGTTCTGTGCATTTGTCCCTGCAGGGAGGCTAAATCCAAGACATCATGCGTATTCGCCACCGAAGAACACGACGGAAGGTTAGTAGTGTCCCCGCTTAGGTGCTGGCCCACAATACAACTCACCTACTACAAAGGACAGCTGCAAAATACGCACCCGCATAAATCTACAAGTACTGGTACAAAACTATGCAACGCTGCAGGGTACAAATAATAAAATATCCCCCAAAATAGTCATCAATGTGCAGGTCAGCAGCAATGTTCATGCACCTGCTTGGTATGGAACTGAAACTTCGTGACTTTGTCGGTTATTGCCAGGTGGTCTCAGTTCTCCGGGACAGGTCTTATACATTCGCGGCATATCAGATCTTCCATAAATATTTCCATTATATATTTTATACGCAGAGAATATGCAGTGATTTATCCAGTCGAATTATGAATGCTTGTTCTTCTAAACCGAAGGTTTATCTTATCAGTGTTCTTCCTAACGAGGTTCTACTGTACGAATATTGATAGGTGTCGATCATAGAAAAATTTCGTGCAGATAGATCACTCAGGAGGTTGACACCTCACTCAATTGCATGCAGCACACCCTGCACTGTCACTTGTAACTTCTTCAGACTGCACGCCCTGGCTTCACAGTCCACTTCAACCCTGTTGCAGTCAAGCCTGCCCGCGAGGATAGCACTTTTGGCTAGTTTTGGCCACTGTATGCAGGTCAGATATGCCACCAAGGTCCACTATAAGTCGGTCCCTGGTCGCGCACACCGCAGATGGTTGCTATTTCCGGTACAGTTTCCATGCAGAGCCGCCAGTGCATGGAAAAAATGGTGCATGCAAGAATGGTCGCAAAGATCAGGTGGTCGCTCAAATCTGAGGTCGTTGAAACCAGGTGTTCCTGTATCTCACCGTTCAGTTGATCATCGTAGTATACTGTAGTACGGGTAATTTTAGCGACGTAAAAACCCTAGCGAATTTAGCGATAGACTCATTTTCGCTAAAGTTTCAAGTCGCTAATCCGTTGAGACATTAGTAGTGCACTGGTGATCCGTGAGTAAAATCGCTGCAAATCTCTAAAATAAAACATCGCTAACCGGTCGACATAGGCAAAACGCTAAAATTACCCGTTCTACAGTAAGCTGCACTAAATGCTATGAATCAATTGCGAGTGTTTAGAGAGCGGCTTATATTCCTGAGCATCCGGTAATCCCCGCAAACTCCAATTCTGTCACTTAAACATCTAGAGAACTCCTATGTCTTGCAAAACGTCTCTCTAGTACCGGACTTAATAGACGTTCACCAAATGTTCAGGGCTGCTCGATTGTTGGCGTACATGGGAAAGAAAGCAAAGAAGTAGAAGACAACAAAGTTGTATTACGTCGCTGCTATGTGTATGGTGGAGATGGCCATATACGAATATGCAGGTGTGTATGTGTAGTCGGTGAGGCGTAGGTGATGCGTGTGTAGGTGATGCAGGCGTCAGCATTGAAGTGCGTGTGTACAATGTACGTGTGTTTCTGGGGGGGGGGGGGGTCAAAACTATGTGTTTGCGAGCATCATGCCCCCAAAGCTTGACTTCTAGCTTGATTTGCTCGCATCGCAGATGGCTGGGGCCGCTTATTGAGCGGCTCATTCTGCCTGGCACCTGTACGTTTGGGGCCAGAAATAAATTCAATAGGTCAAGTTTCACTTTGAGCCTCTTCCAAACTTTCCAGTGGCTAAATAATTACTTTTTCTGCACTGTCTGACCTTGCTCTTCAATTTTGCTCATTGATATCACTGCAGAATGGAAAGAGTGCACGATAGGTGCAAAGCAAACCCATTACAAAGACTACGCCCTGCTGTACACTGGAAACTCGACCTTCGCAGAGGCCCGCGCACTTTGCGAGAAAGCCGGAGGCCAACTTCCTCAGCCGGCAGATTATCTGGACAATCATTGCGTCTATCTTCAGAGCAAACACGTGCCCATATGGCTCGGGGTGAAGAGCATGGACGGAGAATGGAATGCTATCGGCGCAGGAAATGAATCGCAATACACGAATTCCACGCAATTATACACCTATTGGCGGCATGGTTACCCCAAGAACGCGACCAGCGCACCGTGCGCCGTGATGCATGGATACGAGTTTGACGCCCGCTGGACAAATCACCCCTGCGATGACGTCATTGTTCAGCACGTCGTCTGTCAGCGAAACGGTAAGGCCAGGGGATATTACAGTCCATTCAGAAAAAGATGGACTTCTAGCTTTTGGCCATAAATGGGTCAAACTTTGAGTTTTTTTAGAATTTTTTCTGCAATCCCCTAAGGAATCCTCTTCCAATTATGTTTCAGAAGTCTATTTGTCTAAAAAGCAAGCCATAACAAGAATAGGATATCGGCCGGGTTTTGCCCCAAAAGCATTGAATTGGGAAAAACCATCAAAATCCAGGCCGTTTGACCCCACCTGCAACAGTGCATTGTGGGGTTCGAACCCCAGTTCAGGTACCCTTTTTGGACTCTTTTTCAAAGTTCAAATTTCGCTGCACTGCACTGTGTACAATGAAATCACGACAAATCGCCAAATACGGGAGCTCGCCAGAGCCCATCTTTTTATGAATGGACTGTAGTGCTAATTCCAATGAGCCTCCCCCTTTGGAATTGGCACTAATATCCATGAACCCTCCAAGTTGGAAGGTCGTTGGTTAGCGCTATCGAGCAGTGCTGACTTTCATGCCGTGGAATGTCTCAGTACTCCTTGTCAGTTTTGTGCTAGATTGTGCACGTCTGACTGTTCAAAATTCTGGTTTATTTGGTGGACTCGATCGCATAACCTGTGCCCACAATTTCCATGTTACAATTGTTTTCCTTGGCTCACCATCTGAGTTCTTGATATCAAGAAAGGATCAAAATAAGATGTACATTTGTATAATGGTTGGTTCACATATTGCCGGTACGCGCCGGGAGTCACCGGCGGTGGGCCTCTTGCAACCACTCACGGCGCATTGTGATTATGTGAACCAGTGCAGTCGTAACAAAATCATACGGTAAATAATCGCAAGGGACCGCCGGCTAAGGTTGGGCAGAGCCCAACTCTTACGATCTGCCCTGGCACCGATCCTGTACAATTTTGACCAAAAGCGGTTTGTGAACCGTTTGCGCTGGTGATTGCCGGTGCCGGGACCCAGACTTTGTCAAATTTCAAACTAAGACTCGTCCTAAGAAATTGAAGCTGCAGATGAGGTCGGTTCACCACTCTTGTAGTCGCTTCAAGGTTGCAAATTAGTAAGTCAGTCTACCAACCCGCCCTTCTGAGATGATCTGCTTGATCGTTGTGAAACTTAAGAGACACATAAGATTGAAACATACTTTGAAGTAAAAACATACGATGGATACATTGGCAAGCTCTTGTGACTTCATCAACGTTTGCATTCATAATTCCGACACCATCGCCTGCTAGACTGCAATAAAAGGCGTAGAAGTAGTTTCAGGATCTCCAGTAAAAGGTATCACCGAGTGTCCATCACCGAAAGACGTTGAACTACTGAAGAAACAAAGAATCCAAGCTTCAATTGGCAAACCTGTAGTAGCATTTGGGCACATTCTGTACTACTATTAAGTAGCCTTGGTACTCGAACCGTAGGCAGGACGGATCGGGAGCTGGCTTCACGGCGCCGATTTGGCTTATGTGAACCAACCCTAATGCACGTGCAACTTATGGGGTCCCGTACCCATCTTGCATTGCAGTGTAGCCGGCAGAAGACACCACAAGTGCATGGATATGGCTTCGGTAGGGTCGGAGGCACATACGGCAAGGTGTACAGCTTGTATTTGCGGTGTAGTATGTAACTCTTGCATACAGAGGGCAGAGGGTAAGAAACGGGGCAAAATGGTGTTTTTTTGTTTGTAGTTTTATTTTACATCGCGAACCAAACGGGCATTGATGCCCAATATTATGATGGCGATAGAATAAAAAGTGTGTGCGCCGTTAAAGCTGCACTTGCGAAAATAAGAAAACAGTCAGTGTTGTACTGTAGTGTATCATGCAGGGGGGGGGGGGGGGTGGTACCGTATATGGCAATTTATGGATGCGGCATGCTGTGCTACAACAGATAGGTTTGTACTTGTTGCCATGGATACAACACATGTATAGGAAGTGACCTGCGTTCTTTGCTTCTGTCCCCGCAGGGAGGTTAAATCCAACACATCACTCGTACGTGCCACCGAAGACGACGGCGACGACAGGTTAGTGCCCTGTGCCCTGCGTTACCCTGGTTACCAAGTAGAACACTAGGCCCTAGTGTTCCACTTGTATTGAGATGAACAGCGCCAAGAGGGTGCGTTCCTTGTTTAAGTGATGGCCCCACGGTGTAAGCAAAAGCGGCATTTAAAGCCAGGTCCCATATATTCGTGGCATATTGGATCGTGTACGTACATGTACCGTAAAATCCCGCCAGAGCGCCCCGTCTCTCCTATCCGCCCCTCCTTGACTTCTTGTCAGGGACGTGATTGATTGTATCCTCGTATGACTCTGTCACAGTCTGTGATGCCGTACTGTACTGCAGACGCGTGCTCGACCCCGTTGGAAGTGTACGCAACAGTGCTCACCATCTAGACCAAGGATCGCACAAACCCTGAGTTTTGACGACTCCTGGCTCTTGACCTTTGGTCGGTGTACGAGATGCACGAACAGTTGTCGTAGGGTGAGTACTCTTTCATGTAGCACTGAATGCGGCAAGTAGGACTCGCCCATCCGCCCCTCCCCACCTGAAGCGTCGAGGAGGTAGGGGCGCTCTGGCGGGATTTTACGGTACATGTACTTCTACAGTGCTCATACTGACAGGTATGGAGCGTAGAAAACGTCTTGTGCAGGCAAAGCACCCATGAGTTCACACCTCACTCAAGTGCATGCAACGCACCCTGCACTGTCGACTGCATGCATTTGCTTCTGAGCGCACTTCAGCTCTGTTGCAGTCGAGCCTGTCAGCCAGGATAGCACTGCTGGCTTGTTTTGGGCAGCGTACTGTACGCAGGTCAGATCTGGCACTTGGCGCAGTAAAAGTCGGTCGCTGGTCACGCAAGGCAGGTGGTTGTTGTATCCGGTGGAGTTTCCATGGAGAACTGTCGGCGCATGGGAAAACGGTCGTTAAAAGCATGTGGTCGCTAAACCCAGAGGTCGCTAAACCCACTTGGTGAAGTAAAATATAATAAACAAAAAATCTAAGTAGGAGTACGATACTAGTAATTTGCAGTGTCGGTTGATTCTATGATCGATTGCATGGAGACTAGAAGAGCACAAACTACCATTTACAAGTAAATATGCCAACTGAACAAACACAAGGAGACATGTGCGTCAACACAAAATGCCAGCCATACTAAAAATAATGATCTGCGCATGGCGTGACATCAGTACGATAATGATGACGTAAAAAGTACCCATAAGCGTACAGCACATACACTACAAGAAACTTTTACAGCAGTTTTCTCTAGGAGGACACCCAGCATATTATGTGTTTGTGTGTGTGTGTGTGTGCGTGTGTGTGTGTGTGTGTGTGTGTGTGTGTGTATGTGTGTGTGTGTCCCATATGATGCAGTGGTATGTGCAGTCGATTTCCAATCGAGAGGTTCCGCGTTCAATTCCCGACGATTATGGTCGCACACGTCTTTCTTCTCTTTCTCATTCTCCTAGCTCTTCTTTCATTCTCCTGGGTGGTTACCAACAGCCAGTGTATGCCGGAGTATGTGGTGTGGCGTGCGTGTAAAAAAATTAAAAAATTAAAAATAGGGATTCACTGGCCAGAAAAACCCACTTCAATCAGCTGTGTGGTGGATACCAGGCTAAAATTAGTGGCGGTCAATTCATCAGCCTTGCAAGCTGTTGAATAGTAATCCCAGCACAAGTTGCTATGTCTAACATAGCTGTTCGCTATCATCGCTTCCGCGATGGGCAGGTCTGAGGGCTGAGGTGTGTGTGTGTGTGTGTGTGCGCGTGCGCGCATGTGTGTGTGTGTGTGTATGTGTGTGTGTGTGTGTGTGTGTGTGTGTGTGTGTGTGTGTGTCCCATGTGGTGCAGTAGTATGTGCAGCGATTTCCAATCGATAGATTGCGGGTTCGATTCCCGACGATTATGGTCACACACGTCTTTCTTCTCTTCTCAGACTCTTCCTGACTTTCCTTTCATTCTCCTGGGTGGTTACCAACAGCCAGTGCATGCCGGAGTATGTGGTGTAATGTGTGTGCGGGAAAAAAATTGAAAAGACCAAAAATAGGGATTCACTGGCCAGAGAAAGTCACTTCAAAATAGCTGTATGGTGTAGACCAGACTGAATAGTGACGGTCAATTCTTCAGCCTTGCAAGCTGTTGAATGGTGCAATCCCAGCACAAGTTGCTATGGCTTCTGCCGTAGCATTGCTATCATCGCCTCCGGCGATGGGCGTCAAAGGTCAAAGGTCAAAGGTGTGTGTGTGTCTGTACATTTGTGGATTTCACGGTGCACCTATGTCTACAGCGCCACCCACGACTGTGCCGAGGACGACTGTACCGAGGACGACTGTACCGAGGACGACTGTACCGAGGACGACTGTACCGAGGACGACTGTACCGAGGACGACTGTACCGAGGACGACTGTACCGAGGACGACTGCACCGAGGACGACTGTACCAAGGACGACTGTACCGAGGACGACTGTACCGAGGACGACTGTACCGAGGACGACTGTACCGAGGACGACTGTACCAAGGACGACTGTACCGAGGACGACTGTGCCGAGGACGACTGTGCCGATGACGACTGTACCAAGGACGACTGTACCGAGGACGCCTGTACCGAGGACGACTGTACTGAGGGGGACTGGACCGAGGAGGACTGCACCTATGACGAAAAGCCCAGCCCCGCCACCGGGTAAGTAGTGGAGTATACCTTCCCTCTTGTCCATATCGTGTAAAAGTTGCAAGCGTGATGTGCGATTTGCAAAAAACACTTGGCGGGAACAAAGTATGAACGACCCAGCCACAGACGCCTGTCCCCTGTGTCTCGTGTACAGAATAGAGAATGAATAGCAGACCAGGAACGTTTCTAGAGTTAGCGATGGATATTTACTCCTTAAAACGCTCTATTTTGTTCCCCATTAGAGATTCAACTTTTGCGAAGGGAAAGGCTAGCCTAAAATCAAATTTTCAGGAGTTGTAGTCCTGCAGTCTTGGTTTGAGTAAGCTGAAACGCTCCCTTTCTCCTCTATTCCCAATCGAACTCGCCACTTCCACCGAAACTGTGTGACCACGCCCTACTAGATGGGGATTTGTATGCAAAATGTCTCCAAAAACGGGATTTCGTTCTTACAAAAGTACGAATGAGCGTGATAGGCGCATATGTTGTACAATGAATCGACTGGTTTTGGTCTAAGAAGGCTACGCTGCAGCGTTGGGCCCTTACTCCCAATCGAATATGGTTGAATAAGCGGTCAGGTGCTCATGCATACACCAGTCACCTGGTCACCGTACCTGCAGGCTACAACTCACAGCCTATTTGGGTGGTTCCCCTGTCGCTCTAGTTGAACCTTTGAACCTTTGAGTTGAACAATGGTGTGAAAATTGTAGCCTGCAGGCACAGTTGATGGAAAAATGACTGAAGTTTTGAGTGCAGTTTTGAATTTTATGGCAAGAAGAATGTCAAAAGGTCAAAAAGGTCTAAAGGTGTGTGTTTATATAACTGTGTGTGTGCGTGTGTGTCTGTATGTGTGTGTGTGTGTGTGTGTGTGTGTGTGTGTGTGTGTGTGTGTGTGTGTGTGCCTGCACATGTATGCATGTCATGTCGTACCTACATGTATGTCAACAGCGCCACCCAAGACTGTACCCAGGAGGACTGTACAGGTTACGACTGTACCCAGGAGGACTGTAGAGGTTACGACTGTACCGATGACCAACAGCCCAACTCTACCACCGGGTACGTAGCGGATAATACTTTCCCTCTTGTCCGTACCGTGTACAAGTTGAAAGTGTGTTTAGTCCAAAAGTTCCCACTTGGCGTGCACGCGCGTGTGTATGCGTGTATGTGTGCATATGTGTGAGTGTGAGTGTGAGTGTGTGTGTGTGTGTGTGTGTGTGTGTGTGTGAGTGTGTGTATGTGTGTGTGTGTGTGTGTGTGTGTGTGTGTGTGTGTGGGTGTGTGTGGGTGTGTGTGTGTGTGTGTGTGTGTGTGTGTGTGTGTGTGTGTGTGTGAGTCACCAAAAAGTACAGATTCACTGGCCAGAAAAAGCCACTTCATAGCTGTGTGGTGTAGACCAGGCTGTTTAGTGGCGGTCAATTCTTCAGCCTTGCAAGCTGTTGAATGGTGCAATCCCAGCACAAGCTGCTATGGCTTCTGCTATAGCATCGCTATCATCGCCTCCGGCGATGGGCGTCCAATGGTCCAATGCTGTGTGTGTATGTGTGCATATGTGTGTGTATGTGTGTGTGTGAGTGTGTGTGTGTGTGTGTGTGTGTGTGTATGTGTGTGTGTGTGTGTGTGTGTGTGTGTGTGTGTGTGTGTGTGTGTGTGTGTGTGTGTGTGTGTGTGTGTTAGGAGAGAAAGAGAGAGAGAGAGAGAGAGAGAGAGAGAGAAAAAGAGAGAGAGAGTGAGAGAGAGGTAGTGGTGATATTGGTTTTAAGAGATGTTTGTTCTCCTGTGCTCGATGCAGTCACGGAGCAAGGGGCAGCAGCGTCATCACCAAAGACGAAATTCATCGTGACCGGCGCAGTGACGGGCTTCGTTGTGCTTGCAATCTGCACTCTCTTCTTCGTTTCCAAGTCAAACAGTATGCGGCGCTATCTTGGAATGAAGGACAAAGTAGAGGTGGACAATGTGAGCATGGGTGTCGTCTCCATGCAAACAATAGTCAACTGAAAGCTGAATCTGCCGAGCGCCCAGTGGTGCGGACTTCAGCTGGACTCTTGTGAAGCCGGTCGTGCAGAAAGCGGTGTATGCAGTGTTCCGCAGAGGGTACTGCAGGTTTGGGCTTTCTCGGCTTGACGAGCTTCTATTTTTTGTTTTGTTTTTTTGTTTTTTGTTTGTTTGTTCATTCCTTGCTACCCATCCCAATGTAGTGATAAATATTGGCTGAGAGAGTATTTAATATCGTAGATTGCAATGTGCCCGTACGATTTTTTTGATCTCGTGCGTGTTTTTGCTTTTTTGTTTCCAACACGCGTTGTTCATTGTTCTACTACTCCGACTTTCTCTTTTCAATGTTCTATGCTATGGTCCGATAGGCAGCAATCTGTGCAAGTATGTCAATATCCTATCCTATTCTCTATGGTACTCTTGATCTCCTTGCGTATGCACACACGCATGAAAGTACATGCACTGTTGTACGTGCACGCCTTTGACCTTTGGCTTTGACACCCACCTCCAGAGGAGATGATTGGCTACTGAGTTGGGCAGAACTTGAGGTGGACGGTTCAAATCGCCACTTCTTCTGAACGCTCTGCCGCATGCGCGCGCGCACACACACACACACACACACACACACACACACACACACACACGCACACACACATACACACACACACACACTTGTACTTGTACTTGCGCTTCTACTAAGTCTTGTACATGCTCACTGCCAAAACTGATCACATAGGTCTCCCCGGGAGAGAGGAGACCCAAAAGGCATTTTGGAAAGATAACAATTGGCTATTGAACCGCCCAACGGCCAACACCCCTGAAATCCCCAAACTTTGGGTGGACTTGGACATGATTCCACTTACGGGCTCACCACACCACCCTGAAATCCCCAAAAACTCTGGGTGGACTTGAAAATGATCCCGCTTATGGGCTCACCACACCTCAGTAAGTGGGTGAGGACAAGGTGCAGAAAAAGGATTGACGGCATCAGGGTATCCGTCCCGGGATCCAACTGCAGTTACTAGTACCCCTGCCCCCAGTGAAGGTAATACTTGCTACTAGTGTGGGTGGCTAAATCAGAGCGGATCGGATATCACAGAATTTCAAGTTGATGTCATTTTGATGATGCAATGCGCACTGTACACGGATTATCAGACGAATCCGGAACCGGTGGTTGACCGAAGCCGGTCGATCCTGTACAAATTATTGCAAAGAAAAACGGGTGATGCGTTGACACCCGTACACATGTTGTAAATCACTGGTGCAAGGAGCATTGCATCATAAATAATAACGTCAACCTGAAATTCTGTCGGGACAGCAGGGTATATGGGAGTTGCACACTCTGGGGGGTTATGTACTCTTGGAGTTACATGTAAGTATGCAGATGAGCCGCCAGTGCAAAGCTGTGCCGCTAGCCAGCGACTCCGCCAGAGCATCTCACCTGATGATGTACAATAGTAGTCGCTTATTATCTCAGGGGCTCTACTCATGTGTGTAGGGCACCCTGCTAGCTCTTTAGAGCATGCACAGTACAGCATTACCGCAGAGTCCATAATCTTACAACCTGGGTTACTGCACTGTGTGCAGCAGCCATCGCATCTTGGATGCATACAATCATGTACAATTGTACATGCATGCATGCCAGCAAGCGGCCGGAGTGGGGAAAGTCATGTCAGCCTTATCATCCAACAGCCGATTTGTCCTGAAATCCTCAGACACTGGGTGGACTTGGAAATGATGCCACTTGTGGTCTCACCACACTGCACTGGATAAGGATCGAAGGTGTCAAGGGTATCCGTGACGGGATCCAGTTGCACCTACCATGCATACCCCAGTGAAAAAGAGTCGGTTAAAAGACACACAAACACAATACAGAACGCATCTATGCACCCCTCCCCCCCCCCCCCCCCCACACACACACAAGCAGATGCACATGCAGATGCACACACAGATGTACACACACACAGATGCGCAGGGACAGTTGATCACACACACACACACACACAGACACAGACACACACACACACACAGACACACACATGCATACACAAACACACACGCACGCACGCACAGACGGGAAGAGCAGGTGGTCACAATTGTAAAAAATTGAAGTAGATTCTCGACGGAGCACATGCTCGGACACAAGAACTAAAAAATGTGTTGCGACATGTACACGCGAAAACCCAGCCCGGACATGTACCCGCACATGCCTGCTTGATGAATGAGCGTGTCTTAGTGGATACGGTAAAGATGCAGAATACTCTTATCACGCAGTCGTATGCGTGCATGATATTATGTGGGACAACACCATCGAGACTACCAAGGTGGAAACTCAAATGGAAAGTTGCGTTGCTGTGGACAGCGCTAAATCTCAGCTCGGACCAATGAATAAAGCGGGGAGGGGTAGCGGTCGCCACACTGGCGTTCATGGGAGATTAAAAAAAAGAAAAAAAGAAAAGAAAAAAGGAAGTAAACAGCAGATCTGTCCGAGGCCACGCATTTGTTTCGACAACACACGTAGTGCGAGTATGCTGGTCTGGTCTCGTGGGATGCGTACCCACAGTTCAGCCAGGGTCCAATCGCCCATGGGAAAGAACATATCAGAGCATCAGAGGAGAGACGGGGACGGTATATCAGCCGTGACGCTCGTCGGACCAGGGGACTGGACCACCCACCCGCTCTCACTGCCAGCAGAGAGTGCGGGTGCCACAAGGGTCCAGCGGGCAGAGCAGCGCATACACGTAACAGTAGGTGCAGTGTTTCGGTAAGCATCTGAAGGCCGTGTGTGCGGGCACTGCTCAGTATCTAGGTACGCACACACACACACACACACACACACACACACACACACACACACACACACACACACACACAAACGTGCGCGCATGCACGCATACACACACACACACAAACAGGACATCCTGTGGCGTGCGTCGACGGATGGGAGATGCCTACCTGGTGTCCGTGCTCAGGCGGGTGCTGGTGCGTTGGCAACAGAGATGGCAGAGATGGCTGAAATCAGCTGGGGCTCGGAAAATTCATCTCCGGTAACAATTCCTGAGGGTGCAGTTGTAATGCTGGCCATACTGGTAATGTATTCTTGGTAGGGGATTAGAGTTCAGTTTTTAGACGCTTGTCGTCACTGAATTGCAGAACGGGCAAAAGCGAATCCCATCGCAATCCCCGCACATGGGTTTGTTTCTCAACAGAAGCAGCGGAGCTAACTTGTGTCTACCCTGGTGACCCGCTGGGTTCCAGGTGCGTACTTAACTCGTCCCCAGTTCTGCGTCGTTGTTCCACGAGATACGCCTCGACCGCGATGAAGTCGGACACGGTCTGAGTGAGATCGTCATAGGAGCACGAGCCGCGTGCATGCGCCCGTGTGAACTCACCCTTGCGTTTCTGCAGGTCGACGATGATGTCGGACCCGCCAACGTCCATTGACAAGCATGTGCCGCCACAGTCCAGAATGGGAAGCAGCT